ATTATTTGAGTAATCAATTTGTTTTACCATATATTATTTATTGTTCATCTGTGAAATATTTTATGGATTAAATTTATAAATAGCTTTTTATATTAGTAAAACCAAAAGGGAGTAACACAAAATGTACTTAAAATTTTAATATCGATTTTTATTCAATTTTGATTAAGAAATGGGGAAATCTTTATTTGATATTTTGATATTTTTATGATATTCCCCATTAGATAAGTATGAAAATAATTTATTATTATTTTCGATTAAGAAATACTATGAAAGTATTTTTTTTTGAAAAATTAAATTTATTTATTTATTGAGTAGAATTTATTTGAACATAGTGATAAAAATATTTCCAAATCTTACCAAATTTTCGACCTAATAATTAATGTGATTAATTTTTTATGTTATTTTTTATTTTATAATTAATGAGGATCCGAAAATTGAAATCGGGTCTTAATTGTAGAATATAAACCGACCCGACATTAAGATTTACAAAATTGACCTTAATAACTATTGATTAAATGTCTAAACATAAGGGTATTTTGTGGCAAAAGGATGACAAATAAAGATGGTCAAAAAAGTGACTGCAAAAATAATAAGATAGATTTCACTCTGGTCACGAGTCACGCAGGGTTCCGAGTTCATCAGTTTTCCACTATACCACGTATTGTTACGATGGTACTCCAAATCATTATTTTACAATACATTCTGGATAACATTATCATATATAGTCAAATCTTTGGAATTTATTGAATTATATATAAAATATGGCCATACGTACGTCTTACTCCATATATATGTGAATAGACCATTAGAATGTATAGACTAATTAAGTGAATTATAGTTTGCTATGTGGTTTCGTCTTAATGGTTGAGTTAGGTGTTAAGTAGAACCAGTTAAAAAGATTGTATATGTAAATCCGAAGGTGTTCCCTAACAAGAGAAAACCTTCTTCTAGAGGAGTTGACATGACATGAATCATCAAGGTGATAAATAATATAATTTGCGTACGTTGCCTCTTCCTTCCTTGGATACTTTACTTATTAGGTGGCTCGTGAATTCACAAGTAGCAATCAAATCCCTAATTAAATGCCTTTTTGCGATTTTTAAAATCTCAAAAGAAACACACTGAAACGCAATCTCGTATCGCATGTGTTGACCCACTTCAGATTTTTGATTTTAACTTTTGCTCAATACTAAAATGACGACGTTACGGATATATGAGTTAAAAAAACGAACAAAAATTGTTTTAAATAATAACCGTTGCGTTGGTATTTGCACATGGGTAAGTCAAAGTAAACGCATTTTGGGATCTTATTTTATTTATTAATCGCCGCATCAAAACATGATTCCGATTAATATAAATCATGTCTGATGGTAGCTACTCATTATCTTATAGTCATTACTACTTTCTTTTACTAATATTTGTTTCTTTGTCTTCTATCTCGTTACTCGTACATATGTAATAAGTTCAATGTACATTAAGGTTCAATTTGATTTCTCATTGGACTAGACTAGTTATTAGTTAATACGTTTGTGATACACTATCACTTACCTTATCTATCACTAGATTGATTCATGGATGCTAACTCAATCGTATATCATTACGTACTGCTCGTTAAAAGGTGTTACCTCAACATTTGTTATCCACCGTACTTGTTGAGAGCCATTAAAAATTAGTAAACCGAAGAAGATTGATTAATTAGAAACCGAAGCTAGCTCTCTTATTTATTCGTTGTTTGTACCAGCGAATAAATAAAAACGTCTAGGTGAAGTGCCCCATATAATATTAGTCGAACCCCAAATTAACGTTAATGATCGAGATAGTAAAATGTTGGTCCATTTCATCTCAACTAATTCGTGTCATCTCAAATAAATAAAAGGGACAATATTTAATACTTACGTGGCCGGTGGCCATCAAACATTTGTATCTGTTATCTTTCTCGATCAAAAGCGAAGCAAAACACCTTATAACACGTTGTCCAATAGCAAAATTTTAAAAGCATTTATCTTATAACAGTTCCACACAAAATGGCTATTTGTAATTGCAATGAAAGTTAAAACGATATTGTTGAACAACGTTATCGTACTATGAAGCTACTAGACTTCTTGATTCTTAATATCCCACATTGTTGACACGTAAACTCGGAAATCAATCGGGTATTTATTGTTCAGTTAAATCGAAAAGCTTGAGTGCAAAATAATCAAAATATATAGCTAACTCATTGTTGTATAATGTATAGTAGTTTAGATATTTATTTTAAGGTTACAAGACGAAATTTTTTAAGTTTTTTTTTATTTCGTTATGATTTCAATCATTGTTTGGAATTTTGAACGTTTTAAATGAGTAGAAAATGTAGAATATTCAATCTTTTATAATTTTGGAAGATTAGTTTGTACTTGGATTGACAGAACCGATAATTATATATTAGTGGTTCCTTTTTTTTTTTTTTGATGAATTAGTTGGATTTGTGGCCCATTTACTGCTACAGCCCAACACCAAACATTGATTCTTACATTTATGACCTTCCTACATTTGTATTTCTCTAGCTAAATGAACTAATGAACTTTAATTATCGATAACAAGGTAGTTTTGTATATCCAAGTCCAACTTTCACAAAATAGTTTTGTTTATATTTCTTGATGTTTCTAATTTGTTTTTCTTTCCTTGCGGTGTCTACATCAGCAACATAAACCAAATTACTTTTCGACAATCACACGATAATAATGAAAATAAACACGAACGAAAAAAACAACTAAAGACACGTAAAATCCAACAAGATTTACAAAAAAAATAGTATATATGAAGGTTTTTAGACGCAGTCAGTTTCGGTCAAAACCTGAACCATTGTCTGCATGACCCTCACTTTCATTTCCAAAGCCAAAATATAATCTGCCGTTTGTCTGAAGAGTCCATCCAAACCTTCTGAAGTTTTGGTGTTCGGAACAAGCTCTTTCAACGTCTTGACTCGTCTATGTATGGCGCGACACGGTCTTCTAGAAGCTTCTAAACTTTTCCTCGGTCGGATCATGATCTTCTTCACAAGAGCCCTTCGAGTTCTCTGTCTTCTCATCGAAACCCAAACTGATTCCTTTCTTTGTCCATCCAATGTTACTCCCATATTGTAAATGAAAGAATGATGTGTAGGAATGTGATGACAACTCCTTAAAAGATTATATAAATTAATGTGATGCAAATACGAGACACCCTTTGTTTATATAGACATACCGATATATATAGAGGTTAGTGTGACCTTTATATATAACTTAAGGAGATAACAGCTTCTGAGAAGGTTCTCTTTTATCTCCTCCAAAAAGAATTGGATGAGAATTGCACAAGTGTCCACAAGGTTATAAAAATGTTGGTTTATGATGGATAATTAGGGCTTAGCTTACATTAGAGAGGACATGTCATCAAAAATACAACGCGATGCACATGCACTCACATGATTCTCATCACTACCCAACTCTCTCCTACATGCTTAATAACACCAACTTTCTCCCCATTCACATCATATCGCCTTAAACACCCTGTCTTATTCCTCCTTTAATTTGTTGCGCTTTATTATTATTATTATTATTATTATTATTTTTACTTACTTTGGCAACCAATTAGTTCGAGTTTAACAATGTCGGGCGGATCAACAAAGAATGTAATAATCCTAATTATCTTTATGCCATAATGTCTTTCTAGATTAAATTCTAATCTATTTAACTAACAATATATGCATGGAGTCAGTGTATTCAGAAGCTAGCGATTGAAATATATTAAGTTGATAAGATGAAAACGAAAAGATTGATATTATAGAATTTGTGCATAACTATTGTCCAGCGTTTGCAAAAGTCAGAACAAGGATGGAAATTATATTATTTTGTATTTCTCACAGTCATTGTTAATTTGAGTTTCGCTACAATGTATTTAGTTTGAATCGATCACCATTGTCGACAGAGATGATAAAGTATATGACTATTTGGTTGTCATAACGCTTTTGCTTTTTATTAAGAAAGTCCTAATTTATATGTAACTGATCATGATTTCCAGCTGATATAAGCCGCCGCAACTAATTAATTGAGAGAATTAAGAATAAACTAAAACGATTATATAAAGCATTTCCCCGAGCAGTTTAGGTTTATTGGACAAAGAAGATAACGATGTTGGATAATGGGATAAGGTCAAGATTTTAATAGACACAAGAACATGCAGTGATCTTCTATGTTCCTTTGAATTTGTGGACTTCATATTTAAGAATTATGTATTTTATTTTCGTGAGTGGATTTTATTGAAGCATCTTTATAAAGATTATGTTCTTCGCTCGTCATGTGTTTGTATGTTTTTTTTTTTTTCTCTAATTTATGTTTTTCAGGGAAAAATAAAAAAGGAAAAAAGCAGATTCGTGGAGCGATGTTAATCAAACATCCTAGGAGAGTAAAGATTCAATGTATCTCCCATCGCCGTCAAGACGAAACATTGTACTTGAAAATTCTCTCAATTAGACATATATACACGCCTCTCATAAATTATTGAATTAAATTTATATAAATGAGAATTAGCTTAACATTCGCATATAATTGATCATTGTGTATGGTATGGGTATTTAATCAAGGTAACGTGAAAAGTACCAAACAAAAATTAAGGTAGGTTTATATCCATAAATAAATAAGTAGACATGATGGAGAGTTTAATTAGTGGTCGAGATGGATGGCTCTTGTTAGCACGTTGACGTTGTAATATGTATATATAAGCTTTTTAACGTGCATGCACATGTTCTAGTTATATCCCTCCCTATTCCTCTAGCCACCCAAACACTACACTACCTACATATATATATCCCAATTCTTATCTTCAGTTTGTATAAAATTAGTAGAAACTTTAATTTTGCGTGTTAGTTCCTGTAATATTAGTAAGTAGTAGTAATTCATTAATTACATACATATGAGGTTAATAAATAATAAATAGTTAAGTAATAAGGGCCCAGGCAAGAGAAAACAAGTTGGATCTAAATAAAGCCCATTATACAAAGGTGGGTTTGAAATTGGCCTTTTAACGTTTAATGATGATCTGATCCATCCATTATAACCTGACACCTGGCCTTGTCCAAGATTAGGTCTCTCTCTCTCTCAAACGGAGTGATGATAGATATTAGATAGATAAGGAAAGCTCTCTCTCTCTGTATATATATATATAATTTTTTTTTTTTCTTGCGCCGGCGAAGAAATATGGGTGAGAAAGATGAAGAGCTGATGCTATTGGAAGAGTCGTATTACATGTTTTGTGCGTGAATCTAATTCGAAAGGCTTTTTACGGAGGAGACTTATATCATTTGCTGTTGGATTAGATTCACGCACAAACTCGTAATCTGCCTTTTCGAGTTTTTTTACTCATTAGATCTGTCTTCCCTTTCCAAATCGACTAATCAAATCTCTATGCTACGATATAATTTTCATTTATTTTGTGTTTTGATGATGATGATGATGATTAATTGATTATACGATTTCGATGTTTGTTTTGATACGAGAATCGTAAACCAAGATCTACCTTTCTACTTTCGGAAACTTTCCTTTTCCGTTTCTCTCTCTCTCTCTCTCTCTCTCTCGTTTTGTATATCCAAATTTGCTATTTACTATGTTTGGTTTGAATCGATTAGAGAGCCATGGCATGGGAATGGGATTTAGAGAGCTATTTGTTTAAAGTTTGAAGCACTCATTTCTTGTTTGTCGTTTGCTTATTTTGTGCAAAGTATATATGTTTTAAAGAATTTAGGTTAATGAGTTATTTGGACTCTTAATTGATGCAAAACGAACGACTCATTTAATGTCGTGTATGTATTATTAGTTTCTTGAATCATAGGACGAATTTTCTTGTTTTCTTGAAACAGGTAATCAAGAAAGTCAGAATCATCATGATCTTCGTTTTGTCTGGTCAATAAAGCAGAGCAAATCTTTTAGTAGTATAGGTTAAGTAAAGACATCATATATATATATATATATATATAAACACCATATACAAGATCAGTATCTTTGGATGATCTAGAAATTCTAAATGATGTCACCAAATTAAACGTAAACATCTTCAAATGAAGGGAATTGCATTTCGCAGATTTTGTTACTCTTACTATTGTACAAGGTCAAGGTGTGTCTTATGGTGATGTTGTAATGGGTGTATGGATCTACCGCATTGGATGAATACTCCATTCAAACAACTAACACCATTTACGTTGGCTACAAATATATCATGGAGTTTATGAAAGATCTCCATATCTATTTTTTCCCTAAACATTAACGCAAATCGGACAATAGAGTTTGTGGACTAATTACAAACAACAAGATACATTAGTTGAAGAAGTGAAATCATATACAGTATAGACTAAAACTAACAAATTAATCAATTTTCTTTAATATATTGGGCTATAAGGCCCATTAAGGCTAACAGTTTGGTAAACTAAATTTAGGCCCCTTTTGTGCTTCTTCTCCCTCACACAAGTAGAAACCAAACCAGTTGTAATATGAGTCGAAGAAACCTTTAAATATATAAATCCGACCAAACCTGTTTCCCTCTCATTGATCTCGTCTTTTGCATATTCCTCGAATGGTTCGCTGATTCGTGAAGCTTACCAAACTGTTGGCTTGCTAGTCTCTCCCTTGTTTAACAGCTGCCGCAGATTCTTCTCTTGCGCGCCAACTGTTCGTCAAATTGCCTGAACCAGTTTCTTCAAGCATATATAATCCCTCATATATTTTTCTTTTTCTTTTTCTTTTCAGTATTAGATATTTCATAGCAAGTTATGTTTTTCCAACAACCCTAAAAGGTTTTGGGGTTGATTCGAAACTAGTCTAGGATGGCTACTACTACTAACGGGAACATTAAGAAAAGAGATGGTGGTTTATCGTCGCTTGCTCCTCGCAAAATCAACGTTCAGAAGTTCTCAGAGGCTCGAGCAGCGGAGCTCGAAGCTCTCCACTCCATTGTATCTGATCGTTTGAACAAGGACTTTCGATCAAAGAGGAACAAGAGGAGAAGGACCAATTCTTACAATAACCAACCTGCCAAGAGACGTAATATAAAGAGGCAAAAATCAGAGTCATTGATTGGCCAAGCAGCAAGAGGAGACCATGAAACGAAGCTCCCTAGACGAGTTAGGAGGAGAATGCAACTTAAAGAGAACCCTGAATCTGGGTTTTCTACTTCTGGTGATGGAACCAAGAGGCTAAGAACACATGTTTGGCATGCTAAACGGTTTACCATGACTAAGCTTTGGGGCTTTCATCTTCCTCTTGGTTTACATGGAAGGTAAATTTCAAATTTCCAGATTTGTTGCTACTTACAAGTACCTAAAGTTCCCCCCCTTTTGAAAATTTTAAGCTTGTTTTTGTCAAATGTTTATAGAGGAAGGGGATCTAGGGATGTCTTGAAGCAGTCTAGGCAAGGTGTTCTTATCCATGATGCAAGTTATCACATTGCTGTGCAATTGGAGGGTCCAGAGGCAGGCATTTACCTTATTCTTGACATTCTTTTTGAATTTTTGTTTCAACTTGGCTGTAATTTAATATTTTTTATATTTCTTTTGGCTTTGAATTTCTCAGGTCTCACTCTTGTCGATTTTAAACATGTTACTGGAGCCTTCTCCGTCATCTCATTCCAAGGAAGTTTTCGACTCTATTCTCACAGGCCGTAGTTATGGAAACGCCATGGTAGTAATCTATGAATCTCACTTTTATATTTAACTGGAAACGATACTTATAAGCTGGATGTAACTGTAACTTTCTTGTTTCTTCAGCTTTATCATGTCAAACCACCAGTTTCTCAGGTGATTGCCCCTGTAATTTATATGTGGAGACCGTCTGAGTTACTTAAGAGAAGAGACGAGGAGGAAGATGGTGTCTGCATAGGAACTGATGGTGAAGTCTCAAATGCTGATCATGTAGACTTTCGAAAACTTTGGGTGTGGATCCATGCTTCTTCCTTCAGTGAAGGATATGCTTCTCTTAAAGTAGCTTGTCAAAACCAGGTAGTTATTTTAATTTATTTTAAGATATTTTTAGGTGTCTCCATCTTAGATTTGTCGTTAGGAGTTTGCATAATGCTTTACATGTATTTTGTGGAGATATTCACGCTTAAAGTTCCTTCATACAGATGAATGAGAGAGGTGTTTCAGTTGATTGTGTTTCACTTGAGGGTCAACTTGCAAAACTTGAGATTTTTGGTCCAAAAGCTTTTCATCTTCTTCAAAAGACCCTACATCCTGCCACAATGTGAGCCATCTGAGTAAATATAGAATGGTTTTCAAGAACGAAAATGAAAGGAATAACTTACCGCAAGTTTTTTTGTCTTTGCAGTAGCTCAGAGGATCCCTCTGTTTTAAGAAAGTGTTCAATGGAAAATGCTGAAGTTAAAATGGTTACTGATCTTTACAAAGAAGAGATCATATCATCTTGCGCTATTTTGGCGCAGTTTGTCATGGATCCACGGTTAATCCCTAATAGTCCACGTGATGATAGTACAGTCTCAGTTCAAACGGCCAAAGTTGAGCCTACGGAGTCACTTGAAATAACCAAAACTGATGCTGAAATGTCTACTGAAGTTTTCAAGTGCTTCTGGGATGCAGATTGTGATCTGACCCCTCCAGAAGAAGAGAATATGTTATGTTGGGAAAAACATCAAAGTCGTATGGATTCTCTTTGCCTCGATAACCCAGCTGCTGAGGTTCCAAAGGTATCTCGTAGGCCAAGGAGTTCGAGGTCTTGTCCTTTACTGCTTCTTAAACATAAAAAGCTTGAGAATGCACCAACCGGGTAATCTACACTTTGATTGAATCGTTCTGTGACTTTCTTTAAAATCAAGGTCCTCAATGATTCACATTTAGTCATTACCATTCTCTTTCAGATGGTCTCTAATACTTCCCCTTAGTTGGATCAAAGTCTTCTGGAATGCCTTCCTCTCAAAAGGAGCTCATGCAATAGGTCAGAGGGAGAAACGCTGGGTTTCTTGTGATGTATATATCCGCTCTCATAAACTTTATCCCCCTAATTTTAAGATTCACTTGCTATGTAAACTTATGAAACCGTAAATTTGAAAAATGTCTAAAATTTGTCATTTTTATTTGCAGGCTGGTTTACCCTTTTTCCCATCAGATTTTCCTGATTGTAAAGCGTATTCAACTTTTACACTGGGTGAGGCTGCAGAGTTGGAGGAAAAGGCACAACGACGCCCTCCTGCAATAAGACCTTTCCGAATTCCCATTCCACCTCCATGGAGTAGTATCCATGTCACTCGTTCTTTTGGAGAGAGTTCCAATGAAAACCATACAAGCAATGAGACAAACTCAACTGAAATTTCCAGTTCTTGTGTTAATCTATTTGATGGAATTGTGGCAAGAACATCAGATTCGCTGACTACAGTGCTCCAAACTTTCACAAGTGACAACTTGCTTTTATGTCCTCACAATGCTTCAAAACCAAGCACAGACGTTAAGAAGATGGTTCAAGAAGATGAAACAAAAGTAAGAGCCCAGATCCATGAGAATAGTAATAAACTTTGCCTCGTCAGAGTACTTCTACACGCTTTCAAGGAAGGGTCTTTTGAAGAAGGCGCGGTTGTATGTGCACCATCTCTTGCAGACATATCATTGCTAAAATCCAGGTAACATCTCCAAGAGGTCATGTTCAACTCTCATTTTGGGATCACATTTAGAGTATATTGCGTTATGTTTTGCAGCTGCAGTGAAGGAGAAGAAGGGCGTGTTACAATCCCTCAATCTTCTGTAAGTTCTTACTTTCAAGAACAAACACCTGGAACCTGGGAAGTAAATGTCCCTGAAGACACTATGACAAAGCAATCTCATAGATTGCCAATCGGGTTTGTAACGACAGGATTTGTCCGTGGGAGGTAAAAAACAACCTGCAAAACCTTGATTACAATTCAGCAGAGGGAGATTCTGGTTTCTGAGCTCTTAAACTTGTTCTTAAAATGCAGTAAAAAGCAGAAGGCGGAAGCTTTCTGTGATGCAGTGTTGTTAGGGAGACTGAGAGACGAGCAATGGAGAGAAAAAGATGTAAAACGGAGGAAGAAGGAGATTTATGTGTTGGTTAGAAACCTAAGATCTTGTGCTTTTAGACTCGCACTTGCTACAATTGTTTTAGAGCAACAAGAGTCTAGTGATGTCTACTGCTTTTGAAATGCGTCCCTTTTCAAATTCACCAGGAAACACTGTTGTTTCGTTTCTATCCATTTATTTTACACAGTATTTATGATAATTTTTACTATCATAGCAAAGTTTAAAGAGAATTTGGATCAATGGTTTCTAAAGTCAAATTCAAAAGAAAATAAACTAACCAGACCAAGTTGAGTATGTATATTATTATTTTGGTTAGATAAATAAATAAAATCGCCAGTAGCTTAAGGCGTCGTCGTTTCAGTACTCACCCTTTAATTTAATCCAACTTTATAGCTCCGGTGGTAAGGAAAACTCCAAGCACTAATAAAACTCTCTTTCTCTCCCTCTTATCTCCACCGGCGCCGGAGAAATTCTCCGATCAACACTATCTCCACTACTGCGACTGAGTTTAGGTTGAAGATGGAGAGACGTGTGGCAAACGCCTTTCCTGGTCCTACACCACCAGTTCCGTACTACCAGAACAACTACAACCCTCATCACCATCAGATTCATCCACCGCCGCCGCAGCAACACCATGTCGTTGCTGTTGGATTTCACCAATACCCCCAAAACGAAAACAGAGATCAGCCTTTCCGTCAGCCGCATTTTGATAATTATTCCGGCCAACAACAGAACATGATCGTTGATCAGAATAATAACGCTCCTCCGCCGTTTCCCTCTAGTCCTTGCGGTGGCAACTTACGGAAGAGACGGTCTCAATCAGCTACAGGTTTTCTCCAGTTTTGATTTTTTCTTTTTTCTTTTCTGCTTCATATCGAGGAAAAGGTGTAAACTTTGGTGTTCATCGTTAATAAAATACATACTCTTGAACTCGCTTTTGGTACTTTCTTTGTGTGTTCGAGCTTCTTAATTTTGAGTTCTTGTTTGTATACATGAAGATACTGCTGATGGTACTATTGCCAAGTTATATGTTGCGCCGGTCTCAAAGACAGCAACTGAATATGATGTGAGTCTCTTGGCTTACTCTCTATGGTTTTATGAATTGTTTCCTTGAGATTTTATGTGCAAGTAAATTGACTTGTGAAAATCTGTCTTTTACATCAGATCCGTCAGGTGTTTGAAAAATATGGTAATGTCACTGAGATCATTCTACCCAAAGATAAGATGACCGGTGATAGAGCAGGTGATTCCTTTTTTTATTTCCCAATTACTTGAAAAGTATATTCTTTCACTGCCTTTCATTGACATTCTTGCTTCTGGGGTTTAGCAGTTTGCTTATAACTTTCTTTCTTATTTATCTTTCCAGCTTACTGTTTTGTTAAGTACAAAAAGTCAGAAGAGGGTAATGCGGCTATTACAGCTTTGACTGAACAGTTTACCTTTCCTGGGGTGGGTTCTTAACTTCTGCATTGTTTTGTTTAGACATTTCCTCCCTGATATGAGAGCCCTCTCAGACATCTATTTCGTTATTTTCAGGAAATGGTTCCTGTCAAGGTCCGATTTGCTGACGCCGAACGGGAACGGATTGGTAAGAGTAGGTGTCCATACTTCTAGGAACAGAAATTTAGATAGAAGTTACAATTCTGAAGACAGAATATCTCTTACCTTAGATGCGCTCTTCTTTTTCTCATTTGTGTATTCTCTTTCCATCTGGACTTTAGGTTTTTCCACGGTACAACTTCCAGATAACCCTAAACTATATGTTAGATGCCTAAACAAACAAACTACAAAAATGGAAGTCCATGAGGTATGGCTTTAAATTTCAGTTAATCTGAATTCCTTTGTCACTGAAAATCTACAGGACCATGTGCAGATTGTTTTTGTTACCCCCATTTTATAGTTCAGTTGCTTACTTTGTTGTGAGTAAATCCTCAAAGTGTCCTCTTCTCAGGTCTTCTCTAGGTACGGAGTCATTGAAGATATTTATATGGCACTTGACGACATGAAGATTAGTCGTGGTACGTCTGTTGCCCCCTGCATGGATTGATTCTTGACTCTAAATCATGCTTGTTTCAGAGATCCTAGTTTAAACTGCTCACATTTTGTTGGAAACATGATGTGACAGCCTTAGATTGTTCTTTCTAACCAATGCTAAATTGATCTTTTGGATAGCATGAAACCTGATTATAACTAACTTATTCGCTCTCTGTAGGGTATGCATTTGTTCAGTTTTCTTGTAGGGATATGGCACTGGCGGCAATTAAAGGTTTAAATGGAGTCTTTACCATGCGGGTATTTCAGATAGTTTTTTTTGTTGTATCCCAATGGCTTAATGTTTCTTTGGCGTCCACTGTTCCATGACTTGCTGTCTTTCTGTCTTCCTTCAGGGTTCTGATCAGCCTCTGACTGTTAGATTTGCAGATCCTAAAAAACCAAGGTTTTGCTGCTTACTTTTCCTTTGAACATTATTTGTTTGAGGATTTGCCTGATTTTTGTTTCAATTCCAAACTCTGTCTCTTCTCTTCACTTTAACCTTACCCCATCACTTATATTGTTTCGTGTCTTCAGGTCTACCTTTAATACTCCGCTTGTAATGCAAAATTTCGACCCAAATTGGCACCCACAACCATATCCCCAATGGGAAAACAAGGAACCTGCACCCCCTAGAGTCGTTCCGCATCATGATATTGCTTCACAGCCAAATCACTTTCCGTACCAAAATACTCAAGCAGTATCCGAGATTCACAAACCACTGCATCAAGATATTCCACCTCAAAATATTGATAAGCATCAGAAATCTGAGACTGCCAGCGTGGAGGTACTCCTTTTGTAGGATCTGCTCATGGTAGATGGATCTTGAACTCCGAACTAAGAGTTTATTTATATGGTTTGGGTTTCATAAATCTCATATATACATCTGCTTGATCTTATATCTGTAACTACCTTTTTGTAGACTAGAAGTGATAGTCAGAAGATTCCTAGTCATTCAAATTCATTCCCTGAAGATCAAAATACAGTGAGCTTTGAGTGTGACTGGAGTGAACACACTTGTCCAGATGGGAATAAATACTATTTCCATTGCGTCACATGCGAAAGCACGGTATGGGTTTCCCTCTTTCGATGTGTACTCTTCCGAAGCCATATCTTCTTTTATGGAATTTGTGGATGAACACACAGTGGGAGAAACCGGATGAGTACTCCATGTTTGAGAGATGGTTCGAAGAGCAAACAAGGCTACAAGATAAAAAACATGTATCTCCCCAGTTAAACAATGAGAGCCATGAAGCAATCGAAACGAGCGAGCAAGTACAGTCTGATGCATTACAACAGAATACTGAGCTCCAACAACCATCCATAGCCTCAGCGGTTAGAGATCATTTCTGTAAAATGTGTCGTATTGACACACTGCGAGTTCCATCATTTAAGATAGTCTCTTCAAGAAGAGTAAATTCTAATCTATATCTGTGCTGTATGTTTTCAGGATCAGGAGAACAATTCAGTATATCCAGTAACAACACTGGCTGTTGAAACAACATGTTCATAAAAGGTGTCAGGTAATGAACAGTTGATTATTTTTAGTGATGCAGTAGAGGTTGATTTGGTTCCTGGCTTAGCTCTTAAAGTTGTCTAAATGTGCAGTTTAAAACCGACGGGGGAAGCTTTGTGTGATGATGCAGTGTTGTTAGGGGAGACTAAGAGATGAGAGACGAGAAAGAAGGAGATATATATTTCAGTCAGGAACCAAAAATCTTGTGATTTTAGAATGTAGACAGTAAAAACTGGTTCGGGAACTCAAATTTTGCTATAGAAACTTAGAATTGGAGAGAAAAATAATCGAAAATTTGATTTTATTTGGAAAATAAATAGAAACTTATTTTCACCTGATCCATTTAACTACTGGTTACTGCTAGTAATTGAATTTTATAAAATCCAAAAATTGAAGTTGCTTTGTTAATAATTTATTGGAAAATAAAAACTGTAACGGTATTTTTCAAAACTCAAGTGCCTCTCTTTGAAGAAGAGAGTTAAGGGCGTCAGTCACCTTCTTCCCCTTTAAAGGCAGAAATAGACTCAAAAGAGATCCGAAATAGACACACTCCACTTTGCGGAAACAACAACAACACAAACTCACACTTACAAGGATTGGAAGAAGAAGACCAAGGTTACATACTCTTTGCTCGCTTTCGTTTTTCAGATTTCGACTTTGTTTCCAGAGAATTTCGATTCTGTCTATTTGAAGAACTCTGGATTGATCTGTGTTGTTTCTTTCTCTCTCGAATCTCGTCAAATCGTACTCTGTTCGTCTTGTCTAGATTAAGGAAATATATATACATATATTTGTCGATCTCGAATTTTGAAGTAGATTTGAGTCATCTGCAGAAGCTAAACCGCTCTTGATATGCCGAATCTGATGCTTTTGGTCTGATTATTAGTCCTAATTGATTTTGATTCGTCTTCTTATTTCTCCTTCTTCAGAGATTTTGGGATCTGAAGTTTTGTGCAACTAATGGCGAAGATCAAACCCCAAGCGTTATTGCAGCAAAGCAAGAAGAAGAAAGGACCTTCTCGGATAAGCATAACCAACATCGTCATTTACACCTTGGCTGTGCTACTGCTCGTCTTTGTTCTCTTCTCTGCTTACAAACGTTGGACTCAGAGGTTCCTCACTTTCTCAACTTCATCACTGCTCTGCTCTGCTCTCTATCTCTCTCATTTAAAAGATTGATTCTTTCTCCAATTAATCCCATAAGCTTGGACTAGTTGAACAAGTCTAAGAAAAATTATACTTGGTGTCAGTTTCTTGGTGTCAAATTTACTGAGTAACTACTTTTTTTGAATTTCAGATCTGAGATCCCATCGCACAATGGTAGATCAGTTCTTGAGGTATGCCTGGCTGCTTATTTCTGATTTAGCTTCCGTGCTTGGTTTGTTTGTTTCAATGACCGAGACAATAGTTATGATTGGGATATAAAATGATTGTCCTGTGTAGGATGCAGCCTTCCCGGGAATCAAGAACACCAATCTTCCGCGGTTTGCTGTGAGTTCTTGTATCCCACAACACCATATGTTTTCTTCTGTTTCGTATTTTCCTTTTGTTTCCTACAATTTATCTTTTCTTTTGTTGATCGCTAGACCTTAGATACGGGCAAAGGTTCTGTGACCATTGAACTGTTCAAGGCTACTGCTCCTAATGTTGTTGACCAATTCATGAAATTATGGTAAGCAAAACTTTTTCTTTCATGTCCAAAACATATTTGCCTGTTTAAACTTTATTCTTGCATAAACTTTGTTTCTCTGTTGTCTGTCATTCGTTTGAGCAGTCAAGATGGGTATTTCAAAGGTTTCTTATTCAGTCGAGTTGTTAAGCACTCTGTGATTCAAGCGGGTGACTCTGCTGAGTTCGATGCCGTCAAAGACTGGGCACTCGAAAGGAAGAGCCTGGATACCAGGTTGGTTCTAAATCTCGTTTGGAAAACATGACAAAAGCTTAGATCTTTTTTTCCAGGCTAATTAGGGACTCTCTCTCTCTCTCTCTCTTTCTCTGTGTCCTTGATCAGTTTAAAACAAGAAGAATTCATGGTGGGAACTCCTAAAGTTAAAAACGAGCAAGGAGGATTCGAGTTCTTCATTGTATCTGCTCAGATCACAGATCTGAACGAGAAATTGACAGTCTTTGGTCGAGTTGCTAAGGGACAAGACGTCGTTCAGGACATTGAGGAGGTTGAGACGGATGAACAGTATCAACCAAAGTCACCAATAGAGATCATGTCCGTCACTTTGCTTCAAGACATGTAAAAAAGCTTTACTTCTCGTCTCTTGTATGAAACTCAAAAGTGCTTTTTTGTGTTCTTTTTTTATTCTGTAATTGAACCCTTATTATCATCTATTTTGCATTAATTTTTCTCCTAGTAATCTAAACACTTGAAGACTTTATATACTGTATTTGAAAGCTAAAACGAGAAGGATAAACAACAATAATTTAAAACAAATTATACAACATTCATTACACTGTTGTGTAAATCACTTCACTATCATGCAAAACGTGGCGCACTCAATTATCCCAACCAGATCTCCTCTTCCTCTCTCTAGGCCGATTCTCCGAACTGCAACAGTAAGAGAAAGAGGTCAATACTACTGTTACTATGTTACAACTTACAAAATAGTGAAACTAAAAGGAATTGAACCTCTGTGAATGCTCCTGGCTGGATGAGGCGTTATGGGTAGGTGCTACTGAGGGAGGTTGACTCTGAGTTCTACCCATGTCCCCACCAATGGTACCACCTGAGACAAACCCAATTAGGGATGGTCTCTTGTTTGGATAAGCTTGGTTTTGTGGATTGGATGGCGTTGCGGCTACAAAGCTATTCTTGAATTGGGCCATTACTCCAGTTCTCACAGAATTGATCACCCCGCTTCTACTTGGCGCAGCTTTAAAAGATGGTGTTCCACTTGGTTCCGAGCTAAATCCAATACCAAGACCAAAATCAACACCACGTACTCCTCTGTTTCCGCCTCCTCCTCTACCACCTCGTCCTTTCTTCCCACCTACATCATAAGAGATTTAAGAGATCAAGCACAGGTTTTTGTAAATCTATGCAAAGAAACATTTAAAATTTTTCCTTTTTGGATTCATCTACTAGTGCAAAGGTTTCTCTTGATAATACTAATAGAGCTACAGAATGCTTACCTCCTTTTCTCCCTTCACGCTTGGACTTGAATCGCCCATCCTATTGATTTACAAAGATGAAATTTGACTCAAAAACATGTTTTCTTCTATGCAAAAATGAAACTAGAGCGGTGTAATGGAGCTGGTAGAATGAACAATCTTATCCCGATGGAAGATACAAGAAATAAAATTTATAGAATGTTGTCAACGAAGAGGAACTGTTATTACCTTCATGGCGAGATCCATGAGTTCTGGTGGTACATTCTGACCAGCAGCAACCAGACTGTTTACCAATTCACCAGCAAATCTAGCTTCTCTCTGCGTAACAAGTGTGTAGGCGACCCCATCCTTATCACCAGCACGGCCTGTCCTTCCAATTCGATGTACATGCATGTCCATATCTTTTGCGATGTCATAATTAACCACTGTCTTGAGTGATTTGATGTCCAGACCCCGGGCAGCAACATCAGTGGCAATCAGCACATGGTAGATTCCAGATTTGAACTTCTGCAAAGTGTCCATTCGTGATGCCTGGTCTTTATCACCGTGAAGAGCAGCAACTTTAAAAGACTTTAGAGTAAGCTGAGCTTCGATCTCATCAACAGTGGCCTTTTTAGAAGCGAACACTAATACGTCACCCTCATCAATCATTCCAGGGAGCTTCTCAAGTAGCCAAGGAAGTTTTTCAGTATCAGAAGATATTACATTGACAACTTGGGTAATATCTTCATTGGCCATCCCCACTTCACCAACTGTGACTCTAATAGGATCTGAAAGGATTTCCCTAGCTAACTTTTCAACTTTCCAAGGCATAGTGGCTGAAAAGAGTAAAGTCTGACGATCAGGACGAATCTGGCCAACAATAGACCTTACTTGTGGCTCAAAACCGAGGTCAAACATCCTATCTGCCTCATCTAGAACCAAATAAGTGGCTCTCATCATTGTCAAAGCCTTTATCTTCAGCATGTCTATCAACCTTCCAGGAGTAGCAACAACTATCTCGCATCCTGCCTTGAGTTCCTTAAACTGTTCATGTTTAGACATTCCACCGTACACAGCAGAGACCCGTAGACCATATGCTTTTGAAAATTTCTTCGCTTCCAAGAATATCTGATGAGCCAGTTCTCTAGTTGGAGCACATATGACACCAATAGGACCTTCTTCTTTCTGAAGTTCCGGCTGATCCATAATATGCACAATCATGGGAAGAACAAATGCTGCGGTCTTTCCTGAACCAGTTTTGGCTATGCCAATAACATCTCGACCAGATAGCACAATAGGTAAAGCCTGACATTGGATTGCTGTAGGTTTTTCATAAGCTTGCTTTTTGATAGCATTCATAATCTGTGAGGAAAATCCACAATCTTCAAAGGTCTTAACTGGCCGAACAACATCAAAACCCGACACACGTATGCCCAATCGCTGACGGTAATCTAAACTTTCTTGTTCACTCATTCCTGGATAAAGAAAAAAATAATCAATCTAGATCCAGCGCCAAGACCTACATATATTAGAAAGCAAGTAACTTTAACGAACAGATACTTACCCGATATTGATTCCACCTCCTCGTAGAAGTCTTTATTAATCGGTTCGTAATCAATGGAACTATGATCGAGAGCTGGAATGGGCTCAATCTTCCTTTTATCCACGACAATGGGATTATCATCGGAATCATAGTCCAGCATCCCTGCATCCACCGCCTTGGCTGCAGCATACACCTCCTCATCAGAGTTATAACCTGCGTTAAGAGCGTCTGCGGCTAGTGTGAGGCCTAAATCCTTCTTCGCCTTGAGGAAACTCTCAATAGGATCGTCATCATCGTCGTCCTTGTACCTCTCCAGTTTCTCCTTTGGCTTAGGAGGCGGAGCAGCTTTCATCTCCTGGTGAATTCCCTCCATAAAAGCATCTAATGGATCGATCTCATCATCCTCGCCACCGTTAGCGGCGGCAGAAGGGCCCTCCTCAACGTCTTCCTCAGCTTCTTCGTTTTCCATGTAATCAATGTTATCTAGATCGGCATCTTCGGAGTTGTCTCCGCCACGAGACGACGGAGGGACGTAGAGACGTTGCGGTACTTGAGATCGTTCGAAACTGTAGGTAGTTTGCCGATTTATGCCGAATCCTTCAATTCCAAACTTCCGATTAGACATACTTCACCTTCGAATTTTTCAGCTATAACTTTGAGCAAAGCTCTCTCAACTGTTGCTAAGTTTTGTTACGACGAATTTAGGGTTTCCCCGGTGGTGATATGTAGTAAATTGGAGAGGAAGGAGACGAGACAATCTCGAGTAAAATTTAATTTCCCGGGTTTACCGACTTGTTAACGTCTATACAATTGGGCCTATAATGGGCCTTTGTTTAGCTCTACTGTCTCTTTTCTTACAACTGGGCCTGTAATATCCCCCAATTAGAATTAGTGTTTGATCATTCTTCTTTACAAATATCTTTTCTAACATCATTTTGTATAAACTTGTTAATCTCTTAAAGGTTTTTGATTTCTTGACCAAAAAAAAAAGAAAAAAAAAGAGGTTTTTGAATTGTATTAAGAATCTATATTAGGGTTTAAATTTGGGTTTTGAGAGAAATGCAAAAATGAACACCCTTTAAAAACCTCTCATGTAATTTAGATTTTCCAAAAATTGGACACCTTTAAAACCAGTCAATTATATATTGTTAGCTTTCAAATTCCAAAGCATCACCGAATTAATTAAAAAAATGGAGCCATACAAAGTAATTGTCCTCATCGGAGTTACTGTTTGCTGTTATACATTCTCCGGCGTCCAAGCCATCGGCCGTTCAGTAGAAGATGCATCCCAAGCCCCCGCTTCCTCGCCTGAGGGTCCGCTTCTTGAACCGCCCGTATCATCAATCTCGGCCGTCCCAGCCTCCGCACCATCCCCGACCTCAGAAGACATAGGCTCCGGACCTTCAACTTCCACGACGGAGACATCCGCACCCGGACCATCCGAAGAAGACATAGATATGGACATCGACATCGACTTCGACTCCGTGACAAACATAGCAGATCTAGCTCCTAAGTTTGAGCACATAACAAAATTTGATTTCTCATCAATGAAAATAGACACGACGGCGAAAGATCTCTGCAAAAACACAGATTACAACAACGAATGCATCGCGGCGATTCTACCGGATCTACGGAAACGAGACGGCGGGAGCGGAGGATTCGAAGCCAAGGATGTGATGCGAATGGAAGCAGAGTCTCTGTTCAAAAAAGCGAAGGCGACTCTCGATTACGCGAAGCGTGTGATGGAAGATAGCAAAACGCCGATGCCGGTGAAGGAGGCCATGAGTGTTTGCGTCGAGAATTACGATTCGTTGATCTCAGGTCTTGAAGATGCCAAGACGGCGATGGACGATGGAGATTACGGGAGATTAGATTCGGTTTTGAGCGCGGCGATCTCCGATGTGTCGACTTGCTCTGATAATTTCGTGGATATTCCTGGTGTTGACTCCCCGACGGCGTCTCTAGATGAGCTCATGAAGAAGCTCTGTAGCAACGTTTTAGCCATGTCTCAAAAGGTTCAGAACCGTTAGATCGATCCATGCATCCCGCTGATATTTTGATCTTCAGTTCATTTTTTACGTTATTATATATGTACATATCAGTCTTTTTTTTTTTTGCCACGTGTGCGTATGTTTGTTATTTACTACCGACGTTTCTTTCTTTACTAGATTTATTTTTAAGTGGTAAGAAATCATTGATTCTTATACCAGTTAAACCAAAATTAAGTACATGTACCAAACTTTTACTAATTTTACCAGTTAGATAGCAAACTTGAGTTCAATATATATAGTCAACCTTTGGAAATTTAACACCGGACTATTAGCAAATACACATTTTTTTCATAGATAACAAGTTTTTATGTGTAGTAGATTGGTAGAGCAAATTTGACACGAGATGATGTGTGTGTGGTTTAATCAATTTGAATAACAAATTTACCATTTCATAGTGTGATTAAACTGTGTCAGAACATCGCCGTCACGTGAGGAAAAAAAAGAAAACACGTGTCATTATATGACATGAGAGAAAGCGGCATGGGCTAACATACACTGACGGAAGTGCATCTCTTCTTAAGATGCGCCGCACCGGCAGTTCTAAAACAAAAGAAAAAAATAATAATCAACGCAGCAGAAGAGAGGGGAACACAAAAAGGAAATAAACGAGAGAGATGAGAGAGTCTCTGTCTGTCTGTAGGTAGAGAAAGTAAAAGAAAAGGAAAACGAGTTGTCTCTCTGAGTCGACTCACCGAGTCTAGCTGTCGAAAGAGGAAGCAGCAAAAACCGATAAAAAAGGGATCTTTGAGATTTTTTTTTTTTTTTTCCTTTTGGTATTTCTTTTTTTGTATGTGTGTGTGTGTGGGTTGGTGTTGAAATAGCAAAAAAATGGTGAACGAAGAGATAATTAGTCTCTCACCTCTTTACTACTACTTGTCTTCTCACGCCTTCTTAATTCTTATTCCCAATTCTTTCCCTAACCCTAATTCTTCCTTGATTCAATTCTCAAATTTTTCCCCTTTTTGTGTGGTTTCTTACTGCCATCATCATCATCGTCATCTTCTCTACTCTCCCAATTCGTCTTTGCTGAGCAATCAAGGTATTCTTCGTGGCTTCTCTCTCTCTCTCTCTCTTTTTCATTATTTCTCGTTGATAGATCGTATTGTTTCTTTTGAAAGTTTGTATTTTTCCGTGTTTATTGCTCTGAGTCATTGGGGCTTTTCGTTTGATCTTTGATTCGATCGTTTTTGGTGTTGGTTTCAATTCATCCAGAGTTGTGGATCCGCGAGAGATCCTGGCCTCCTTTTGGAAAGTTTAGTTTTTTTTGTTTGTAATTTTCGGTTGATCACTCGCTCTTATTGATCTGGGAGTATGATGAGACACTCGTTTAATTTTAGTTGTCAATTTCAATTTCTGTTTGCTTAAGTGGTCTACTGATTCTACGTGTTCTGCTTCTCAGTATTGGAGCTTTGGGATTTCTCTGTTCATCAGTTAATCTTGGAGTTAAGTAATCTGTTGAGAGCGGTAAGAGTTTTTTATATGCCTATAAATGCTCTACAATGGAAGACAATGGTGGTGCTTATTGTGATGGTATGAGGAATACTGTGAGGAAGAAACGTAGCCTGACTTGTCGCCGTCCTCGCCCCGAGGGATCAAATCGTTTGACACCTTCAGATAATTTCAGCAAGATCTCTAGTGATGATATACCGGCATTTGATACTAACCCTAGAAGGAAAGAGTTTAGTCTTAGCCACTGTATATCACGGGCTGAATCTATAGCAGTCTCAGAGATAGGAAACAATGATTCTCGGCGAAGAGAGATCATCAATAGAAATAAACGTTTGACTGAAGGTCTACTTGCACCTGCAAGCTGGAAAAACACTAGCCGGGAAGAGGAAGGTAACGATGTGATCAATGGAAAGGGAACTGAGTCGGCTGAGTTAGAGGGAGAAACTAAGAGAATGAAGCTTAAGATCGGTGGTATGAGTCGACTGGTTCATGCTAATGGTTCATCTAGAAAGTCTTCAAAACCAGTTAATGATACTACTCGGCCTAACCTTGATTTGCAGGTGAATGATCTTAATTTGGATATCTTGACAAAGCTCAAGTTTTTGAATTTTCTTACATCCAATGAGATTTATAGTACTTTCTATCAACCTTTTGCACTGAGAGTATCCTTTTCGGTAAATGCTACGCTCTTTTCGGGCCTTACGGCCCATAATCTTCTCGGGATCGGAAACCAGAGTTAGGTTAAATTAGTCTCTTATCGGCCGCTTGGGCTCAAACTAGTAAGTGTTTGATGTTTATGGACAACAATCTGAAAATGTTTTAGGATGCATTTTACTTTTATACGCTAATGGAGTGGCTTTATTTGTGTCTTCATTTCTGTGGTGGGCTTTCTTGACAGTTTAGATTCTATAAACTTTAATATCTTTTTACATTAAATTTTATTTAATTGCAGGAAAGTTCAGAAGATTGTGATTCCCCTCTAGATAAGAAGGCTGATCTTGAGGGAGTTACTTGGGATGCTGAGATAGAAGGATCTATGACGGGGAAGAGAAGACAAGGGGAACCAACTGGCTCGGTTCGCAAGAGCAAACGAGCCCCAAAGAAACGAGTTTTTGATAGCGATGATGACAATGATGATGAGATCCGGTATTTGGAAAAATTGAAATATAAGAGAGTGTCTGTGTGTAATGACGATACTGAGTCAGGAAGGAGGCAATTGAAGCCATCTGGGATTACAAATGGAGAAAATTCTGGCAAGAAAAACCCTACGCCTGAACAGGAGTCCGAAGACATGGATTGTGCGGAAGAACTTGAAGCGGTGTCTGATGAAAAAGAGACTGGTAATGATAATAAGAGGGAATCAACTTTGACCAGTCGCCAGCGAGCCCTTGCTTCTGGCAGATCAAGTGCCATTGATTTTTCAGATGGATTACCTCCTACATCGAGAAGTAAGGTTTTAATCTCTCGCTGCTTCCACATAAATCTGTAGCAATAAAGGGTTATAATGTATTGTGGTAACTTATGTTGACAAATAGGGAAAAAGGAGACTCTTTCAGAAATGGAGCAGCAGTTGAAGAAGGCAGAAGCTGCTCAAAGACGAAAAGTTCAGATTGAGAAGGCTGCAAGAGAGTCTGAGGTTGGTGTTTTTTACTCTCTATTGTGTTATGCGCATTAATGAGAATTGGAAGATGACGACAGTATGATCTTTGTTTTGGTTTCACAGGCAGAGGCCATAAAAAAAATTCTAGGTCAAGATTCGGGCAGGAAGAAGCGTGGAGACAAAATAAAAAAAAGACTTGATGAGTTGGCTCAGGTATTGGGATATAAGCATATGATAAACCACCTTTTTTACCAACACATTCTTTCTCAGTAAAACGGGGATGCTAACAACAAGAGTCACATGTGTTTGCAGGAGAAAGCTGCACAAGAGGAGAAAGCCTCAACTTGCTACATCAGAACAATAATGGGTCCTAATGGAACCACTGTTTCATTTCCTATTGGCAAAGTGCCTAGCCTGTTCGATCCCAAACCATCAGGGTATGTTACTCTCTTTTCTTTTTTGCAGAGTCTGTTTGGAATCAGACCAATTCATTTCGTAGTTGATCGGATCTGGTTAATGTGGAAAACTATACATGCTCCGTCATCTTGTTAGTGAGCAGTATAATACGATAGATGGTAGGAAATGCTTTGAAATGTTATGAGTATGAAAGATTTAAGGAGTGCTCTCGAATTCGATTTACAAAGTTCTTTGGGTCTGTTGTTTATTGGACTCTTCATCAAAGAAAGTAAAGGCAAGTTTTTATTTTTGTGAATCTGCAGTTATCCTCCTCCAAGGGAAAATTGCGCAGGTCCATCGTGCACCAATCCTTACAAGTATCGTGATTCGAAGACTAAACTTCCTCTATGCAGCCTCAAATGCTACAAGGCGGTACAGGAACAGCAGATAGCACCGGTTTAGATATTGATTGATTTTTTTTTTGAGCGAAAGGTGAAGAGCTTAGCTTCCTGATTATACTACAGAAGACAATTTGTTTAGATTTTACTTTGCTTTCAGACTTCTCTGATCATTTGGACTAGATTATGTTTTCCCCCATTTGTGACGAGATCGTGGCCGCCCATTGGCTATACCAAACCATCACATCATAGCCGTTCACATATACAAATCGCCAACGGCTATCTCGGTTGAAAATAAAGATAAAATATACAAATTTGTTTCTAAAACATGATACGAAATGCTCAATTATTGAAAGCAAGTGAAGGCATCATGGATTGATTACAAGTACGTCGTCGTTTATGAGCTGTACGTTGTGTTGCGCCTCCACTTGTCATCATCCATAATTTGTTTTCCGCAGTTGACAATTTGACGAGTAAACAAAAAAATGAAACTTATATTACTTGGAAAGAATAAAGGCAATGATTTCTCATCACTCATCTATATATGTTTTAATAGTCAAGTAATCTTATTATGCGTGTGTTTAATTAATAAATACTAATAATAATTTCGTCGATAATGTAATTTAATATGTATGAATGATTCTTTATCATCAAACCTAACTTGAAACTATGGACATGGCACCCACTCCTTCATCTTTCCTTCAAACATAAACCTTGAAAAGAAAAAGAAAAAGAAAAAACAAACATATATTTATAACACAAAAAAGCTCCTTGATGTTTCTTAAATTTGTCGACAATTCTTCCACTTTAGAATGAATATCGCCGGCGGAGGGCAGCTGCCTTTCCGGCTTGTGACAACAACTCTCCTCAGCCTCCTCCTTCCTCTCTCTTTCCTTCTCCTTAGTCGTCTCTCTTCTGCTTCCTTCCTCTTCTCCTTAATCAAATCTCAGCCGCACACAGAATCATCTTTCTTCTACTCTCTCTTCCTTCGCGCGAATCCTGCGATCGTATACGTCGTCGTTTCATCAGTAAGCGTTTATACTCTAGTTCTTGGCTTAACCACAAGGATCACAGCTGCAGATCCCAAACGTTCGATTGCTCTTTATCCACACGTCAGCATCGCGTGGCTGACACTCTTCCTTGTTCAAATCTCCGTCGCTTTAGGACTCGAGACAACTATCTCCAACGGTTTAATCATCGGAAGCGAACGTAATTTCTTGAGCAGGCTTGTGTTTTTCTTTGGTCTTCACGAGGTGATGCTTCTCTGGTCTCGATTGATCGTGAGACCTGTGGTGGATAACACGCTGTTAGGAAAAGAAGACGGTCAACGGAGAGAAGAGACCATGGTGGAGAGGGTGGCTTTGGCCGTTAGCTGCGGGACATTGTGGTGGTGGAAGCTTCGGGACGAAGTAGAGGCTTTGGTTGGTGTGGCAGAGGCTAAAAGAGCATTGTTGTTGTTACTACCGATCGATGGTAACCTCAACGTTAGTTTTGATGTGGGAACGTTGGATTTTCTGAACTGGTGGTTATATTATATGGTTGTGACGATTGGTATGGTTCGGATCGTTAAAGGGTCTTTGTGGTTTGGGATGATTTTGCTTTTCGAACAAGGCAGAAGAAGAAATCCACGTGCAAGTCCTACTGCTTCGAATCATGAAGGTGACAATAAAGTCTAAGTAACAGATCAGTGTCATCTTATTTGAAAGTTTTATACAAGATTTTTGTATTAAATATATGCGTTAAAAGATATCTCTAGCAAAATTAAGGATTCCAATTTATATACAAATTCAAATTTTTCTTGTAGTCTAATGCGTCGGTCTTTATATGACAAAGTTTGGCTTCTTGTTCTTACACCAAAACGAAGTCGGATAAATTCCACTATTTGTAATCATGTTCAGATCTTATAATGCATGATTATCTATAATAGATTAAGAGAAATTTGATAAACACAAGCTTTACATCAGATTTCTAATAAAATCATGCATAAAGAAGAGGTCATTAGCAAGAATCTAAGAAGAATTACTTAAAAAAAAAAAAAAAGGGTCTAAAACACAGCTTCTACAAGTATGTGTCTCTTCTTAGAACCAAACCCAACAATGTGGTTCAGATAAACTCTGCCTTCCTTCACAGTAGCGGACGAGACTAACCGATGAACCATACCGCTGCTGAACCAACCTGTTACGGAAGCCGTGCGCCACCCGTCTGAACTCTCTACAAGTTTCGAAGACGGGCTGCCTGAAAAGACTCACAAATTAATCCAAACTAAGTTGTCTACACGTCTTGGTAAACTCATAGAAGTGAGAAATATGTACCAAAGATGTTGAAGATTACCTGCAACAACAATCTTGGTGGGAGAAAGGAACTCAAGGCCGTCTCCAAACCTCAACGAGCCACCAGAAACGTCAACGACAGTGACTTTAGTGGTAATATCAGCATTGGTGACATCGATTTTGAATAAGAAACCGGAGAAAGTGTGGATGACGAGAAGGAAGGCGTCAGGGTGGTAAACGATGCCGTTGAGGGAGACAAAGTTATTGAACCAGGCAGGTGGGATGAAGAGAGGGCTTCTAATGATGGACACAAGCTTCCCATTGACATCAAGTAGCCAGATTTTACCTCCTTTTGCATCAGTGACATAAGCATTGCCTTGTGTATCAACAGCTACATCGTGTGCGTATGATATCTCTTTACCTAGAGTACATTGCTCCAATTTGGAAACAAGATCATAGATTAGCTGTATATCACTAACAGAGATATATAATCCAATTGAATCTAATAATCCAACTCTTTCACAAAACAAATCTGAGAGAGAGAGAGAGAGAGAGAGAGAGAGAGAGAGAGAGCTTTACTGATACTATGGTGGCTGCTGCTGCTGCTAAGGACTGTGAGGAAGATACGACGCCACGTGGACAAATCGTAGGCCACTAAAGCGCTGAAACGATTCCCGAGCAAATCGCCGACAGCGAGGAGGAGACGGTTTCTGTGGCGGTCGATGACGAATCCGTTGGAAGAGTTGCCGGCGAGGTCAGCGTCTTTGACCAAAGTGAGTTCCCCAAGAGCGTCGTCGGAATCACTAGTACAAGGAACAAGCTGGCCGATTCCGCCGCCTCCGTCCATGTAGGAAACGAGGAATCTCCGACCTACGTCGTCCCATTTGGCGCACTCGCGGAGGAAGCCGGAGCTGTGGTAAGAGATGACATGTGTCGAAGGAACCGCGCGCTCTAAGGAGATGAGGTAAGCCAAGGGAATGGCGGAGACTAAGAGGAAGAAGAGAGCGACGGAGCAGCACGACGGAGACATATTTTTTTGAAAAGGGAGAGAGAGAGAGAGAGAGATAAATAGGGTGCGGCGAGGACCACCTTGCTTTTTTCAAGCTTTTTTAAATTCCAATTCGGTAAGCTGAAAAGATCGATCGTTTATTCTCACTTCTTCAGAAAATATTCAAAACACACTGACACACACACACACACACACGTTTCCTTTCTACTAAATAGTGTATTTGTCGTAATCTCCTATACTATAATTTGACATACTAGTAAATATGATTATAATTAATTAATGGATTAATAATAATCGATACTAGGATAAATAGCATAACTTAAAACTGTCGGCATTTTAGGTGTTTTTGAATTTTGATGGTGATGAATCGATGATGTAAAGTTGGGAAGGGGAATAAAATAAATATCATTCTTATTTTTTCTTTTTTGACAGAAAAGAGAAAAAGGGGGTCCTTCCAAAATTGATGGGCCGAGGTCAGATCTTAGCCCAATAGTTTGGATGGGAAAATATATATGACGAGAAGATCCATCAGAAAAGACTTAAAACTGGAATTTAAAGTAATCATATTTCAGTGAGGAATCCTCTTCTTAATTCGTTTGTTACGGTCGTCGTCGTCGTCTATCTCCCACACTTCCGACTTGGTAGATCCCCAAATTCATCCTTCCCTCTCTCTCTCTCTCTCTGTTTTATTTTTAATTTCTAAATTCGTCGTCTTATTTTGAATAATGAGTGCTTTTCTGACATAACCTGATTCGAATCGCTTCCTCTTCTTATCGCCGCGATCTAAGTGATCGGAATCCAGATTCCCTTGTTTTGTTTTTCTCTCGGGGACTTTTTTTTTTTTTTTTTTTGTTTTAATCTTCATGGTTTTCTAGTAATATTTATATATATATTTTCTTAAGATGTATATTTGGCTGGGAAGTTTTTGTCATTGATATTGAGTCCATTGACAGTTGGTTTAATATGTTCTTGTTTGTAATCTATATATGTAAAATTCATATCTAATGCATAGGTTTTTTTATATGTCCATTTTTGAGGAAAAAATAATCGGGTCTGATAAAGAAAGTGCCAAATTTTAGTCTGTGAATTGCTAGTTAATTACATTTCTAGCTTTTCTTTAGTGAAGATTTGTAGGGCACTAGTTAATTCCCATGTTTGATCTTTGTTGCTATGTAAAGATACATGTTCATGTCTGTATTCTATTTAGTATACTTGATTGTAGCACTGATAACATTGACAAGAGAACTGATTTGAGGTTATTTTTTACCCCAAAAACAGATCCATTCTTCTCCGATACATTGATTTTGTTGTGAATTACATTTCTAGCTTTTGTGTTATGAATATTTGTAGGGTACTATACTGATTCATGTTTGATCTTTGGGGTTATGCTGGTAGGTTGAGAGAGAGAGAGAGAGAGAGATGGCAGGACATAAGGTTGCGCATGCGACATTGAAGGGTCCTAGTGTTGTCAAGGAGTTAATTATTGGTATGGCTCTCGGGTTAGCTGCTGGTGGTCTCTGGAAGATGCACCATTGGAACGAACAGAGGAAAACCAGAGCTTTCTATGATTTGCTTGAGAGAGGTGAGATCAGTGTCATAGCTGCTGAAGAGTAATTTATAGCCCGCTCGAAACCTGGTTCCTTCTAGACTGATGAGTTCGATTTCGGTTTGTTTTGTTTTTAATGTTGTTGGGTTTCTTAAAGAAATAAACAAAGGATAAAAAGGATTTTGTCAGTTATTAACAAATTCAAATGTGCTGTTGATTCAGGCGTAATCTCTCTTGTTTTGTTTTGCTGTTTGAGATTATTACAAAAGGTGAATATTGTTGAGACTTATAGATGGAAGTATTGCACTTGACAAGAGTGTTTACAGCATTTCATGTATCAAAGCCTTTTCTTTTCAAATTATTATGAATCGCAATATTCTCTAAAAAAATAGTTTGTGTTGCTTCTGCCTTTTTTTATTTTATTTATGGTGTACTCTTCTGCAAGTGCATTCGAATGAAGTATGTAGCCAACAAAGCACCTATGGAACTCTGAAAAAAAACATAACCAACAATTCCAAAAAAATTGAATCAGCTTATCGAATGTGAGAAATCTTGTGGTTTTGTTTTCTGTTCGGAAATGGTGAGAGTGAGACAGTTTACCAGAGAAGTGATCTCCTGAGCTTGGAGTGATCTTCGTGCTCACCAATCTCGGGATTACCACCACCTGTGCCTGCCGCTACTTTGTCTGCAGAATCTGAGCCTTCTTTCGACTGGTCCGGACTTGCATCTGCATCTGATGTGTTTGGAACACAGTATTTTTGAAGCCAACGGTCGGTTTCCCAGAGAACGTGCATAATGCTTTCCCGTGCTGAGTACCCGTGGCTCTCGTGAGGAAGAACAACAAGACGGCAAAGAGCGCCGTGACCTTTTAGTGCATTGAAGAATCGGTCTGACTGTTTTACAACGTATGTGAAATGAAACTAGTTAGAGGGATAAAAATGGTGTGATTTGAATCTATTTCTTTTCGGTGATTTCTATTGAACTTATAACCTGCATTGTTAGAGTTCCTGGGTTATTGTCTTCTTCACCATGAATGAGCAAGATTGGCTTCTTGATTTTATTAGCAGACATGAATGGGCTCATCTCTACGTAGACGTTAGTAGCTTCCCACAGAGTTCGGTCCTCGTTCTGAAAATTTTCAGGCATAGTTAATGGTTAACCAAAGATAAGTCAATAACTACCTGAATGCAGAGAATGAGACGAAGACAATTGGTCATGGCACCTGGAAACCAAAGGGAGTGAGTGTTCTATTGTAAGCGCCAGATCGAGCTATTCCGCAGGAGAAAAGATGAGGAGCATGAGCAAGAAGATTTGCAGTCATAAACGCTCCATAGGAGTGTCCCCCAACAGCAATTTTGCTTGGATGAGCCACCTTTGAGAAAGGACAAGACAATTGTAAGTTCTAAAACTGTTGTGGTTTAATACAATAGCGAAAAGATGGAATTAGGATCAAGCAATGCTTACTCCACGCCTGACGACTTCCTCTACAGCAGCCTCAGCACTTGCAACCAATTGCTCTACATAGCTGAGAATGTTGTTTTAGTAGTTCACATTAGAAACTGTCAATCTCAAGCACATCTCAGATCTAACAAGGTGCCTGATTTGGTGTCTCTGGTTCCTATTTAATTAGTTTTTTATGCTTACAGCAAACCTTTACAATTGAAACGACATAGGTTGCCATGTTTTAGCTACCAGCTTTTTGAAAGTAGATATCACCGTACCTGTCATTAGCCTCTTCATCACCTTCACCAATTATAGGTATGGTAGGTCCAGATAATATAGCAAACCTGCACAGTGCAGAAGAATCCAGATGGTATCAGCTAATAGTCGATCAACAAGCTCGATGAAATACACTTCAGGACTCTGAACCAGCAAGAAATAGTATCAATGCTAAGCAAGCATAGAGTTGGAAAATGTGTGATACCTTCTAGCAAGCCAAAGAAGGGCAGAAGTTGAGCCAATGCCTGCAAATTCATTTGGAGAGCCACGGACTTGACTAGCAGCATCTTTACTCTTGAATTCACCAGGATAAGACCAAAACAGACAAGGAAGAGGACCATCTTTTGATGGATCATAGCCTGGTGGGAGGTATAGTGTTGCAGTAAGTTGAACTCCGTCTTTTCGTTGATACCTGATCATCTCTTTCTGTAACGAAGCCAACTGCGGGTACGGATGAGGAAAGTTTGTAATCTGTTGCACTTTCCTGTCAGGCCAAAGTTGGAGAGAATATTGGGTATTTTCAGTTTTAGACTCCTTTGATGTCAGGATTTTCAGCTCCTCCATTCTTAAGTCCCCTTCTTTCTGGTCAGACATCAAGGCAACAACTGTCTCAAAATACTTTTCCTTGTCGCTCTCCCAGATTCGTTCTTTGTTGCCTGTGTTTCTAGATAAATATTGTACCAAACATTCCCAGTTTGTTAATGCGTGAAGCAAATAGAAACACGAGAAAATGTGCAAGAAAAAAGAAGTCATTGTCTGGTAAGGCTTACATGTCGAACAAGTCAAGGAAGGGTACATTCCCTTGTGGTGTAGCCCCACTTCCGTTCAGTAAGACATAAGTGCCTTCATCATTTTCCTTCTTTATCTTTGCTATTACATATGTTCCAGCAGCAGTTCTCCTCAGCATGGTTGAGCCAGGGTCTGAATAGACATCTTCCGATGATCTATCAAACAAGATGCGTGGACTGACATCGCTAGATCCAGGAGATATAACCCATGTCCTTGTCCGTCGTGTTTTATACCATGATTCATAAACCAGAGCTAATGTATCATCACACCAAGAAATCCCTCTGTAGAATTGAAATCGAATCATTCTTAGGACATAGAAGGCTTAAATGAAGTTAGTCAGTTTATTGATAAGATGGCATTGATAGTCAGTTTACCCATAACGAAGATCGAGCTTGTGTAACACTTCTGGTTCTTCTCCTGCCAATGGTTCCGCAGACTGCATATAAACTATATCACGCGGCGAAACTTCCATTTTGGCATCACCTCCATCTTGTGTTTCTGCCCTACATATCTCAGAGAGTTGTTAATTAGTTAATTTCATATCCCATATTGAAACGTGTACGTACTACATGTGAATCACTTTGAATCTCAAATATTTACCAGTAGAGGGTTGAAGGCTTGTCTGCTCGCCAGTTTATTGAACGCATTCCTTTCCGCACACTGTTGGAGGCAATGGGAATATCTTCAGCTAGGGGCAAGTCACAGAGCTGTCTTATAAATCTACCATCAGATGTCCAGACTTCCACCTTCTTTGGAAATCTACCACAAGGTACGATGAAGGAATATGGCCTATGAAGTGATGATACTAACAAGTACTTATGGTCTGTTGAAGGGTCTAACGATGTATACACTGCAGGTTTTCCTACTTCCTTCACTGTACCATCCAGAGAAGCCAATACCAGTTGAGATGTGGCATAGTAGTCAAATAAATCAGCATCATACTCATCCTTAAGCAAATCTTGGAATGTTCTAACCTGGACAACATTCTTCTTCTCGTTTGACAGAGTTTTGGGACCGGATGGGACCAAAGGTTTCTTTGGTGGGTCCCCACGAGATGAAGGGATTGTGCTCACCAACAAAGTGGAGTTATCAATCCAAACGAAACTCTCAAAAATCGCATTCAGATAGATATCTTGTGACTGAAACAATGGCCTAGCTACTCCAGTCTCAATATCAGCTACCCATACTACTGGCTTACTACTATTTCCGTTCTCATCGACCCGGATGCTGAAAGCCAGATGCTTACCGTCATTAGACCATGTGACAAAGTTAATCTTACCGCCATCTGGAATGCCAGTGATCTCTTTCTCTGGACTCAATGTACCATCAGGCAATAACTGATGGATTCCTAAACCAGTATAGAAAGACATTCTGCTTCTGGTATTGCAGTATCCATCAATTCGAACACCTGCAAGCTTCTCCTCTGGTCTAGCTAAATCTGCCAGCGGGGGCAATGCTCTCCGCTTGAGAAACAATATCTTATCCCTATGTGGTGAAAATGATAATGCCGGGACTGGTGGAGCATCTACAATATCTCTGATCTCGGGTGGAGGAAGACGATATCCAGTGCCTAACGCCAATTCTACATAGTTCAAACACAAGCAAACGAAAAAAAAACTTGAGTAAACTCTGACTATAGTTGGACAAAGCAAGCAATCAAAAGCGATTTCTCTGAAGATAAGATTTCCATTTCAGTGACAAGTAACAACGCTAACTATACACACAATAGTAGTCAAGTCCAAGTTACATTCCAAATACTACAAAATCGAGTCCTAGGTAGTAAAAATATCCGGAGTCAATTGAATCGGCTAAAAAGGAAGAATTACCATCGTCTTCAGTAGCCGAAGCAGAGGCTGAAACCGAGCCATTAGAGCTGCCACCACCGTCTTCAGCACCTCCAGGACAGACAGATGCGAGACAACGAAGCCTAGAAGCAGAACGTGAAGACATGGAAGTGGTGAACGGGTTTCCGGAGAATCGGCGAGTTCTTGCGAAGCGGCGCGTACGCAGCGTCGAGAATCCGGAAAGCTTGGGAGGTAGGAAGAGAGAAGCAGACGGCGACGGAGACGGCGGAGATAAATGGCAGAGAGGTGAAAGAGAGAAACGATGACAAGCTTTGTGAAAGCGCATCATGATTAGTTATTTTTTAATACTTGAGTGACTTTTTTAACCTTTTTTTTTTTTTTTTTTAAAGTTGGATGATGATTCCCTTATTCTTCTATTCGACGGTTCACCACTAAAACAAATACGAACAACGTCTTACCAACGACTTGTATTTATTCTTAACCAGGGAAAATATCGGTAGTGGTCACAGCTTATGTGGGCCTTAACTATGGCCCAACTAGCGCTTGTTTTCTACATTATGGCCCATTATTTCAGTCAGATTCTGTCCCAATTTTTCCAAAAAATAATTTTCATGTTAAATGGCTGATTAAAAAAAGAAATGAAACTAAAATAAAATATATTCCGGGGGAAGAAAATATTATGTTTCTCAAATTGGTGGTGGAATACTTTTTGCGGAAAAGAAAGAAAAATATCTCAAGACACGTGGCAGAAAATGGTTGGCTCGGAGGAGATAAGAGGATTGTGTTCACAGAGTTTTAGTAAGGTGAACCGAGTTATATTTATCTTCGTTCCTCTCTTTACATGAAAAAAATCTCTCCTCCATAAAAAAAAAAAAAAAAAAAAGTTATAATCTTCCAACGAGATGACAACCATAGCTGCAGCTGGTCTCAGCGTCGCGACCCCACGAGTGGTGGTTCTACCGACGGCTCGTGTATCAGCTCCGGTTCGGTTGAATTACCCGTGGAGGTTCGGCTCGATGAACCGGATGGTTGTGGTTAATGCGACGTCAGAAGGAGGGATATCGGACAAGGTGGAGAAGAGTATACAAGAAGCCAAGGAGACATGCGCCGATGATCCGGTGAGCGGAGAGTGTGTGGCGGCGTGGGACGAGGTGGAGGAGCTGAGTGCGGCGGCGAGTCATGCTAGGGACAAGAAGAAAGCTGGTGTCTCCGATCCTTTGGAGGAGTACTGTAATGATAATCCTGAGACTGATGAGTGCCGTACTTATGATAATTAATTGTGCTCGCTGTCTGGAAGTTTAGGTATGGTCAGACATCAGATCGGTGGTTTCTTGTTGCCCTTGTTGTGTTTTGGTTTGGTTTCGTTGATGATTGTAATGTGATAAATGAATATGAAATAGTACAATTACAATACACACCGGAGGATGTTTCATATATTTCTAAGTTTTTGCTGTTGTTGTTGTTGTTCTTCTTCTTCTTCTTCTTGTGTCTGTTTGGTAATGTGTGGAGGCGTTGATAAAAATCTCAACTATATGTTTTAGGTCTCTTGTATATTTTGCTCTCGCACATAGGTACTTGTCAAAATGATATGGAGCGTCGAGAGAAAGATTAATTAAATTGAGAGTTTCTACTTTCTAGACCGTAGAACAGATATTATTATCGATTTTGGAAGAGTTGTTGTGGAGGATTATCAAAAAGGTTTCAACAAGATCGTAATTTCAAAAATAAACTGACACTACAATTGTTATTGTTGTTTGTGACCAAAACAAAAGTGTTTTGTAAATGGGCTTTTCTCAAGCATGGCCCGATGTACAAATATTACATATAGAACCACATTACAATTAAGGTGATGGCCTTACAGTTACGGGGATCTATAAAGGTGATGAGAAACAGTAAACATTAAGGAAATTGCAACCTAATAATAAGTGAACTATATAAATCACAATTGAAATCAAGAACTGAAATGTATATGTATATATATATATATATATATCTGTAACACAATTTGTGAAATGGATTCATAATCGTTTATCTTAAAGCATTAATTCTCTCTTCTTTTTTTTTTCTTGTTGTTCTGGTTATTTGTTGAAGGAGTATAACATGACATGAGTGCGTGTTTCATGCTCTTTGGTGTTATTCGCAGTTTTGAATTCATTCACTTAAAGTTGGCTTTTGGCGGTAAGAAAAGTAGATTTTAACAAGAAATGCATCAGTAGCGTCGAATCCTATCAGAATCACAAGTTGCGAAAAGCTAAAAATACGAAATTTTTAAGAAAACAACAAAAATGAAGCCGGATCGTCGTCGGCCCGGCCGCCATTTAATAATCAAGAAAGGTCAATTTTACCCCTACAATTCTCAGGCGGTATAAAGAAGATGCCGCAACAAGTAACGGGTGTATATGTCTTCTTATACATACGCAGCCGAGTTTCCTTTTTTCCCAAAATTTCCAGAAAAATCTCGCAGCGGTAAATAGAGAAATAAATATGTATATACTATAATTAATTATTAAAAAAAAAAAAAAAGCGTCACTGGTCTTTGTTTCGTTCTTCCTTGTTCTCGCTCGACCTGGGGATGTCGTACCAGGAGACGTTCTCAATTCGCAGAATGTAACGTTGTCACTCTTCGTCTCTCCTCTCCTTTTTCGTCACCTCAGAATCATTCGAATTCGCTGCTCCGTTTCACTCTGGGTTCGTCCTTTCACCTCCGCTTCGAATCGTTGAAACGACGAATCCAGATTCCTTTCTCTAGCCACCCATCACAAGTGCTGAGTAGCAGCTGTATTTTTGTTGACCTAACTTAACCCTAGCTTTTTCGAGGTTAGCTCTTTATTGCGTTTCTCTAGCTGCGAAAGGCGGCCAGTTTTAGTTTGATTTTTTATGTCTGATGGGTGCTTTTCTCTGTAATTGGATCTTAGGGCTTTTTGATTTCGGGATTAACTCGTTGAAATCGCATTTAAGATAGTGTCTCAGTGGTTTACGATCCAAATTCCTTGTAATGTTTTGTGGATTTTTCTTCTTCTTTCAGTCGCTTTGTTTGGGGAAGTTCTCTTTCAGATGTAGTGTAAGGTTTGATTACAATACATTTCCTCGTTTGTGTAGGAAGAACAGATTAATTTACCACAGAGATTCCAACTTTGAAGAGAACCCTAGTTTATAAGGTAAGTGGGCGATTCTAATTCCTAAGGAATGCCTGGTACTATTGAATGCTTGAAATTTTCATCTGTGTTTCTGTAGTCGTTCCTACTCTAAAACTCGGTTGGTATATTTTCTGATTGAGGAGACTATCTTTCACTTTGGCAGTTGCATTTAGTTGACAAGTGCTTTTCTTCCACAGGCCGCGTTAGCATGGACTGGATATCCAAACCTACTCATTTTATGGAAACTTCGAATTTGGCAAACGTGGTTCCAGGAAATGCTCCCCTTGAGCCGCATGAGACACTTGTTCGCCATTCTTCGCTAACTGATGTTGATATGGACCTTAGAGAAGTCTATTTTCTGATTTTACATTTTCTTTCTACTGGCCCCTGCGAACGCACCTTTGCGCACTTGAGAGACGAAATTTTGGAGAAAGGCCTTTTGCCCCGTAGATATCATTCCTGGTGGTCAAGAAGTGGCACTTGTAGTGGGCGTTCTGACGATGATGGCATCTCCCTTCCATTGAGTTATGATAATTTGATAGAGAGGTACAATTTCTTTTCTTTTCTATTTTTTTGGTGCTTTGTCCACTCTTCCATTCTTGAGCTACTATGGAAGCCTTGCCATAGCTTACTGAAGTTTTCCGTTACTTGTCTCTCAACGTGTGTGTTGTTCATTACGATCTGTCATACTTTATTCGAGGGTTCCCATGTCCGTATTTTTTCCTTTCATGACTTCTGTCATCATTTTTACTGACAGGTATCCTCATATCAAAAAGGATCACTTAGTGAAGCTTCTCAAACAACTAATTTTAAACCCGCCTTTTCCTTCACACATGAGAGTTGAAGGAAATGCTCCTAATGCTGCTGATGTTCCAACACTATTGGGATCTGGCACCTTTTCACTTGTGGATCGTACGTAGTAATTCCTATTCATCTACTTTGTTGTGCATGAATTTCAAAGCTTCATGATTTTTTCTTTTTTTACTAAGACATGGTACTTGGACGTAATGATGTTTGGAAATCAGGATATATATATTTCATTTTCTTTTAAGTTTTTGCATGCTATTCAGTTGATTTTATTTCGACCGCACATTGTTACAAGAATTGATTGCTTACCCTGACAGCAATATGTTTCTCATGTCTTTGGATCTGGACTTGGAAAAAATCCCATTCATGAACCAGATAATGGCTCTAGGGCTGTGCATTTTAGAAATTTATTTTTCTGGTTTTGGTAATCTTTACATGGTATCATGACTTGTTTTTGGAATTCTGGTGAAGTAGCTCATATAGGTGAAAAGTCCATGGATGCTTTAACTTGAAAAAATTCTTTAACCTCTATAGTTCTTACCCTAGTCCTTGATTCTTAATCGTTATTATTTGTTTTTTTCATCATGTGAAGAAAAATATATAGAGCCTCAGAAAGCTAAGCATGTTGCGTCATACTTACGCTGGCCACATATGCATGCCGATCAAGTGCATGGATTAAGTCTCAGAGAAATTGGAGGAGGTTTCAGAAAACACCACCGTGCTCCGTCCATTCTTTCAGCATGCCATGCTATTGCAAAACCATCAACAATGGTTCAAAAGATGCAAAATATAAAGAAGCTCAGAGGACATCGTAATGCTGTCTACTGCGGTATGATCTTCACAATACATTCTTTCTGTTTAATCTCTGGTTTGTTAACTTGTTTTGTTACATGTGCAACCTTTAAATTATACCAGTCTGTTTATATCATCTGATTAGAGTATCTTGAAGTTGTAATGCAGTATGTCTTTCATAGCAGTACCTTTTATTGTCACAGAATGTTTTTATTGGGTAGAATAGTAACAGTATAACTATTTATACTTTTGTTGCACAGCTATATTTGATCGTTCTGGAAGATATGTTATCACTGGTTCTGATGACCGGCTTGTCAAAATTTGGTCGATGGAAACTGCGCTTTGCTTGGCTAGCTGCCGCGGGCATGAAGTGAGCTATCATTTTCCATATTTGTAAGATATAGGTTCTGGACTGTTCTATTAAAATTATACGCCTTTGCATGTTTTCGGTAGGGTGACATTACAGACTTGGCCGTTAGTTCAAACAATGCTTTGGTGGCTTCAGCTTCAAACGATTTTGTGATCCGAGTGGTAAGAATACAATTCTAGTCTTTAGTGTCTAACTTGTTTTTATTTATTTATCAGTTAGATAGTATTGATTCTTATGACAGTGGCGGTTGCCTGATGGAATGCCAATTTCTGTATTGCGGGGCCACACTGGAGCTGTTACTGCAATTGCATTTAGTCCCAGACAGGCGTCTGTTTACCAACTTTTATCGTGAGTTCTTTTCAATATGTATCTATTTTAACTAGTTTGTTTCTTGCTGTTCAAGACCACCCCTGGATCTTTTGTTTGGATATTTCATACTGCTTCCTGGACTGGTAATCAGCTATTTTGTGATTTTTTTGTAATCTATGTAGGTCATCAGATGATGGAACCTGTCGTATCTGGGATGCTAGGTATTCTCAATGGCTTCCACGGATCTATGTTCCAAGCCGATCAGATGCTAGTACTGGTACATCATCATTTTTTATGTTCAATGTTAAAATCTTTTCGGTTATAGAGCTCATTGGAAGTTTGTTCTAGGCAAAACCACTTTTACATCTTCCAACACGGCATCCACGAGCAATGCATCTCAGAGTCATCAAATATTATGTTGTGCGTACAATGCTAATGGGACCATTTTCGTCACGGGTAGCTCTGACAGCAATGCAAGGGTCTGTGTGAAACTTTCAAATTTAGTTATCCTCCTTCGTATTGCAGAAACTGCGGGAAATGTTATTTGACTTTCGTTTGCTTGTTAGTCTTGATTGTCAGTATTTCCCTAATCTTGCAGGTTTGGAGTGCCTCTAAACCTAACTTGGATGATGCTGAACAGCCGACTCATGAGCTGGATGTTCTATGTGGCCATGAGAATGATGTCAACTATGTGCAGTTTAGGTATTTTCCAGTGAACATGGTGCCTCTCCTAGATTTTGCATTTTGTTGGTTCGAACATGAATAGAAATTTAAAAGGGTGTTTTCCATTTTTTTTAGTGGTTGTGCTGTGGCTCCAAAGTCTTCAACAACTGATACTCTAAAGGAAGATAGTTACCCAAAGTTTAAGAATTCCTGGTTTGTTTCCCGGACTTATTGTCATTCCTCTAACTTCCTTTTATTCTTAATTAAGATTTAATACTTCTGATTATTAGGTTTTGTCATGACAACATAGTAACCTGCTCTCGCGATGGTAGTGCAATTATATGGACTCCAAGATCACGTAAATTCCATGTAAGTTCTGTCAATCAACCGCAAAATGCAAATGGTACTTTGCAAGTTAATGATAGCAAATTTCCAATTCTATCATTGTTTCTTCAGCGTCCTTGATGTTATATTTCCAGGGGAAATCTGGACGCTGGATGAAAGGATATCATCTGAAGGTTCCACCTCCTCCACTTCCTCCGCAACCTCCTCGAGGAGGCCCACGCCAAAGGTTTCTTCCAACACCACGGGGTGTAAATATGATTATATGGAGCTTGGATAATCGTTTTGTACTTGCCGCTATCATGGGTAAATAAAATATCATCAGAGGATATCTTCTGATGCATAGATTATCATCTTTGATGGATTTCTCTCAGTATCATTGTGTTCCAATCGTGGATAGTAACATATGTAACACTTAATAAGCGGTGCTTTTGGCCACCTGTTGTTATTACATGAAAGTAATACTACCTTCTATTTCCCTTAACCCATCTGTTTTTATTCAGATTGCAGGATTTGTGTTTGGAATGCTGCTGACGGTAGCTTAGTGCATTGTTTAACTGGTCACAGTGAATCGGTAAGTTGGGGACATATGTATGTCGTTTCTTTCTTTCTTTTTTGGTTGAATTTTGTATGCTTTAGAGTTCATTGTAGTTCTCATCTGATGTGTAACCATCTCCTGAATGCCCCATATTTCCATATTGCATTTATGTTCAAATTTTGTTGTTCATGCCCGACTTGCTATGGGAGATACTAATATTGAGATAATTGATCACTCATCTCCTCTTGTAGTCCTATGTCTTGGATGTGCATCCTTTCAATCCTCGTATTGCTATGAGCGCTGGCTACGATGGGAAAACAATCATCTGGGATGTGAGTTTCATTTTTTATAATAGGAATAGTCCTTGATCTTATCAATAGCATCACTTACCCTTTTAGATTTTTCTTTCTAGATATGGGAGGGTGTACCAATCAAAGTATACGAAATCGGGAGATTCAAGTTGGTTGATGGAAAATTTTCACAGTAAGTAATCAATGAGATGTCCAGGACAAGATCTTCTATATACTCTGGTTTGTTTTTGCAAATGACTCCAGTAAAATATGCACATGATTATTTAATCTGAAACTGGAAGATATAGTCATATTATGCATGTCCAGTTGGATATACAATAGTCAAATTTCTTTCAGTAAAGACATCTGCTTCTGAAGCATCATTTATTTAGTCACATGATATGGAATCATTAGTTAAGATACCTTTTCCTCGGCTCTGTATAGAGATGGGACATCTATTGTGCTTTCAGATGACGTTGGTCAGATATATTTCCTAAACACCGGACAAGGTGAGTCTCAAAAGAATGCAAAATATGACCAGGTATGGCCAGATTTTTACATCTCATATGCATGATCATTTTTTAATAAATGGCTGTAGTTTCTTAGTGATTCTCTGTTGCTTTCTGACCCTTTCTCTTGCTTTATTTTGTTTAGTTCTTTCTTGGTGATTATCGTCCTCTTATTCGAGATACCAATGGACATGTTCTTGATCAGGTTTGTTTCAAATACTTGTTTCTTCTGTTTTCGTTCTAATTTATGTTCGTTCTTTTTAAGACACCTCACCAAACTGTGCACACTTTTATATCGTTGTACTTGCTGTATTGTTGAAATATAAAGCTTTATAATTTCCATGGTGCAGGAGACGCAGCTCCCTCCCCATCGGAGGAACCTTCAGGATCTTCTTTGTGATTCAAGTTTGTTTCCAAAAGCTTATCTTTACTTCAATTATGCAATATGTTGATTATTCGTGATACATATTCCTGGTGTATTATTATTATTTTGAAGGTATGATTCCGTATCCAGAACCAGACCAGACAATGTTTCAGCAACGCAGACTTGGTGCACTAGGAGTTGAATGGCGTCCTTCCTTGATAAAGTTTTCTGTTGGCCCTGATTTTAGTTTAGGTCAAGATTATATTATGCCTCCTTTGGCTGATCTGGATAGATTGATTGAGCCATTGCCCGAGTTTATAGATGCTATGTACTGGGAACCAGAACACGAAGTTCTGAGTGAAGACAATGATTCAGAGTATAATGCTGAAGTTTCCTCTGATGGAGCTAGGGCAAGCCCATGTTCCAACTCGTCAAATGAACCTGATTGCAGTTCCGAGGACAGTGACGTTGAAAATATTCACGAAAATAGCTATCATCGGACAAGAAGAAGAAAACATCCTAGAGTATGTTTTCTCTTTTTTTTTTTTTTTGTCGACCTCAACTCATGCGATTTTGTTTGTCGGTATCTATTAACTAACTTCCGTTTTCGCAGGCCGAGGTCACTACTTCATCGGGAAGACGTGATAAGAAGATTTTGGATGAGAATGATAGCTCGAAATCTGTGATTAAGAGAACAAAGAACCAAAAAATTGGTGTGAAGGCTTCAAAAAGAAAATATGTTGATATCAAGGCATCACGACCGCAAAGAGCAGCAGCCCAAAATGCTCGATCCTTGCTTTCTAAAATTTCTGGAAGCTCTTCGAATGAATTTGATGATGATAATGATTCATCCAACAGTGAATCTGATAGAAGCATACCCACTTTGCGACCGTTGGAAAATCCGTCTGAGATGCTGGAATCTCTTTCAAATGACAAACAGAAGAAAAGATTGATTGTAAAGATCTGTGTTAAAAAGCCAGTAGAATCTGTGGAAAGCAAGGCAGATGTAATAAATGAGGCTGATTTGGAGCAATTATCTTCTAAATATTTGGAGGAGAATCACAGAGTGGTTGGTATATACTCAAGAGAGCCGGGGTCAAGTTCTGTAGACGCAAAAGGAGATTTATGGTGTCAGAATATTCCTCAATCTATCAATACGCCACAGAGAGAAAAGGCCGATAATCGGTTGGTAAAATCTTCAGATCAAGAACAGGATATGTGCAAGTGGAGGGAAGAAACTCCTGTTTGTGAAACTACCGAATTAATTATGTCTGAGAACATTGAAGAAGTCCAAACATTTAATGGGTATGGAAAATCTGATTATGATTACCAAGAAAGTTACATTCATATTAAATTTCCACAAAATCTAATTCCTTGTATTCACTTGTAGGGATGAAGATCTGTCAAGACTTGAACCATTGGCTGGTCAGATAAGACATTGTGATATAGATACTTCAATGGAAGCTGATGAGATTTTTCCAAAGAAAGTTCGACGACTGAGATTAAAGCTTCGGCATCCCAGCAGTCCTCTTAAACTAGAGCCTGCTGAGGTAGCAGATGATTTGGCAGATGCTGGAGATGGGTTTGCATCCATAGCTCCCTCTTCCATGAATCCGTTAATGGATCCTGAACCTATGATATTTAATGATAGAGATTCTTCTGCACATGACTCTGAGTTTGGAGAAGCTACAGCTGATGTGATACGTAGGAAAAGATCCATGAGAAGTGAATCTAGTACAAGAAATAGCGCATTACGCGTAAGGTTGGGCTCTGGATCTGTAGATAAAATAAAGAAACAAGGAATTTCTTCCACGAGCGTGTGTGACGGTGCATCACTTGAAGAATGGCCTTCTACCTCAAAAGCTAGGTCCCGGTCAAGATCTGCAAGCTATCTCAAACAAAGTCTCCATACTGGGTCTAAGTTGAATGTCTCAAGCAAAATCTCATGGTTAATGTTGTCTGAACATGAGGAAGGCTGCCGTTATATACCCCAGTTAGGAGATGAAGTTGTTTACTTCAAGCAGGTAGGTCCTTCTGGCTGGTAATTCTTTGTTCACTTCCATGTATTAATTTGCCAGATCTGGAGTTAATAACTTTCTCTGACTGTCGGTTTCAGGGTCATCGAGAGTTCCTTGAAACTAGAGACTTCAATGACAGGGACCGATCAACGTACCTTCCTCGAAACCTAGGAGCGGTAGAAATTTGCAAAGTCGAGAAACTCGACTACGATACGTATCCTGGTTCTGGCGAAAGCTGCTGCAAAATGGCCCTCAGGGTTGTGGATTTTTCTTCATCACATGCCTCCCGCAAAGAGTTTCAACTGACACTTCCTGATCTCATTAATTGCCCTGATTTTATTGTTGAGAAGACTCGATACGATGCTGCAATTCAAACAAAGTGGGAAATCGGTGATGAGTGCCGTGTGTGGTGGAGAAATGCATCCGGTGAAGGCGGGGCGTGGTGGGAAGGTAAGATTGAGTCTTCACAAGTTAAATCCACTGAGTTCCCAGATAGTCCTTGGGACAGATACCGAGTTGTCTATGAAACTGGGGACACAAATCTTCACAGCCCGTGGGAGTTTGACAATCCCCAGTTTCCCTGGGAAAACTCTACCATCGAAGAAAAGAAACGGGATAAACTGCTTTCATTATTTGTTGGACTAGTGAAATCAATCAGCAAGCATCAGGTTTGTCTTCTCTCCCAAAGCTTTCATCTCTCATCTTCCTGTTATCCTTGCTTGCCTCTTACCTGTTATTTGCTTTGGTTATGTATTCCTCAGGATAGTTATGGGATCCAAAAGCTAAACGAAGCTGCTCAAAAGATGGATTTCTGCAATAGGTACGATACGCTGAAACACTTGGCTCTCTGCAATTGATTCTTTCAAAACCTGCCTAGTCCCATAAACTTAAGAATACGAAAATCCATCTGGTATACTTGGAAAGGAGAGGTGATAGTTGAGTTAGTGCTAATTAACTGATATGATCAAAACTGTGGATTTTCTTATGTGGTGGTAGAATTCATGCGTTGTGTATAACTCTGCTGATTGCAATAAAATTGCAGGTTCCCAGTTCCTTTATACCCTGAGCTGATTCACCAGAGGCTAGAGAATCAGTACTACAGAAGTATTGAATCATTTAAACACGACATGGATGCAATGCTCTCAAATGCGGAGTCTTATTTTGCAAGAAACGCAAATATGCTTTCGAAGATAAAGCGACTGGGAGATAAATTGACAAAAACGTTAAGAAAGCTGATATGATGATAAGGCAGCAACACTGGTATGCTTCATTTAGTCATTGCTGTTTTCTGTATCTTGTAAACACGCTAGGGCTGCGGGAGGTTTTTTCTATATATATAGCGAAGAGAGAGTTAAAAAAGAAAACTTACAAAGTTTTCACTCTAAACAAAAGAAGTCGGTTCTGTTTGTAGCCACCCCGACGAGACACAGTTTCATGTATAGTTTAGTTAGTAGCACAAGACTAACAACATGTCTGTCTGTAACAGAAATTTACCCTTTTGTCAGAAGAATGACAATTCATAAGTCTAATTTTATATTTTGACCTCACTACTACTACTATTAGAAGAATATTGTTGCATTTGCAAACTATTAAAATCCGTCATTTTCTTTGATTCCCTCCCTTTAATTATGAAACTAGTAATATTAACATTTATTCTCTCGAATAGAAAAAAAGGGTGAAATTGTATCTCTAAATTTTAGTGGTTTACTCTTAAACGAATTGAAAAAAAAAAGAGAAAAAGAGAAGAGAAAAGGTTTAAATAGAAGAAGAAAAAACCCTAATCGCTAATCATATCTCTTGTGCCGGCGAAAAGAAAAAAGAGCAACAATGGCGGGAGGGAAGATAAGGAAGGAGAGGGCAAGTGCGTCGAATCGAGCACCGTCGAACCATTACCAAGGAGGAATATCGTTCCAGAAATCGAAAGGGCAGCATATCCTGAAGAACCCTCTGCTAGTGGATTCGATCGTTCAGAAAGCGGGGATTAAGAGTAGCGATGTGATCCTGGAGATCGGTCCCGGTACCGGAAACTTGACCAAGAAGCTTCTAGAAGCGGGTAAGCAAGTTATCGCCGTCGAGCTCGATCCCCGTATGGTTCTCGAGCTTGAGCGCCGTTTCCAAGGAACCCCCTTTTCTAACCGCTTGAAGGTACGCATGAGCTTTTCATTTAATCATTAGTATATTACTTGCTGCTAGTAGTTTGATTCCTCCTCGTCCTCCTCCTGCTGTTTTGTGTTTTTTTTTTGTCTCTCTCTCAAGGTCATTCAAGGTGATGTGCTCAAGACCGAGCTTCCCCGCTTTGACATTTGTGTGGCAAACATTCCCTATCAGATATCATCTCCTCTCACTTTCAAACTTCTCTTCCATCCAACCAGCTTCAGGTGCGCTGTGATCATGTACCAGCGGGAATTCGCCATGAGACTCGTTGCCCAGCCCGGGGACAATCTCTACTGCCGTCTCTCTGTCAACACTCAGCTCTACGCCAGAGTCTCCCACCTCCTCAAAGTCGGCAAGAACAATTTCCGCCCTCCCCCTAAGGTGGATTCTTCCGTTGTCAGAATCGAACCCAGGAAGCCTGGCCCTCAGGTTAACAACAAGGAGTGGGATGGCTTCTTGAGAGTCTGTTTCATCAGGAAGAACAAAACCCTGGGATCTATTTTCAAGCAAAAGTCTCTTCTTTTGATGCTCGAGAACAACTTCAAGACTCTTCAGGCCCTTCTTGCTTCTCTGCACAACAATGGAGAAGCTGCTGCCACCCATCTTGCTGACCACAGCATGGGAATCGAAGATGATGACAATGAAATGGATGACGATGATGTGGACATGGATGATGGAGAAGGAGAGACATCTGAGTTCAAGGACAAAGTTATGAATGTCTTAAAGGAAGGTGGTTTCGAGGAGAAGAGAGCTTCAAAGCTCTCACAACAAGAGTTCTTGTATCTTCTTTCGTTGTTCAACAAGTCTGGTATTCACTTCACATAGTCTTATCCTAGGAAAGTTTTGTCCTTTCATTATTGACTCTCTCATCAAAGGTACAATGTTTTTCATTGAAGCTTGTTTTAAGTTTTATGATCTTGGGTGGATACTGAAAGTTTCTCCTTAGAAACCAACTCATACAAGAATATTTTTCTGTTAATTTTGAATGGTATCTTCAAATTTTTATGACGCTCACTGCATTTTTATTGCCAAGATATGCTTGCATGTTATACGATGCTTCGTTTCACATGTCTCTAAAGTGTTGTTCTCAAGTGTTTGATGCAACGGAAGCTAATTTCAAAATAAACTAGAAGAAAACTGGTATAACATTGTCATACTAAAGATCTTGTCTAACTTTTCTATATGTATGGGAAAGAGAAAAGAAAACAACACTAATTAATGAAATTGTATAGTATTACTTTAGAGTTGCATGTAGAGTCAATTTGCTTTCGATATCTCTGATGACGTTTGCAAGTTGGTCCTGTTTCATTTCTTTCTCTAAAAAACCGTCCATTCCAGCTTGTATGGTTTCTCTTGCTTCCCTAGAATCAGAATCATGACCAGATACAGCTATAATTGGTATATGCACACCATAACTTTTCTCCACTTTCCTGATCTCTCTCGTTGCTTCATATCCATCCATTTCTGGCATCTGTGCAGAACCAACACTTATTAAGAGTGAACTATATATTTATATATTTGAGATTAAACATGCTATGCGAGGTTAATCATTAAAACTTACTTGACAGTCCATGAATATGTAGTCAAACGGAAGCTTGTTTACTGAACCTTGTTCTTCTCTTTGTGTAAGCCATTCAGTGACTAATCTCACAGCTTCTTTTCCACTGTGGCATGGTTTGACCTCAGAGACTCCCATCTTCTTCAGCCTTCCTGTTGCAACTTTAATTGTTATACTGCAATCATCAACCACCATAACTCTTTTTCCTCTTAAGAATTCGTTGTTACTTGGCATGGAAGTTCCTTGCTCGTCCTCTGGGTTCCCAATAGGCTTTCGACCGGTACGCACTGACTTGACCCAAGTCTCACTCTCTGAAGTTGTTGGTGCCATTATTGTCTTGCCAATTTTTTTGTTAGACCTTGAGCTTGGTGCATCTTCTTGGAATTTATGTTTTGGTGATGACTCTGGAACAAAAGAATGTCTCAGCAGTGATTCCCTTTGCAGCTCAGTGGGTGTTTCTTTTAGCCCAGTTCCTCCAAATTCAGGCAATATCTTCAAGACTTCAACAAGACGCGATCCGTGCAAGGGTCCCGTACAACTAATGTCCCCTCTCTCACTTACACGAGTGCTCGATTCGTTAAGCCAAACAACTTTACAGGATATTCCACGGTGCACGCCCCTACGAAACTGCTCGATGATATCTTTCAGCTCATGAACTGGTCCACTTTTTGCATCAATCACCAAAAGGACAACTGCTGAGAAACTGTTGCTTCTCCTTTTAGGAAGCTGGCTTCTTGAATCAATAGCATCCATGCCAATCAAAGGTAACTCCCTTGAGCTCGGACATGACAAACTACACTCTGCTCTTCCCATGGAACTCTGAGGTGAAAATCCAAAAAGTCTCTCCAAGGCATAACTCAAATGCTCCCATTTCTCCACTACTGTAACTTTAATCCCCATATTCTTTATGTATTTCTCAGTAACTCTTTTGCGTTCTTCATTTTGCAATAGGAGAACCACTCTAGAAGATTCTTGCTTTGGACTTGAGCTGAGACAGTTGTTGAATCTAGGACTCAGGTTGCGTATATTCATGCTACCTCCCAGTGAAGTGTTGATAGTCAGCCCGAGGTTCGGCGTGGATATGTAATCACCTCCTGCTTCAGTGTCATGTCTTACTTTCATGTCACTTACCGGAGGCTCTAATGTTGTCATTAAAACATTGAATTGAAAACATGTTCCTTTCTCTCCCATTGCCTTGTCAGTGATTCTTATCTCCCCTCCCATTAAACGTACCTATAACAGAGGAATGAAAAAACCATTTAGATGCACTGGCTTTTCATTTGTGAAGAGAATTAACGTTTTCAGATGAATTGCTTACCAAAGACTGCACAATCCCAAGCCCCAGGCCAGTTCCTTGCTGTCCTTGAGCTGTTTCTCTGACCTGAACATAGTTTTCAAATACCGATTTACGCATTTCCGTAGGTATCCCTTTACCTGTATCATCCACTTCAAACACAAACTCCATCGTGTTGGCATTGTTTCTTATGGAATTCGATATCTCTGTTTCGTAGGTTGATGACTGGTCTTTACTCTTGCAGAACCTACTCTTTAAGAACTTGGACACACTTCCTTGAGGGTCTGATGCCAGGACCACAGAGCTTTTGGGACCCGGCCTTTGAGCCCAAGCTCGGATCGAAATGTGCCCGTCGACTGTGAACTTGACAGCATTGCTGACAAGATTGTTGAGGATCTGCTTCAGTTTCCCACAATCCCCTCGCACATTCGAGTATTTGAAAATCGAGCCATCGTGGGGGTCCAGAACCACATCAACCCCTTTCTTCATCGCCACGGGATGGTAAAAATCGGTGACTTCTTCAAGAAGTCTGGCCAAGTTGAACTCTACTTCCTCTAAATGCAGCTTCCCGCTCTCGATTTTGCTCATGTCCAAAACAGAGTTGAGCAGAGCTGTGAATTTTATTAACAACATGAGGAAGACTTTTCTGTTAGACACCAAGAGAAGAACTCATAAGAGAAAGCTTAAAGAATCAGAGTCTTACCAAGCATATCCTTGACGCATACATTCACTTGCTTGAGATTGGTGTCTTGGTCGGAGCCAGGATGAGCATCATCACGAGATAGATCAATCAGACCATTAATCGCTGCAAGGTAACCTCTAATATCGTGGCTAGCTCTTGCAAAAGCTTGACTCTTGTTCATGCTCTTCCTCTCAGCCTGTTGTGTTGCTTCCATTTGGTTTATCAGCGTTGCACGCATATGCATCTCTTGTCTTGTTGCTTGCATCATAAACAACACAAACCCTACAGGCCAGCCAAAGGCAACAATAATTGTCACCACAATAAGCTGATACAAGGCCTGTTTTGCTTGGTGATTGATGCGTGTTGCTGCTCCTTCATCGTCTGGAAACATGAGTGTGTATCTCTACATGTTAAAAAGAAAAGAAAAAAGACCATTAGAAGAAGCTGAGAAACAAACTTATTGTGGTGAAAAACAATGTTTCAACATTTTACCAGAGGAACGCCGGAAACTTCAAGAACAGAGCAAAAAGCTTGGAACTTTGATCTTTTGATCTCCACCTCGTAGCCACTAGAACTGCAGTTTTCGGGTATGCATTGAGACCTGAGGGGTTCTCTACCGAAGCAAATGGAAGAGCCATTGGAGATGAAGAAAGAAGCATTCAGTGAACCTTGACGAACAAGCACAGTCCCGTCCTTTGTCCACATGTAAAGCTCTTGGCCGTGTAGATGATTCGAACGGTGTAAAACATCGGTTAAAGTCTTTACCGGAAACCCTAGCAAAACAACACCTTTCTTGCTGTACAGGCTAACCACGCTCTGGATTAGAGTCTCGTTATCTTGTCCTCCCAAACTCGTTCCTAGAAAGGCGGTAGTGTAACTATTCCTCTGTGCAGCTTGGAACCAATCTGTACGGGTTAAATCTAACGACTGAGATTTGGTTGCGTTCCCGTTGAGACGACCGGTTATCTGATCAACCGTTTGAGTGTACCAAGTGTTGGACGAAGAATTGGCAAAAACAGCGACACTTGTGTCTGATTCTGCATTAATATTGTAAGAAAACAAGAGACCGTCGCTACTAATGTACGAAACATGTGAGACTTGAGGGATCGTTGAATAAGCTGCAAACAACAATGGTGCGATCTGAAGAAGAAGAAGAACAACAACAACATATACTTATCATAACAACCTGTAATCGATACCACCATGAGATTATTTTATATGATTAAAAAAATAATAATCCAACTTATAACAAACCTGTGTTTGAATTTCTGTGAAACCAGTATCGTTGTCGTTGGTGAGATAAGAATCTATGAGTCTCGATAAATGAATTGTAGATAGGTTTGCCTTGGGATACAAAAAACTGCCGACGTTTTCAATCTCGGAAGCTAGACTTGACCGGAGAACTTGAGTGAATGAAGCGACGTCGTTTGTTATGCTATCCGTTGTAGTACGCCAATTCGAGGCCGATATGCACCCCAAAACAATCACCAGAAATCCCTAAAATTTACTCCCAATAGAAAATATTACATTATTGGATCATATGCATATTACAATACTTGAATAGTTAAATCATGTATGTAACTAAAACAATCGAAAGAACGTGGTATTATACTTGGTACTTGGTTTTATTGAATTAAGACGAAGAACGTTCAATGAAATAACAAGTATCGACAAACTTATTAAGCACCAAAAACTCCATTAATTGGGGAAAAACAGAAGAAAAAAACCCTAGATTCATCTAAAATAAAATAAAATACTCTAACTAAACAAGATTTAAACAAAAAATGAGAGTAGAATCATATTCGTATGACCAAAAAACCGTATTAAGTAACAAACATGTTGTTCTTTTTATAAGAAAAACACGAAAGCATCCAACGATGATATTTATAAGTAAGAAGAAAGAAAAATTACCAGGATGCAGCAGACCGCAACTGGACGTGAAGTGACAAGCTTTGTAACGTTCACCATCACTTTAATTAGTAAATTTGCGTATTCTAACTTCTTCTTCCTAGCTTCAACCAAGTCGAAATTAAACCCTTTTGGTCAAAAAAAAAAAAAAAAAAAAAAGGAAAATTGATTCTGATCAAGATCCATTTCTTCTAGATATTTGATCTAGAATTAAGCAAAGATCTAACTGTACGTTTTAAAAATCACCTAGTGTCCAACAGTTATGTGTGGTGCAATCTTTGGCTTAGGCTCGGAAGTTAAGTTGCCAGCTTCCTTATACGGTTGAGAAACTGGGGAGGAAGATGCAACTACATCCGACCATAACGCCAAGTCTTGACTTGTGATCACTAGATGATTCCGCCTAGAGATGTCCGGATGGGATTTTATCACCTGTGCTTGATGATGATGAACATTTCCCAAAGGAACAAATCTATCAGATATTTATAGCCTTTTATCATGTATATATATATATATAATATACTATATATATGTGACGACGACAAAAAATACTATACATACATAGATCTTCCACCAAAGAAAATCTTAAACTCAAGTGCAATTACACAATATTATGAATATATCTTCTTATGTATTGCAAAGGGGAAAAGGAAGGTTAATACAAACAAATCATGGTAATAAATAAAAGCAATCATTTCATTTTAGGAAACAATCGCAGCCACTCGGATTTAATTAGTTTTAACATAAATCTCTTTCCATTTAATCGTTATTCATGAAAATGATTTATACGTAAAAACCAAAGATTTTCATTCTAGAAAACGCCAATATAACATGAAAATAGTATAACTTAATAAGAATAATTCTCACAGAAGAAATAGAGAATTAATTTCATCAATGAAGGCCAGAGAAAGTGCTAAAGAAAATGATATAATTGACCTTTGTGTGCACTTGAGCGAATTATAATGTGAAGTTAATCGAGTAAGCATATTAAGAGATTTTATGTAGGTAAAATCTGTATATACATGTATATATATATATGTGTATATTAACTTTTATTAATTCTGCAAATCCACGGACTAGCTAAGGTTTCGACAATACATGTCTGATAGTTTGGCTGAGAATTTTTCTAAAACATGGGAATTCACTTTGGTTTAAGCAAATAAAATATGATGGAAAACAAAAAAACTTACACAGAGTTATGTTATCATATGTTGTACTGTATTGTATGTTGGAAAAGAAATATATATATACTGCTGGCTTAATTTAAATTATGAAAATTTGATTTAATAGGACGATGCACCATTTTGAATTATGCTTAATACGGTAATTTGTTCATATATGGCTAACACAGGCACCACAGATTAAATTCTAGTGGTATAAAATATCGCAGAAATGTTTTGTCGGGATATAACTTGTTTGGTAATCTTTTATAAATTTTGAGATTACGTATTAAATACAATCAATTAAAATAAATCTGTCTTTAAAAAAAAACTAGATTTGTTAACAATAATTATCTTTGGTCAATGGCCTTTAGCGATATGGGCCATCTCATTCATAAGCCCAATGTTAGATAAGATACCCATTCCGATAAGATATTGCTCTGCCCCTTTTTGGGTTCGTTCATTGCACCCGTCGACTCCAAATCAATAGACAATAGTTGCTATCAGTTTTTCGTTTTCAGATGTTGGCTAGGGACTGTGACTGTATAGTGGCGCCTGGATCTAGCTCCAGTTCACCAAGTTTACTTCATCACATTCTCGTGCCATGGATTTAGAGAGGAAAGTTAAAAATTTCTACTGCTTCTCTTAGACTAGCTTTTTTTATTATATTCACGTTACTTTGTAGTTAATCAAAGTTTCTGAGAGATGCATGCTTAACAAAAATAATGTCTGTTTTATTTAGACTAGACAAATTTTCATATATCATGATGTATACATACCAGAAAGAATCAACAGGAAAATCATCACACATGTGATGAAACTAGCGACATATTTGCTGCACATGTCTGATTTATTTACTACATCATATCGCGAAAATATTAATGTATATCGAGTTTTCGAAGATAGAATTGACTAGAAATAATGGAGATTTTTGCACAAGTGACAAGTGCAAACTTTTCCTTTCTTCGTAGGCACGCATGTGCCATAACTATATTGTGAAGCAGGTGGGGCAAAGCAAAAATCTTGACATAATGAATTACCGTTAGGCTTATTACAAGTCCCATGCGGCGCTATAGTTGTGCTTCTTTTGAGACATAGAGGCGCTGGAGGATACTTCCAACCTGATTCTCCTGATATTCCTATATTACAAAACATATTTTTGGTTAAAAATACATATGTTGTCTTAATAATATATTACTAGAAACACGTAAAATGTATTATACAAAATTCACAAATGATTTGTGCATGCTTAGGTCGTGCAACATGAAGACATTGATAACAATATGGGGGAAGTTCCTAACGGGGCCTTACTTATTCAGGGGGAGCCTCCATAAGTGTTTCTACTTATTAAATATCTTTTGGAAATTTTTAAAACACAGGTTTTCTTTTAAAATAATATTTTCAAGTAGAAACTCCATAAAAGCTAGAGATTCATTAATTATTATTTTATTTCTTTGAATAACTAAAGGGTTTTCTGGACCGAATCTCATACATCCCTTCAGATCTGAGACAGAGTATGTTATATGGTCTCGTCTGAAACGGTAATTGAACTGACGATCTCTGAACTTTTGCGAGAGATCTTTACCAATACTTGGTTATAAAAACCATTATTATTATTTTTTGTTAAACCATTATTATAATTATACTTGGTCATAAAAATCATTATTATATGTTTTGTATTTTACAATTAGCTATCAGATTGTGTTAAATATGTTTAAAGATATGATTTGTAAATATACACTTGTTATCAAATCAAACACAAAATATATATGGACAAATTTTCATATATGGTGATGTATACATACCTGTTATTGTAAGAATCAACAAGAAAATCATCAAACGGATGATAAAACCACCAAGATATGCACATTTACTTTTACTCATCCTTTTTTTATAACTTTTGATCTATATATTTTCTTTTCTTTTTGTGAGAATGTCTATAACACAATCAACTAGTATATAAAGAAATATTTTCTTCTAAAAATAGAAGAAAGGGTTAATTTTCTAAAATTAAAAGAAATAAATTTATTCCGTAATATAATCCTATAAAGATGTTTAAATTAGTTTTTTAAAGTAAATTTTGCAGCAAAAAAATATATTATAATAGAATAAATAAAAGGTTACTTTTTCTAAAAATAGAAGAAAGGGTTAAATTTCTATAAATAGAAGAAATAAATGTAATCCATAAAATAGTCCTATAAAAAGGTTAAAATTACTTTGTTTTTTTTTTGTGAAGTAAAATTTGCTGCACATGTCTGATTATTTACTACATCATATCGCCATATTCTTTCTCATCAAATCTATCATGAAACGAAAATGTTTTGAGTTTTTTGGTCTTATTAATAATTTATACAAGTACCCGTGAGGAGAGTTAGTTAGACTCGATTATGAAGCTCCATGTAAACGAAGGGAGTATTTTGAATCTCATATTTTGTGTTTGACTATTTCGTTCCCAATTTAATTGTTTCTTTATTTGGCAAATATTCAGCTTAAAAGAAAGATAATGAAGGTCTTAATTATGCTTCACGTCTTGATTTGTAAGGAAACCAGGAAGATCAAGAATTCATGCTAAAGATCTTACCAAATGTTCCCTAAGTTGATGCGAAATCCTTGTGTATTCTAATCATATATATATATACATATCTTATCAATAGATTCTTAGAGCATATACAATAGTAAAATTTTGAGTGTTTTATCATCCTGCTTATAATAAAATAATCAAGTTTATCCAAAATCTTGATCCAATTAATAAGACCAATGTCTTAAATAGGATTTTTTTGTGGGTTAAGAACCGATGACATGGCGAAATACTATTGGTTGGGGGAAATGAAAATAAAATAAAATAAAGGTTGTTGTTCTTTTCTTTGAAAATCTTGTTGTTTTATGTATGTCAATTTTTTTCTTTAAAAATATTCTTTTCAAATGTTATTGTTTTATGTATGTTAATTTTATGTATGTTTTATATTCTATGAAATAAACTTTATCAAATGTGTTATTGTATTATGATTTAAAAAAATAAAAAATTAGACACCTATATTAGATGTCTCTATAATGTCTAAAAATATATATCCATATAAGAATGTCTAAGAAAACAGATTTACATAAAATTTAATAATTAAATGTTTTAGTCTTTTTTCATAAATGTCACCATTGAACGTGTTCTCAGTGATTCTTAGTTTAATATTAGTTTAAATGGTAAATGATGTTTTAGACTAAGAAACTGATCTTAATTAAAACATGTGGTTCAGAGACGACACGTGGCGATGGACGATTGGTGGAAGAAGGAAAAAAAAAACACAACTCTCTCTCTCTCTCTTACGCGTTTCTTCGTCTCATGCGATTGAAAAGGTGATCAATCCTATTCTCCGATCCGCCGGCTTCTCTGACCTACGGCCAATCTTCCGGAGTAGTCTCACCATCCAGCGACGGGTGGTATCCACGGCGAGGAGGATGAGCTCAAATCGTATCCACAGCGAAGAGGAGGAGCTTAGAGTCGTGTTTCTGACTGTGGCTCCGCCAAACGCGGCGGCGATGTCGGTTTGTTTCTTATCCGTAATCTGTTGATGAGTAAGTTTTAGTGTTTAGGATGGTTTCGCTTAGATTCGGATCCGTTGGCTAGATAGATTTTAGGAAATTCAGTTGATCTGGATAGTTTCTCAAGTGTGTGTTGATTTGTAGAATGAAGCAATACTAAATTCAGATTTGAGACCGTGAAAGGAGAAGACAATTTGTTCAACTCTTCAATTGGATTCTATTGGAACCAACTCTGTATGGTGTGAGCATACATTAGTCATCACTATGTTTGGAATGTAGAGTTTCTTCCTTAGATACATTTGTCTGCTTTGAATTTTGCCAATGTTTAGTATCTGAAATCTCCTCCTTGATGAAATGTTTCTGCTTATCAATCTTACTAGAGAGTAGACTCTGCTTTATTCATCACTATGTTTGGATTCTAGAGTTTCTTCCTTGAATAAATCTGTTGTTGGTGCTCGGAAGTCTTACTATCCTCTAGCTTCTGTTATTACTAATGCAAATGCAAGTTTCTGAAGTCATATTTATTTTCTTGATGGTGCAGGTTCAAATGGGAACACATTTGATCATGTATATGGAAGTAGTAATGGTTCTCCATCTTCCTTTGATGTTTGACGAATGTGTTGCTCCTCTTGTTGATGTTTGACAAAGCGTTGGACTCTGCATCACTAATGAAGCTAAGGAAATACATATTTCGAGTAGTCACATTTGTAGATTTTAAAGATTAGAAGCTTAGTATATAATCATTATCTAATCTTCTCCAAGAACGTCAAAAAAATAGGGTGGGGTTTGGCTCTGCAATTTGCAAAGTTATTGGTGTAATTTTATTCGCGTAATATGACAAGCTACTATGATTACACTGCTAAATCAAACTTAATTAGTATATTTTGACATATGTACATGGAATTGTTATAAACCAAAAAAAAAAAAATATATATATATATATATATATAGAGTTAACTTTACAAAAAGAAGCAAAACAAACATAATACACGGGTGGATTTCACATATTCTACAAAAATGCCTTCAAGTCTTGTAGATATGTTGGCCACTAGAACTCGAATTCGTGATCGTTTAAATTAATTGTGTTTTATGTTATTTATTCAATAAATTGTATTTCATATATGTTTTAATTTTTTTATTTTGCAATAATTATTAAGTTTTCTATAATTAAAATTGTTAAATTTTTTTTTCTATATTAATGTTTTAATCCTAAGATCCACAACTTAAGAACATACTAATAATCCTACATAAAAACAAAAAAACTTAATTACACCTCTTAATTTAACTTTTTCAATTATATTACTAAAGTAATCATAAAATCAATTCTTAAGAACCTTGCATTAATTAGGATGCTCATAATTACTTGCTCATTATAAAAAGCAATCATCTTGAACAGTAATATCATAGCATAGAAGCATGAAGAAACAAACTTTAATAACTGAGGTGTGATGTGGAGGAGGAGTATTTTATGGCGGTAGATGAAGAACCAGACGTTATGGAAATATCATTGTGACCACCATCAGCCTTATAAAAACCAGGAAGTTTAGGGCTCGGGATCCCAGCAGTATCATTAACAAGCATCATTAACACCGACGACATATTAGGTCTGTCCTCTGCATCTTGCTGAACACACAAGAGACCAACTTCTAGACATCTTTGGACTTGTTGTTTCTGAATTGATGAGGAGTACTCTCGTATGGTTTGATCAACAGTATCCTCCCAGTTCTCGTCATGCCATTTGGTCCACATCTGTTCACGAGAACCAGGCCAGTGCTTGTAATTATTAGTTTTATATGCCCTTCTATCTCAAAGAAAGTAGTACTTACGTACAAATGAAAAAAAAAAAAAAAAAAACCCTCTTACATAGCTTAGAAGATTAGTGTTGCACAGCGAGTATGAAAAGGTTCTATTCTCCTTCCCACTGACGATCTCAAGGAGCATCACACCGAAGCTAAAGATATCTGACTTTGTTGAATACGACCCACTCTCCGCGTACTCGGGGGACATGTAACCACTGCATCATAATGCATGCATGTGACCAACATTTTTCAAAATTAAACGGCCATGTATATATATGGTAGTTAGTAATTGAGAGAGTTTTTGATTGATCGCTTACAAAGTACCAGACGGCTTCGTTGTGTTAGCCTCCCTCTCTCTCCTGTTACAGATTCTTGCCAACCCGAAATCTGAAATTTTGGGGACCATACCTCTATCAAGCAAGATGTTTCCTGGCTTAAGATCCCTGTGTATAATCATATCTCGCGAACCTTGTTGCATATACGCAAGTCCTTGAGCGATGCCCTTAATTATGTTAAATCTCGTCTGCCAGTTTAGCTCACATGAGTTTTGGCCTCCACCTAAAACAACAATTCGATAAATTCAATATATATATATATTTTTAAAAATAATACAGGGATGTTTGTTAACTTAGATTATTGTAGAAAGAAGTCACCAAAAAGTCGTTGTTGGAGGCTTCCGTTTTCTAGGTATTCATATACCAAGACCCTCTCATCCTTGTGAACGCTCCAGCCAACAAGTCTAACTAGATTGATATGCTGGAGGTTTGCGATTAACATCACCTCGGTTTTGAACTCCACGATCCCTTGTCTTGAGATAGCAGATAGTTTTTTCACTGCAATTTCTTGCCCGCTAGGTAAACGTCCCTGCAAATTCATACATTTTATTTGCAAAACCCACCCAATCTCTTATAACATAATAATAATTCTAATGCTAAATTGAACTGCCAAACTTTGATAAGAAAAGCCAAAGTAATGTTTTTTTTTCTTCTTTATATACCTTATATACAGTACCGAATCCACCATGTCCAATCTCATTAGCATCTGAGAAGTTTTCGGTGGCTCTTAATATTGTTCCAAAATCCATGGGTGGAAGTTGCGGAGTCTCTATATCCTCTGCTCCAAATATGTTTTCTTCACTTTGCGATTCCATTATAACATTTTCATCCATTTCAGTTGCTCTTGCTAGCTTTTGTTTCTTTTTCCAAATATAAACTAGTAACATAATTATTATGACGATGACAGTAGCCGTTGATCCAAGGCTCAGACCTATAATTAGCCGACTTTTGCTTTTCTTCTCTCCTGGAACCCAAAAACAAAAAAAAAAAAAACACTAAACTGAGTCGATAGTTTTAAAATAGCGAAAATGTGAATAATTTAGAAAATAAAATTGTGAGAAAAGTAAAAACATACAGAGCAATATATATTACCATAGAGTCTGATGTACAAATCTTGACCTCCCTCCGTGTATTTTTTTACATCTACTAGGTTTTCGCTCCAAGTCACACAAGTTGATGATAAAGTACCATTTTGATAGATAATCATTGTATACGCCGTGCAGTGGCAGTCACTGATACACAAATCACGACAACTTTTCTTTTCGTGTGTGGAGTACTGTTTGGCATCCATTGTATCCGGTAACTTCAATTTTGTTAATAGTGAAAACCGATTGCTACTGCAGCTTATTGGTGTTTTCCTAATGCAATCTCTTGTGACGTTTCCTATTGTCTTCTACTTAAACCCACTGATGCACTTACACATGTCTGCATCGCAATAATTGTTGCTGCCGCAATAGTTATAACGATCGCAACCACTATTTGGTGCAGTCCATCGCAAGATCCATTTATGTGATGTTTGACTCCATGATTTCCATTGCAATTGTCCTTCGGATGTCAATGTGACTATGGAGTAAAGGTCGTTGTCTTGATACAGAAAAGTGACACCATCTTGATTGGTTGAACTGAAGACCATAGGTAGGTCAGCGAATTGGACTCCATTCCAACCACCGCTTCGGTACACTTTGGTAACATCCTCCCCCCGTGAAATGAAAAGCCTAGGGAATTTATCGCCGTTGAGTCCAAAAATGTAGTCTCCTTTTGCTGGATCATTGCTTGCCTTCCAGCTTGTCAAATATCGACGAGATGCATAATTTGGGACCTTGGAGGATATGAGTTTCATACCTGGGAGTAACGTGTCTGTTGGATTATCGAAGCTTTGCCACAAGTAGTCTCTTGGATCCATGCTTTGCGAGTATCTCAGCACCAAATTTCCGTTAGCCATGAGCTCTGCCACTAGCTTCGGAGATCTTTCCTTTTTTCTTTGAGTATCCCAGATGATGCGTATATTATCACGGAGAACAAGGTTAGCACCAGAGATTTCAAGAGTGGCGTTAGAGTTGTAGACAGGTTTGTCTCGATTCCCAACCCATACGTAGGTTCTCATTCGCTTAGGGATTTTCTTGTACCATATCCCGAAATACCAACCATCACCACCACAACTGAAGAATCCGAGCTCGAAGACACCGCCAGGAGAAACGAGACTTGCGCTTCTTGAAACAAGAAAAGGCTTTGAATCAACAACATCGAAACAAGCAAGTACAAGGACCAACAAGTAAGTAAACCACCACGGACCGGAGAATATAAAACCCATCGCTGTGGATGAAGTGTGTTTTTTTTTCTTTTTCTTTTACACAACTCTGTGCCGGAGATAATGCGCTAAATTTCTTAAAGTCCACCATCGACTTGATCAAACGGTATGGGGTAGAATTTAATTTTTTTTTTTTGTCTTTGAAACCGCGCCAACTAACTACTCTATATGAGTCTATGTTACGTTCTTGTTCTAAACAAACTCTAAAGGTTTTTTTTTTTTTTTTGGTCATAAACAAACTCTAAAGGTTTAACATGTTTTTTCTTCGGTAAAAGTCGAAACAATTTGTTCGATTAAATATTTTGCCTGGTATCCGGTTTAGCACGAAGCCAAACATTGAACCGGTCTAGTTTCTATGCTAACCATGTTTGTTTTCCTTGTCGTTCGTTTTTCAAGACTTGTCTACCACTGGGCACTGGCTGGAAACAAAAAGGAATCATTAAATAATTCATAACGAAAAATGCGAATAAATAATGATGAAAAGACATTCCAATAAATGCAACTTTAAAAAGGTACATTTGTATAATATGTTAAGAAAATTTTAAAAATAGAATAGTAAATGCCTAAATGGAAATCATACAGACACATGTTTTTGATGGGATGGCTGCCCTGGTTCTCCTACATTGTATATTTTCTGTGTATCGTCGAGTTAGATAAAGGAAACATGTGACAATTTCTATTCTCCATAGATTCCATAAGATTCCGTCGAATATAATCTGATATTCCAATATACTTATAGTACTGTACTGGCAGGCAGCGAATATGGGATTAGCGCCCCAGGGCCATGACCTTGATCCCATGACGGACGATGCAACAAACAGATCTAAGGGCAACATTATTGGTGGGATCTTAGCATTTAAGATCCCATTGATAATGTTGGTCTAAGCTAATCAAGTAGATATCTCTCTCTCTTTTTTTTTAACAGCTTTTTTACTCTCTTTTTATTGTACATGTTGTTGTGCTTGTGCATACTGCATACTATCATCATCAGCAACGTAACTCTTAATTACACGTGTTTTGTAGCTGGACCAAAAGACCATCTGATCAACGGACCAGGAATATTGGATCCGGCTAATTTATAAGAGGAACAAAACACACAAAAAAATATAAAAAAAATGTGCGATTAATATGTGATATACGTATTCACGTGACAATCAACAGAGTTAATAATAATAATAATCTCGATAACGTACGTACGTGACGCTCCCCTAATAATACTGTATTTTTTAAAAAAGAAGGTATATGATGATGTTGTCAGTGAAAAAGTAATGTCAATGATCTCGGCCTAGAAGTAGCTAGCGTCTAAGAGAACCACGACGAGCCTGCACGGACCGATCACGAGTCTCTCGACCGTGAATAAGCCACGACTCCAAGCCTCTTTATTAACCAACGTGGCGCTTCATACACCGCACACGTGCCATCATCTCTTTCTCCGTCGAACGTGCGAGCTCTTAAAAAGAAAATCCATGCTCCTCTTCTTCTTCTGATAAATGATTCCTTTTAGTCTTACGTACTGACGCTATAAATACCAAATCTGTCTGTTCTCTTTCTCTCTCTCAGTATTCACTATTCATCAGTAAATTCTCTCTCTCTCTCTCTCTCTCTCTCTCTCTCTCTCTCTTCATTGCTTGACTTTTGTGAGTGTGATATAACTGCGGAGAATATGGGAAGAGCGCCGTGTTGCGAGAAGGTTGGTATCAAGAGAGGGCGGTGGACCGCGGAGGAGGACCAGATTCTCTCCAACTACATTCAATCCAACGGCCAAGGCTCTTGGAGATCTCTTCCCAAAAATGCCGGTAAATCATATTTTACACATTTTTTATTTTTACAATAATATATATCATGCAACCACACTGTACACAAGCTAGCTAAATTTTAGCTATAACATGGATTAATTGTGAGAGACAACGGCAGCAATCATCGTAGATCTCGTGTGTCCTACGTACGTAATCTTCATGAACCATAAAGTTTGATTGTTTGTAACATATTTTCGTAAGTTTTTTTTGCAACATATCGATCTAAATTGTTAAATCGTACGTGTCAATTTATATTATATTTCGTTTTGGTTTTTGGTTAAAGTCACAGTCACGGTGGGTTAAGTGAATGTACGTATTATGTAAAGTGCTGCCAAGTGCATGTTTTAAATGGGTTGGTTATTTGTATGTATATATCGTAGACCTATTAATATTAATAGTATACGGACAAACGTTTTTCAAAAGGATATATATACACAAAACAGATGCGTATTTATGTATTTTTGTCCGTTGTATATCAATCCTAGCTTCAAAGATCAGATCAAAATTTATGTGACTAAGCTAATTTGATTTGATTTCCAGCTCTGCTTTAATCCAAGATTAACTAATGTAATGTAATGTAGTAGTTGAGAATTTTAGAGATAATCTTTTCACTACTTGTATATTTCATTTATATCTAAAGAACTGTTGACGTGTATTATATTTATGGTTTTTGTTCTTTTTCTTCGGGTGTGAATGAAAAGGATTAAAAAGGTGTGGAAAGAGCTGTAGACTGAGATGGATAAACTATCTTAGATCCGATCTCAAGCGCGGGAACATATCCCCCGAAGAAGAAGAGCTGGTTGTGAAATTGCATTCCACTTTCGGTAACAGGTACTAGCTCTATAGCACCTACTAAATTTAGATTTATTCGAATTAATATTGTTATTTATGTACTAGTACTGTATGTGTATGATGTAATAATTAATAATATCCCGTCAATATATCAAGTAAATGAAACGTTTGTTATTAAGACGGTTTATTGTATGGTATTAATGAAGATTGTTCTTTCTCTCGTTAATTAGTTTTCGTGAAGCACTTTTTATGGTTGGGAACTTGAAATTTAAAGACGGAATGAATGGTAAAAAGATATTAACTTACTTTATTCGTCAAACGGAAAACACTATTTCTGCTCGTTGTGGCCTCTGGGTCTCCTCCTCTCTCTGCATATATATATGGTTTGGGAGTGTTGAGACTTTTTCTCTTTTAGTTGAGACAAACTAAATGTACTCTTACCATTTTACAACACTTCATATATACATTACATAAGCATTAACGCATGTGCATTAGTGCATATGTATATGTAACCCTACTTCAAAGTAAATAAAATACATGATATATTCTAGGGAAAAAAACATAAATCTTGAATAAAAAGCGAAAATCTGTCAACGTCCAAAACGATTTTATTTATTTTACCTTTTCTGAAGCATGATTAGGTCAGCAGTCATATCAATATGGCAATTCAGATTTATTTGGTTCAAAGTGTTCTATGGATTCTCTTCGGGCCACGAGGTTCTCTTTTAATATATACTAGATTCGGACCCGCACTACAGCGCGGTGGAAATAATTAACTATATAAAATTTTTAATGGATTATGATATGTTACATTTTAATTTTACTACAATGTAGTCGATTACAGTGAATTATATATTTGTATAATATTTTTAAATAAAATAATAAACTAAAAAAACGAATAAATAATAATACATTGAGTTTTGATACAATTAAAAAAACCGTGAAAAGTTAACAGCACGAAAAAACAAATTATTCAATTGACTATTTTTGTAGTAGAAGTAAAAATATACGTAAAATTACATACTTACAATATTTTTTATAAAGTATCAACCCGTAACATAATTCATTTTGTAAAAACCGTTATTCATAACTCGCTTTACCATTATAATTGTGATTTTAACAAACTATCCGTTAACTATCTAAAATTTACATAGTTTGATATATAATATATTTTATCAATAATAAATTAATAATTATGTCTCAACAAAATATTTTTAATATTTTAAATTATAATTTATTTTTATATTTGAATTTTTTGATTATAATATTTTGAAACTTTGTAAACTTTTAAATATGTTCATGTAACAAATATTTTAATATTGATCATACTGATTTTAAATCATTGTCTAGAATATTTAACCAAATGTAATTGAGTATTATATGTCCGTTTTGAAAAATTCAAATTGCAACATCTGCAAAAAATGGAAAATTTTTAATTAATTTTTTTTATTATATAGTATAATATCAGAAATTTTAAATAATATCAAAGAAATGTCAAAGAAGAATGATAATTTTTTAATATATTATATTAAATTAGTTAGAGAAATATTAGGAAATCATAAAATTAGTTATAGAAATAATATAATCTTAAAATTAGATATGGAAAATATCCGATGTATGTATCCAAACCCATTTTAGTATCCAATTTTGAAGTATCCAATTGTTAAAATCGGGTTAATTTTAAAATTTTGACCCGACCCGTATTTTATTTTGTACTTCTCTTTTACTAATATAGAGATTTGTTTGAAAGTAGTGTAAATAGAGAGGATTAATAATAGTTGTAATTAATGTAAACGTGTAGGTGGTCACTGATAGCGAGTCATCTACCAGGGAGAACAGACAACGAAATAAAAAATTATTGGAACTCTCATCTCAGTCGAAAACTCCACAACTTCATTAGTAAGCCGTCCATCTCTCGAGGCATAATCATGAACGCTTCTTCTGAACCGCAGGCCAAGCGCAGACTTGGGAGAACTAGTAGATCCGCCATGAAACCCAAAACCCACAGAACAAAAACTCGAAAAACGAAGAAAACGCCTACACGGCAGGATCCAAACGCAGACGTAGCGGTAGCTGAAGAAGGAGCATTAATGGTGGCGTTAAGTGGAGCCGATCGCGAGGCTGAGCTAGGACCATGTGACTACTACGGAGACTTTTGTTGTAATAAAGATCTCGTGAGCATTAATGGGGATAGTGGAGTTTTATCGTTTGATGACGACATCGCTGATCTTTTGTTGGACGAGTCAGATCCAGGCTACGTATCGTGTGGTGGTGATGACACGAGAGGGTTCTGGTCGGAGTCTTCCAACCAAGGGAAACTCGACTGTCTTCAGTCTTGTCCGTCGGTGGAGTCGTTTCTCAACTACGAGCACCAAGTTAACGATGCGTCGGCGGATGAGTATATTGATTGGGATTGCGTTTGGCAAGAAGGCAGCAAACACGATCTTTGGCACCAGAAAGAGGGCGCCGACTCGATGGTGTCGTGGCTTTTGGACGGTGATGATGACGCCATGATCGGGAAAAACAATTGCGACAACTTCGGAGAACCGCTGGATCATGACGACGAAAACGCTTTGGTTGCTTGGCTTCTGTCCTGAAGATATTGGTTTTGTTGACCCGTACCTACTTAAAGTAATCTTTCTGTATTTTACTGTTTGAATCCATTCCACGTCTCTCGACCTATGTGCGTATGAGATAAAAACATCATGCAATTTTTGTTAAGGTTTAAATAATAAGTCCTGGTTGTAATAGTCTTTTAAGACCTAAAACTAAGAAATCTAAGAGCAAATGCATTGGTTTGGACAGCATTTCGTCCCAAGTTTTTTTATTTTTTTTTATTTTTTATTTCTTTTCCAGATTTTTAAAAAAAAATAAAAAATTGAGAGAACCAATCGTGGGCCGCCACGTGTCAGTGGGGCCCGCGATTGGTGAGACAAAAGCTAAGGGACCGTAACGTTTGGAGATACGTCCTCCTTATATTTTTTTTCTTTTGAATTTTCTTTTATTTTTTTTGGTTGGGGGACTGCCATAAACCCTCAAATGCTCATGCTCTAAGTAGTTTTTTTTTTTGTCTAATCATGATGTAATATTTTAACCTTTTTCATGGAATTTAATAAAAAGGGTATGAAAATGTAGGTATATAATAACATTTTTATTTTGGAACTGGTTAATCAATCTCACCTCCTTAAATTTAATAATATATGTCACTCAAATAATCGGAGTGACGACAGCTCTATTATATCTATGAGAAGTAAAAAATAAAAGCAGTAAATTAACAAAAGAACAAAATATGATTACCTCTCAATCATTTTGAAGCATAGCTTTTTTTTTCTTTAGGGACACACCAACATAAAAACTGCGAACAATCGTTACCGACAACAACAACTGAAAGAAAAAAAAAATTAAAATTTAAGAACCTACAATTGGAGCATGTTTTTATTAACGTACTTTGAAGAGTTGTTTCATTTTGATTGTGTTATATTTTTATTAAAGATATGGTTAAGTACTCGTTATTTTACTTAATTCAACCATTGGAGATGGTCTTAGGTATTTTTTATAAGTACTAGTGAGTTTATAAAAAACATGATTACTAGCTAAGTTACATGGAATCGGAAGCGAGTACGCGGAAGTGTAAACGTTTGGAAGCGAAGAAGCGGAATTTTTTAAGAAAATAGAAAGCGGGTACGTATTGGAAGCGTTAAAACTCTGAATAATGCAAAATAGCATATCTTAAACAATTAAGATTAAAATATATATTAAGAGATTTATATTTTAATTATATACAAACATCTAAATTCTATTAAATTGATTTTCTCTTTAGTAAAATGTATAAATGTTTAAGAATTAAAAGTTGTAGGCAACATATATATTATATACAACAAAATATATATTTAAACACAATTATTTTTTTTTGTCAATAAAAAAAAAGTTAGAAGCCACAAGTAATTTAAAAACATAATTGTTCTTCTTCTTTATTGCTTTATCTTATGGTAAATGAAGTTTCTGTTCTTATTTAACCTCAAAACACATATGATTTTGTGGATTATACTCAGATTTAAACTACTTTCACTCATATTCAAGTGATTTGAAAAAGACAAAAAAGTAACGCTTCTTGTTTATATGTTCGACGTTTCCAAACCAGAACCGTACGCTTCTCTTGCGCTTCCAGTTCATGTTTTCCTGGAATCGCGATTTCGTCAGGCTTCCGAGCGATTCCAAGCACTTCCGATTCCGTTTCCGATTCTAAAGCGGAAATCGAAGCCTCAGTGTCGCTTTCGTGTAACGTAGTGAATACTAGTGGTTAGTTTCTTAGAGCACATCCAATGCTAAAATTGTTAATAAATTTCTTAGCATTATTGTAATAAAAAAAATACAAGTAGAAGTTAAGAATTTTTGAAGATGAAAAGAAATATATACTTGAAATTATAGAGTTATAAATTCAAAATTTTTAAAGATTTTTATTTTATTTTTTATTTACTAAGAATCAATCTCTAAATATTTTAGATAAGATACATTTATTAGCTTAACTATCATTATTTGATTTATTTATATGCTTTTTATTACTAAGAAACAAGTTAATGACACGTTTATATTTCGAATCTACAACACACACGCATCGGCATAGCATAATAATAGTAATAGAGAGTGGAGTAAAAAAAAGAAGGCTTTCTCTGGTTCTACTGTATCTGGACCTGGAATTCCCACCACGTGTGATGGTCTCGTACTTTTCTTCTTCTTCTTCTATCCTCAAGTTCTTCAGAAAAGTTTATTAGAATATAGTTTATATTTCTCGACAATACATTGAGAAAAAAAAAAAAAAAAAACATGATTTTACTACAACCTTGCAATATTCAAAAGCTCGTAGCTGCTGTTTCATCTTGAAACTCGTTTTTGGGCCCAAAATTAAGCCCATTGTTGTACAATTTCGACTGTGGGTTAGATTGTGAAATTTGATAAGTAAGGGCTTAAACGAAAGAATTCGGAGAAGACATTTTCTCTTCTCTTCTCCGGGAAATTATGTGGAGACCTAAAACCATTCACAGTCCGACATGTAACCCAGCCACGTAATTAGAACACTCGATTACCGTTCATAATTATGTGTGATTAAATCGACGATCACGATCACGCCATGTCACTGTTTTTAATTTTATTTTGTAGTATCTTCTTCTCGAAGTTGTGTTGTAAAGATCAATAAAAGCAAAGCTCCTCCTCCCAACTGAAGCAAAACAAAATGGCGAAATCTCAGATCTGGTTTGGTTTGGCCTTACTGGCGTTGCTTCTAGTTTCAGCCGTGGCTGACGATGTGGTTGTTTTGACGGACGATAGCTTCGAGAAGGAAGTTGGTAAAGATAAAGGAGCTCTTGTCGAGTTTTACGCTCCCTGGTATGGAGGATCAACTCCCATCTCTCTTTTTCTGGGTAGCTATAGATATTCCGATGCGATCCTTGTGTTGAATCCCTTCGTTGATCTGGATATCTTCTGTTTTGGATTCGGTTAGATTTTACTGAGTAATCGGAATTGGACTTGTTTTGATTCTTGTGCCATGTTAGGTGTGGTCACTGCAAGAAACTTGCTCCAGAGTATGAAAAGCTTGGGGCAAGCTTCAAGAAAGCTAAGTCAGTGTTGATTGCAAAGGTCAGTCTGATTCTATTTCTGTATTCAGCTCCCTGGGCTTGGTTTCAAAGATGAAAATGATAGATTGTCTCAACTTGTGTGTTTTGTGGTGAAGGTTGATTGTGATGAGCACAAGGCTGTCTGTACCAAATATGGTGTTAGTGGATACCCGACCATTCAATGGTTTCCTAAAGGATCTCTTGAACCTCAAAAGTATGCTTTTACAGCTTCTCCTAGCAGTTTATTTATTCGATAAGTTTTTGTTTTTAGATTGTGAGTTTTTTTCTTTCTTTGATGCAATCTTATCAATAGGTATGAGGGTCCACGCAATGCTGAAGCATTGGCTGAATACGTGAACAAGGAAGGAGGTACTTTCGCTGGTCATAGTAGCTAAGCTTGTCTCCTTTTGGCTAGGAGGTAATTTTTGAAGTGTACTTACTTCTGGTTGAACATATATGTTTGCAGGCACCAACGTAAAATTAGCTGCCGCTCCACAAAACGTGGTTGTTTTGACACCTGACAATTTCGATGAGATTGTTCTGGATCAAAACAAAGATGTCTTAGTCGAATTTTATGCACCATGGTAACTCATTCTAGTCATCTCTCTCTCTTCACTGTGATGGTTTTGCTTTTATGCTATCTTCTCATTTCAAGTTTCCATCTGCCAGGTGTGGCCACTGCAAATCCCTCGCTCCTGTAGGCTCAACTCTCTGTTTGCTTTGATATATCGATAGTCCTTGTCGTTTCATTACTAATGTTTTTTGCCCTTTATATCATCAGACATACGAAAAGGTAGCCACCGTGTTTAAGCAGGAAGAAGGTGTAGTCATCGCCAATTTGGATGCTGATGCACACAAAGCCCTCGGGGAGAAGTAAGTCGGACAAGATCTTTTTTTACTTTCCAATTATACTGTTCAAGTAATTTATGTTGACGAGTACCTTATATTCAGATATGGAGTGAGTGGATTCCCGACGTTAAAATTCTTCCCAAAGGACAACAAAGCTGGTCATGATTATGACGGAGGCAGGGATTTAGATGACTTTGTAAGCTTCATAAACGATAAGTCTGGGACCAGCAGGGACAGTAAAGGGCAGCTAACTTCAAAGGTTGGGTAAAAACATGTCTTCTGCAGAATGACTATTTGCCACTGAAATTGAAAGCTTATGTTGATTCTCTCACTCTCCCATAGGCTGGTATAGTTGAAAGCTTAGATGCATTGGTAAAAGAGTTAGTTGCAGCAAGTGAAGATGAGAAGAAGGCAGTGATGTCCCGCATTGAGGAGGAAGCAAGTAACCTAAAGGGCTCCACAGCAAGGTATGTAGTAGTAACGCTTCATCTATACATGGAATAAGAGTGTTGAAAAGACACTTGTCTCTTTAATTCCTGAGTTTCCATGATGTCTCTACAGGTATGGAAAGCTTTACCTGAAACTCGCAAAGAACTACATAGAAAAAGGTTCAGGCTATGCTAGCAAAGAAACCGAGAGGCTTGGACGCGTCCTTGGCAAGTCGATAAGTCCAGTGAAAGCTGATGAACTCACTCTCAAGAGAAATATCCTTACCACGTTCGTTTCTTCTTCTTAAAGCCATAGCTTGAAGCGATAAGAGAATAGGAGTCTGAGAGGCTCTATAACTGATACGATTTGTAGAGTCGTCGTCTTGATATTTTGTGTTTGTCAAGATCAAGATCTGTGGTTATTTGATCTGGATAGTTCTGAAACTGTTTTGGACTTAGTTTTCTCTGTCTTTTGGTGACGATAATCATAAACTTCATTCCCTGTTGAAAAGAGTTTAAAAATGTTCAATAGGGAAAATCTAACTAAAGCAAACGCAAACGAAAACGCAAATTTGTCGTGTGTTGGCGTAATGACTAATGAGCCAGGCTCGTATTCGCATGGGTTAAAGTACTATGGAGCGTAAGTCCGTGTAAATGATGGGTCACCTGACATGGACTAGTTTTGAGAAGACATCGTTTCACTGAGGTGTATAAATATATAAGGCCACAACAAATCCACCAGTGTGGATGCAAAAAGTAAAAGCATACAGAATACAGAGTCTCCCTTTCCAGTCAAGTAGGATTATAAAGAAGATTCATATTCTATATATTTTGACAAAACACAATTTGGCTTTAATTATTAGGGTGGCCGGGATGCATTAAGATGTGTTGCTAACAAAACTCCAAGTCAAAAACCATGGACAATGTGAGAGCATTTGTTCTTGATCCATCGGAAACCATTCTTCAAAGTCGACTTAACTTTTCCTTCAACGGTATAAGCTTTGTACCTCGCGAAACCATTCTCTTCTTCCTCTTCATCTCCGCATCGCTTAAACCCCAAGACGGCTTTGTCGAAGACGCGTTGCTCCTACGCGCGTTTACTTCCCCCGGCGGAAAATCCTGAGTCCCGTACATCTGACCACTCACTATTCCCGTCCTCCGATCAACTGCGTAGGTTTTCTGACCCGACCCGTACCCTAACCCATCTTGACTATCCATTTCCCCTCTTTCTCCGATCGGCTTTATTTTGGTGGGTGATAGATATAAATTAACAACACACAACGGACTCTTCTCTTATTCGGCGCTTTTTTTTTTCTTTTTCTTTCTTTTGCCCCTATAAAAATAAAGAAATAGTATAAAGTCACTTTTTTGTCCAATATAAAAGGGAGACTTATTAAAACATGCCAAAAAATAATTTTAATTATCAAAATAAGCCAAATCTTTTAAAATTAAATAACTAGGTTTTTAATAAACAAAAGGGAAACAAACATACGTAACTAATTTTTTTGGACAAAAAATTATTATTTTTCTTTTTTTCTCTGTAAAAACAGCAAAATCAGTTAAAAATCAATTAAAATTTCTTTCGCATTTCTCTCCTTATTTTTCTCCACTCCAGTTAGTCTCTTTTTCTGCACTTCTTCTTCTTCTCTGTGGCGTAGTTTTCTGAGAGAGGAATCTAGCTTTCTAATCTTCAGCTCCTTATCATACTCTCTGCTCGGTTCGTGTTTTCAAAGCTACAATTTTTTATTTTACGAACTGATTTTGTTGATCGAGAGGGCCTTGTATAACAAGCATTATACCGTACTTCATTAAACAGCTCGCTAACGTCGGTTACACATCCATCGCCTCAACAACTCGTCCAATTTTTGAAACGTAGATTACTTTCATTAATATTTTTTATTTTGGTGTAATGCAGAATTTAAATTGGAGATGTCTGCTATTAATGAAGATTCTTTCATTCTACCGACTAAACTCTTTGAACCAGAAACAGAGCCTACACTTGAGGATCATATCAACTACAACTCTCGTCTCAATCTCTTTGATGAAAATTGGGATAGGCTTTTTGGAGATGTGTTAGATGACATTAAGGCATCTCCGTTTGGGGATTTATATCGGCTAGCGAAGGACAATAAATTCATTTGGTCAGGTACCCTTGTTCATTTTCTGCTTGCAAACCAACTAGTAACGGAGAAACAATATGAATTGTGGTCTCTTTTTGCTGGGCAACCAATACGCTTTTCGCTGAAGGAGTTTGGATTTATAACTGGGCTTTCATGTGATGAATATCCCACTGATAATGTTGAAGAAAATGAAGAAGTTACTAACAGATGGACTAGGATTTTGAAGTCCAAAAAGTATCCATCTTTACAAAATTTAGAAGAAATGGCTTTGGGATGCAGTGAGTGGAGTAAAGATGATCGGAAGAGGCTAGCATATTTGATGATACTGGCTGGAATTTTGATGGCTCGTCATAGAGGAACTCTTTTACCTAGGAAACCCATAGAACTAGTTAGAAATATTAATAGATTTGAGAAGTATCCATGGGGTAGGGCTGCTTTTAAGGTTCTTATTGATTCAATTCATGAGGTAAGAGATTACTTGTGTAATCCTTCTTATGCCATGAACGGTTTTGTCCAAGTTCTACCCGGGCCATGCCAGACGTTAGGCTTTTTCTGGAATCACATAAATGACGTGAGACGGAGGAAAAGAGAGTTGGGTGGGTTGTTTTGTTTGTCAGTCGTCGTCCGTCACTCTTTCTTTATACACTTTTGAGAAGAGCAGTGCAGCGTGAAACATTCAAATGTTGTTGTTGTTCCTTTGTTTGTTCCTTTGTTAGTAGACTCTGCTGCCAATTCTTTTTTTTTTTTTTTTAACGAAATTGTCTGACTTTAGTATGTCTTTCCCAATTAAAATTACTTCTCCTTAAGCGACAAAACAAATTCAATAAATCGTCAGTTTATTCCCAATAATAATAAAAAAAAAACATCTCGCCATTTATTGCAACAGCCACCAAATCATCTCGCTTGCAGTTTGTAAACGCATCTGGATTGTGTCTTATGAAGTGAACTATTACTTACTTATCTCCTCCCATTAAAAAAAAATTTTGTATGCTTCATAAATTTTGAGTCTTGACTATGATCATTTTGTTGTTGGCGGATGAGAAATTCGTACGTAGCTTACTTTATAATACATTTAATGTTTTCCTACATGATCCTATTTATTACTATCTCTTTCGGGAATTTTTTTTATAAAAAATATAAATAAAATAGACTAGGAATAATCATATCGAATATTACGTACTTAATGTGCTCTTCTTTATAAAAAAACCTAGAGCCTCTCCGTCTCTCTCAGTATAAATTCTCCACTCCTCTCACATTCTCTCTCTCTAGATCTCGTCTAGCCAAGACAGACACCAATTAATACACACACACTAATCAATACACCCTTGTGAGAGATTATGATGGAGGTAAGGTATTGGCGGAGGCTTAGAGGATACCAAAGGCTAGATGGTGGGTCGTCGGCCAAGAAGGCCAACCCGAGTCGGAGAAATGTGAAGCGGGCCAATATGGATCCGACCCGGAAAAGACGTTTACGGAGGATCAAGATAGTACCGAAGCTAAGGATCTTGAAAAGGGCGGCGTCGCCTAAGAAGCTTCTAACGTGGCTTCGAGATGCTTACGTCAATATGATGCTGCGCCTCGCCAACTCTCGTGTCGTCGGGTCATCGTACGGGTACGGCGAATATGGCTACGGGCCGGGTTTGGCGTCCAAGGAGTATGACGAGAAGAAGCTGGTGGAGATTTACAAATCCATATTGATGGCGCAGGGGAATCTCATCGTGCACCGCCAAGTACCTAAACTTTCTTTCAATTCCTATTGTGCTCTCATCGCCCCTTAGGTTACTAAATCCATTCCCACAATAAGTACAATGATCAATGTTAATGGTATGATCGTGATGATCTGTATTAATTAAACTTAATCATATATATACTCTTGTGCAAGATATAGTGGAATCTTCCATCTTCTCCTATCGAATAAAGTCGAGATTTGCATTTACGTCGTAACATCTAACCACCTAGAATTATAAAATTCTTAGTTCACCGGAACTTGTTGGCTTTGGGATTAATGCATGTGTGTTTCAAAAGCAAAATATTATACAAGTATTTTAAAATTATGTTTGGTTGACTTCTCTTGTTTGTTTGCTTAACCATATATACGCTCTTTTAATTCGTATCTTTACGTGTGGATGTCGTTGTGATTTGTAAATCGTAAGTAACGACCAATTTTTTTATTTAAAAAAACATCGCACTTTGATTGTTCAAAGCACCGTCATTGCTTACATCATAGCCAAGTCAATGATGTTTTTATCATTTGAGATTCCGTTGTCGCAAACCTAATTTATTTTGGGTCGTCATCAAATGGAATAATCCATAATGTTCACTGATTTCCATTTTGCGTTTATGCATGATACGGAAAACTATCTAATCCAAGTGTGGTTTTATATAATCAAACTATCAAAGCCAAGTGGAAAATCGTGGATGATATATTAATGATGCTAATTACTTCAGCAATGTTCTGTCCATTTTGTATGGAAAATGAGTGTAATATGCTATCTTTCATCTGTCGACAAAAAAAAAAAAAAAAAAAAAATGCTATCTTTCATCAAAAGGGGCCAGACATGTATAACATGATCAGGTCCGGTTCATAGAGCCACGTGGCAGAAAAATACTAATGATGGTGGAAAAGATGGACTTTAATGATAATTTTGTGTAAATGTTAAATGGGAAATTACGGCAGGCTGCTGACGAGGTCCAGGGTTTGGTTGGTCTGTTTCGTCTGGCTGACAAACAAAGTACATTTTTTCTTCTTTTTTTTAAGTAAAACGAAATCTATTTTTAAAAGAATAAGAGCCAAGTAAAAAAAAAAGAAAAAAAAGGGAAAACTCATATTATAGATATCTCTTTTAAAGAAAAAAATAATTATTATTTTTCCTTTCTCTTTTGATAACTTTCTTTGTCCCTCCCGTTGAATAGAATAGAATAGAATAGTTTCCTCCGGTAAACATTAAAAAAAACACAGATTCTTCTGTTGGTCTGCGATTTCTTCGATGTTCTTCGGTTTTGATCTTCAGATTTGTTTCGCTCGTTCTCTGCGATGACTCAATTTCTTTTTAAGATAGAGGACAATCTATAAGAAGATACTCGGGGATCTTTTCTCGGCAATGCGACGCTGGTTCGCCGCGACATCCCTCTCCCGAGAGGAATCCTCGTTTTCGCTGTCCTCTTCTTCTTCGGCGTCGCGTTTCCTCAAGTCTCTTCTTCTTCTTCTTCTTCTTCCTCTGCGTTCAGATCCAAGAGATGTCCGCTAATTCTCATCCTCCTAATTCAAAAAACGTCCTCTGTAACGCAGCCGCCGGTGCCGCCGCAGGCAAATGCTCTGATCTGCTTCTTTCGTCAGACTTTTCTTCATTCTCTTTTCTATTTAAAGATTGAAACTTTTCTGATTTTTTTTAGGGGTTTTTGCGGCTACGTTTGTTTGCCCTCTTGATGTTATAAAAACGAGGTTTCAGGTTCATGGGCTGCCCAAGCTCGGTGATGCAAACATCAAAGGTTTCTCCTTTTCTTTTAATTGTTTTTTTTTAAAACAATGAAATTGGCTAAAGAAAAACTCGGAAATCGGATTACATTGCTGATATCTCCTTCTTCATCAGGTAGTCTAATTGTTGGCAGTCTTGAGCAGATCTTTAAGAAAGAAGGCATGCGTGGCTTGTACCGAGGACTTTCCCCTACTGTGATGGCTCTTCTCTCCAATTGGGCGGTGTGTTTTAACTTCTTCTTCCACCTATCTTTGTTCCTCTTTCCACTTACTTTTCTTCTTATTGGAGCTGTAAGTTTTTTTTTGCAGATTTATTTCACAATGTATGACCAGCTCAAGAGCTTTCTTTGTTCAAATGGTTAGCGCTTTTGAACTCAAACACCTTCTTATATACCTTAAGCGGCTGTTTCTGTGTCCCTTTAATCATTCTTCTTCTCTATTTGTTATTAGATGAGCATCACAGACTCAGCGTTGGTGCTAACGTATTGGCTGCTTCTGGTGCTGGAGCTGCTACCACAATTGCCACAAATCCTCTTTGGGTTGTCAAGACTAGACTTCAGGTCCGTGTTTTTTTCTTTGCTTAGATGTATGCAATCATAGATATCAAGGGGAATGTTTATTATTATACGAAAGTTGTGCCATTTAGTCCTGAAAAACCTCATCTATGAAGCATAAGGGAATGTTAGTTAGTATACACACCTGCCTTACCTAGCTATTTGGTATTACAAATATTGTGCCATTTAGTTCAGAAGACCCTCAACTAGATGTTAATTTGTGTTGCGATAAGAATCTATTTCCAAACACCTTCTTGGTTCTTCTTCAGACACAAGGAATGAGAGTGGGTGTAGTGCCATACAAAAGTACACTGTCTGCTTTAAGGAGGATAGGTTACGAAGAGGGAATTCGAGGATTGTACAGGTTTTTCCATCTTGCCAACACTTTTTTTCTGTTAGCATATCAAAGGTCTTTCTCAAATAGATGCCTTACTTTCTCTTGCTCTTTACGCTACCAAACAGTGGTCTTGTGCCTGCACTAGCTGGTATTAGTCATGTTGCCATTCAGTTTCCTACATATGAGATGATCAAAGTCTACTTGGCCAAGAAAGGTATAAATTGATCCATAAATCTTGTCAGTTGGATGAAGTACAAAAAAAAGGAGGGTAAAATCTTTGTGGAGATAACACAAACTAAAAAGAAGTTTGTGAACACAACAGGTGATAAATCAGTGGATAATCTCAATGCTCGTGATGTAGCAGTTGCCTCTTCGATTGCAAAGATATTTGCTTCCACATTAACTTACCCGCACGAGGTAGAGTCCTCTACTACACTACCATCGTTCTCAGTTTGGTTTTGGGCTTTATATGACCTGTTGATCTCTCTCTGTGGCGTGCAGGTTGTACGAGCTAGGCTGCAAGAGCAAGGGCACCACAGTGAGAAACGCTACTCAGGCGTGAGAGACTGTATCAAGAAAGTGTTTGAAAAAGATGGGTTGCCCGGTTTTTACAGAGGCTGTGCCACTAACCTCCTAAGAACAACTCCCGCAGCAGTAATCACTTTCACTAGCTTCGAAATGGTGCATCGTTTCCTTGTCACCCATATACCTTCTGAGCAAAGCTCTATACTTTAAAATCTATTTGGTTTCTGATGATGACGACCAAAGGTTAATTTACACAATTAAAAAGGTTTACCCACTTTTGGGAGATAAATCAAAATAGGAGTTCGTTAATGTCTTTTGATGGAGAAAACAGAATCTTGTAAGAATGGATTGAAGTGCTAGAAACTTGAGAGACCCACAAAGAATATTATAGTGTTACTTAAAATTCTTTTATTTCTCAATTTTTGGTACTCTTTTTATTTCTTTATTACTACTATCTTGCAGCAATGATCGTCGACCAGATCGGCTTCATGTCACCAAAGGAAACATACTGTATACTGTACCTCAAATTTGATTTTGTTTATTCTATGTTTTGGGCCTGTTAAGATATATTTGGGCCTTATGGTTATGGATTTGACTCTCTCTCTTTTTTTTTTCTTTTTTTTTGGTTATAGCATTATAGGTTCGATTAGCTGCGGAATAAAAGGAATGATCAGCTTAGGATCCATGATACATTATATTATATACAGCTAGAATTAAATGAAATGAAAAGAAAAGGAAAAAAGGCAATGAAATGGAATAATAATGGAATTGATGGGTTGTTGTTGTTGCACTTTTTTCTTTTTCAGTATCTATCTATCTATCAAAAACATGGGATACTTGTTTTTATTATCTTAATTCGTTAATTGTTATAATGTGATACAAAAATGAATCTCTTACTTAAGGTTTCATCCATTATAAAGGCCAAAAAAAAATTGTATGTGTGTGTTTGTTCTTGCAATCAGGTTGTTTGGTAAAATGTATTTTGGCGTTGATATTAAGCAAATTGGTATGACTAACCGCACAACTACTTTACTCTATGTATATATGAAGGTTAGTTGCAGTGCACAACTTTTGTGTATGCTAAAATGGTATATACAATTTTTTTTACTGATTTACATGTACTTACACGTGTTTATTAAAATAAAAATCGATTTGTAAAGAATTCCTAAACTGAGCTAAACAACAAAGAAAAAAGATCCATTCGGAAGGGAAAATAAATCTCTAACACTTATGACAACTAAGGTTTTATGGTTACTTATCATCATCATCATTATCATCACCAACATCGTTGTATTTGTATGAAAAGTGTAGTCAGAGGATTCTATTATAGTAGCATTTTGGATAAATATACATATACAGTACACACAACCAATATATATATATATATATGAATGTATTTTTCTTTATATATTTCGGTAATCCCTTAAAAAAGAAATGGAAGAAAAAGGTGGATTTATTTATTAGGGGGGAATTAAAGATGCTTTTAATTCAGGCAAATGTATTTAGAATTAACATCAAAATTAAAACTGTGTTAGGGAAGGGAACTATGATTGAATCCCACATGCTCTGTTTCTTCTTTATTCTTTCTCCTCAATTTTGATCCTAAAGGTTCTCTAAAGGTATATTATGAGAGTATGTTGTACATCTTAATGGTTCTACTGTTTCATCACCAAAAATTTTCAATATATATATCAGCCTGCTCCTGAATCTTGAATCATCCTGTTTGCATTTTGAATTTTCAAATTTTCAACTTGGAGACAAAAACAAAACAAAACATAAATTAATTAGTTTATAATGATGCATCATGTATGCCCCGCTTATTTTGTTTTGGTTAGGCGTGAGTGAAGGAAGAAGCTTGGGCACTAATAAACACGCGCCAAAGGAAAGCGAGTGGGTCAATTTTTACCTTAATACGGAGAAAAGAAACGAAACCAACGACGTGGCAGTTACTGGTTCGTTGGTGTTATTGACTTGGGTGACGGTCGGTCGTAGCAACAACCACATTCGACGTGGGGTCCGCAGTCTTCGTCAAAGACGCTCTACGTGGGGTTCCCGAACCTGCTAGGCTCGGTTTTTGGTTTCACCGAACCTGATTTGGGTTTTCTAGGTTCGCAGCTCCGAGGCGCTGATTTGAATTTTTTCGAACGTTGAAGACTCTTCTTCTCCCCATCTCTCTCTACTCTTTTCCCATTTCTTTTTTGTTTTTTTTTTAATACAATATATTATTAATGTAATATATATATATATATATATATATATATATATATATATATATATATATAAATCAGGGGGTGATGTCTTCTTAACTCAGAAAATATCGCCGTCAATGTTTGGTGGTGTGATCTCATTTTGGCACCGTAGCTAGTTTTGGGATGTTGACTCCTTGCCCATATACAATCTTTTACCATCTCGATCGACATATTTAGTGAATCACTATATTGTCACTATTAGTGAAAATAAACAACCGTGTTACTTGTTATCAAACATGTGTTACCTAAACAACAATATTATCTTACTTTCTCTAGTCTTTAAAAAATAAAAAAAATTCATGTAGTTGATTATGTTTTAACGATGATATACGTAATAAAAATCATAGTATACCGACTAGCGTTATATTACATATACTTTTCATAAGGGATAATGACATAATGGCTGGTTTATTAAGGAAAAAAAAAAAAAAAGAGAGAATAAAATAGTAGTAATAGGGGGTAATGGACCTAATTTTGCAGTAACTTTCAACTAACTCTATGTATTTTCTCTCAAGGTATACTTCAATATTTTGGAAAGGAATGTTTCGCCTAACATTCTCGCTTTTATAACAGCATTATAAATTAAAAACCATTCATTGTATATTTAATCGGTTGTCGTTTCTTCTCTTAATTAATTAGGCCACTCCAATACTATAGTATCACTTTTAAGATGTTATAATTTCTTTGCTTCTAAAGCATTGCAAAGACACATGGAATCAACTAATAATTTCACAGCTATATTGTTCTATCTACATCGATTTGTTGCCGGTTTTAACTATACACATCCATCTCATTTTCATTATTCATAAATTAAAAAAAAAAACTTACATCATATTTTCTCTTCCATCGACCACATTAGAAAAGAAAAAAAAAACGAACAAATGTTTATCTAAATTTGGAGATCCATCTCCCTCTGACCTCTACCAATAGCTAAGATTCACAATACCAAATAAACACATGCAAATGGAGAAGTAAAATAATATTATAGAAATACACTACTGTTGTGGGTAAAGCCATCAATAATAATAAAAATATATATATATTTTGTTTCAAACGGCAAAATGTGGTACCATCTTCAAATGGGTTTGGATTCAATAAATAAATAAATAAATAAAAGTTATACTAGTAAGAATACTAATAATAACTAAAAATTGTAAGCATAGTGTAAATAAGAAATATTATCATTGATGAGATCCAGTTTAAGCAACAATAAAATCGATATAAATAGTAAGGATTCATAATAATAATCAAAATCCAAACGGTAGAACAAGGCTAAACCGAGAGAGAGATTCTATCGCGTCATCGTCACGCGCGGTAACGTTTTGTTTTGACGGGTTGGGTAGGGAGAGACTTATTAGAGGAGGAGGGACGGAAATAAAAAAACGAAGCTACAGGTTCGGGGAGTGGAGGAGAATACAGAGAGAAAAGGAAGAGTGAAGAGGACAGAGTATAAAGCAGTTATAGCTTTACAACCTTTGTTGCTTGTTGTATCTATTTTGTGTGTGAGAGAGAGAGAAAGAGAGAGAGCACATTCATGGAGGTTATGAGTATTCTTCCCAAGTTACCTTTTTAAAGCTCACCCCCCTTATTTCTCTCTCTCTTTCTAATAATCTCTCTGATCTTTATTTGGATCCGACCTTGAGCGATTGCTGCAGTCAAGCTTCCTACTTCTGGGTTTACGTTTTTGATTCTGGTTCCGGTGCTGTGAGAGATTATTATTATTATTATTATTATTGCTATAAAGATAGATTATAGGAGTCGATGGCGACGGAGGATGGAGGCTTGAGCTTCTCGGTGGCTTCAGTAATGCAGGATGTGTTGCAGCAACACGGAAATGGCCTTAGAGATCATGATTTAGAGTCTCGTCGAGCTGAAGAAGCTGGTACTTTTCCTACTTCTTTCTTCTATTTTTTTTGCCATCTCAACCTGATTTACTTTATATAATGCTTGATCTCACTATAATTGTCTGATTTTTTTTTTTTTTAAATAATGGTAAATCCGAATAGCTTTCTTCTTTCTCATTAGTGTGTGTGTGTGTGTTTTCGACTACTAGCTTTAGCTTTGATTTAGTTTTGTTATATTGTAGAGAATGTGGTTTAGATTGATCTTCTGCGTTTGTTTGCGTAGCATCGAGGAGATATGAGGCAGCTAGTTGGCTGAGAAAGATGGTTGGCGTTGTGGGAGCTAAAGATTTGCCTGCAGAGCCAACTGAACAAGGGCTTAGGCTTGGCTTAAGAAGTGGTATTATCCTTTGCAAAGTCCTCAATAAGGTTCAACCTGGAGCTGTTTCTAAGGTAATTTAACAAACTTCATTTTCTTTTCCCCCTTTAATATACATGTCTCTTGAGAGTTTTGATCTCTCTTCAGGTTGTGGAAAGTCCTTGTGATGCCATTCTTGTTGCTGATGGAGCGCCCTTATCCGCATTTCAGTATTTTGAGAATGTTAGGAACTTCCTTGTTGCTATCCAGGAAATGGGGTTTCCAACATTTGAAGCATCTGATCTTGAGCAAGTATGATGTTGCAGGACTTAGACCCATTTTTGAGATTTCTCATACACTTCAACAACTGCTCATGAATACGCATTCTCTCTCTCTCTCTCTCTTTTCTTTTTCTTTATAGGGAGGAAATGCTTCTCGAGTTGTGAATTGTGTTTTGGCTATCAAATCCTATGATGAATGGAAACAAAGTGGTGGAATTGGAGTTTGGAAATTTGGCGGCAACATAAAGCCTCCTGCACTTGGGAAATCATCATTTGTGAGAAAAAATTCGGAGCCGTTCATGAACTCTTTATCTAGAACCTCATCGATCAACAATGAGAAATGTCCCTCTGAGACTGATTCTAACAAGCTGGTTGGCCTCTTCAACTTTCTCTGCTTGGTTTTGTTTTCTGAAGTCGAATCTTTGACCTTTATGTGTCTTTGTGCCTATGATTTCAGTCCAGTTCAGGTTCCTTGAGCACACTTGTTCGTGCTGTTCTATCAGATAAAAAGCCCGAGGATGTGCCCAAAGTGAGTTTCAGACTAGTCCGCTTAGCTGCTCTTTTGTATCTATATATATCTTTCTCATTGCTTTTTTTTACTTTAAATCGTGTTATTTTCTGATGTAAGTGCCTAACGCTATGGTAACAGCTGATTGAATCTCTTCTGAGCAAAGTAGTAGAAGCGTTTGAAAGTCGAGTGACAAATCAGTATGAGTTGGTATGTTTCAGTTTCTTTTAGCTCTTGCTTCATTGGTGAGTTCACAGAACATGATATTCGTCGGTTGTGTCAAGATAATTCTAATCTATCAAAAACTTCCTGTCATGTGAAGGTTAGAGCACCTCCAAGAGAATCAACTTCTTCACAGAACAACAAATCATTTCTTAAACCTCATGTTGAAAGAGAGGTAGAGTCTTCAATCTTTTTCTGTAAAAGATATAGGTTAGAAGATTTTGCTGATTACTGAAGCGCCTTATTTTAGAGGGAAGAGAAGAGTTTCAAAGCAATAAAGAAAGACGAAACCAATCAGAAAATCCAGATTGTTGACGAAGAGATGAAAAATCGACAATTTAAACAAGTGACAATCTTCAATCAACAACAAGAAGATATAGAAGTAGGCATTACACAACTCCATCTAAACTTCTCATAGTTTCTTCTGAGTTTGGGATAGCACTGATTCTGAGTGTATCTTCTGTTATAGGGACTAAAGCAGACACTCTACACTACAAGGGCTGGTATGCAATTTATGCAGAAGCAATTTCAAGAAGAGTTCTCTTCTCTTGGTATTCAGATCTTTCTCCTCTTACTTTCTAAGATAGTTTTGATTATCCAAGAATTTGAAACTAGCGGATCGATATCTGTCCACAGGTATGCACATTCATGGCCTTGCTCATGCTGCTTCTGGCTATCACCGCGTTCTTGAAGAAAACAGAAAACTTTATAATCAAGTGCAGGACCTCAAGGGTAGCATCCGAGTTTACTGTCGGGTACGACCATTTTTGCCTGGACAATCCAGCTTTGCTAGTACAATTGGGAACATGGAGGATGATACCATAGCTATTAATACTGCATCTAGACATGGAAAATCACTCAAATCCTTCACTTTCAACAAAGTATTTGGTCCATCTGCGACTCAAGGTAATGAAATTGAAATGCCTCACTCTTATTCTCCAGTGCTTCAAAACTGAACCTGAACGGATCTATCTTGCTCTTTGTAGAAGAGGTATTCTCTGATATGCAACCATTGGTCCGTTCTGTTCTTGATGGATACAATGTCTGCATATTTGCATATGGTCAAACTGGATCAGGAAAAACATTCACAATGGTAAGATTAGAGTTGAAACTAAAAAAATTGAGGATTGTAACACTTTGAAGCTAGAGAAATTTATTGTTTCCAAATTTTCTAGAGCGGGCCAAGAGATCTAACAGAGAAGAGTCAGGGAGTTAATTACAGAGCACTTGGTGATCTGTTTCTACTTGCTGAACAAAGAAAAGACACATTCCGCTACGATATTGCTGTTCAGATGATTGAGATTTACAATGAGCAAGTCAGAGACCTTTTGGTTATTGATGGAAGCAACAAAAGATATCCTTTTCCATGAATGGTTTTACTTCTTAATGTTCTGATTAACGAGAGAGAATATTTTCATGTTTTATTTTCATATTCCTTAACATTTTTTTGATACGTTAGAGATCAGGAATAGCTCTCAAAAGGGTCTAAGTGTACCGGATGCAAGTCTTGTTCCTGTTTCTTCAACATTTGATGTTATTGATCTAATGAAAACTGGGCATAAGAATCGAGCCGTTGGGTCAACAGCCTTGAATGATCGAAGCAGTCGTTCTCATAGGTAAAAGGGAAAATCTTTTCAGGAGCAGAGAGAACTCAATAATCTTTAAATGTCTTATGCAAACTCATAATAACATTTTCTTAAATCTATTTTTTTTTTGAAGCTGCTTGACTGTTCACGTTCAAGGAAGAGACTTGACTTCAGGAGCCATCCTTCGTGGATGTATGCATCTTGTTGATCTAGCAGGCAGTGAAAGGGTAGATAAATCCGAGGTTACTGGAGACAGACTAAAAGAAGCACAACACATTAATAGATCTCTCTCTGCTTTAGGAGATGTGATTGCTTCGCTAGCTCACAAAAACCCACATGTTCCTTACAGAAACAGCAAACTCACGCAACTACTTCAAGACTCTCTTGGTATAAGGAAACAAGCAGTTTATTCCTGAATACTTGCAGCTAAAAACTCGCTTTTTCTTAACTTGGGATTTCAAATATGTTACATCAGGAGGACAAGCAAAGACATTGATGTTTGTCCACATAAGTCCTGAGGCAGATGCAGTTGGGGAAACAATAAGCACTTTGAAGTTTGCAGAGAGAGTAGCTACGGTTGAGCTCGGTGCTGCACGAGTGAACAATGATACTTCAGATGTTAAAGAACTCAAAGAGCAGGTTTTTCTTTTTTACTTAAACTGAATCTGTTAGTTCTACTTTCTTGGTTGATGGTATTTGATTTGCTTTACTTTGTTTGTAGGTTGCTACTCTTAAAGCAGCTCTCGCGAGAAAAGAAGCAGAGTCACAGCAGAACAAGATCTTGACAACACCTAGTGGCTCTGAGAAACACAAAGCCAAAACTGGTGAAGTAGAGGTGAGTGACTATTCTTGTCAAACTCCATCTTCTATGATTTAAACTCATGTTTCAAACTGGAAACTGATTTCTGAGTGATTGCAGATTCATAACAATAATACCATGCCAAAGAAATCTGAGAGCTGTGAAGTGGAGGAGATTACAGTGAACTCACCACCTTGGCCACCAGTAGCAAGTCCAGGGCAAGCCTACAGAGAGGATGAACGAAGTTTCGGTTCCAACGAGTGGGTTGATAAGGTGATGGTGAACAACAGGCAAGACGAGATGAGAAGAGTGGAGAGCCTTTGGGGAGGAGGCACAACAGATAGTGGGATTGGTATTTTGCCTGAAGATTTTTACAAAAGAGATTTGTCTTCAGACACTTCAAGAATATTCTCTGAACATTCTTACAACATCTTCATGGGAAACAACAACAGCACAGACGATCTAGATGCAGCCACAAGTGACTCATCTGAGCCAGATTTGCTCTGGCAATTTAACCAATCCAACAAGATACCAACAAGAAGCAATACTGAGTCAAAAACCAAGAAACCTGTCTCAAAACCGATAAGAAGTCCTCAATCTAGGTAATTGTCCTTCACTAAGTCAAAGAAAAACAAAAAGAAAAAAAAAAACATATGAAACAACAGTTAATTTTTTTGTATGTTTCCAAAAAATGCAGGAACAACTCAAACACGGTTTCAAGGCCTCTAGCTTCACAGAAGCAAACAAATGGTCCTCGTGGCACGAAACAGTTTGGTCCTGCTGATATGAAGCGGAAAGCTACAAACGCCAGACATTGAAGGCTATTACTCACTGACACGGATACATACATACACACTCACAAGTCTATTTTATTCTTTTCTTGATTTGATTATTTTTCTTCCACTGGTTGTTTCTTGTTTCTTCCTCTCTCGTGTGGTTGTGCACAGACAATAGGTGGTACTGCACAATGCAGCAACAATTTCTACTTGTTGCTCTCTTTCTTGGGTTTTGTTTATCATTTTTTTCTGTTCTATTGTGTATTTGTGTATATTCTTCCACTAGCTTGAACATAAAAATATGTAAGACTTGTATGTAAACTGTATTTGCTTTGAGAGTTTTTATAGTATTTCTTTTAGTGGCTAATTTTCTCAAATAAGAGATTAGATGCATTTCTAATTTTTTTTCTTTCTTTAGGGTAACTGATTATCTTCCATAATTAAAAAAAAAATGAATACAAAACTATTTTGTTGGAAATTATAGAAATTGGAAAAAGTATTTATTGCCCCCATACTTTTCAAATATCGACCAACCTTGTTGATTCGTTGAATCGTTTCTCTAATATTTTTTTTTTAATTTGTTTTCCTTTTATTTGCTTGCCCTATCTCTCTCCTCTCTCTATCTCTCAGCTCTTCTGCAACTTGATCGGTCGTTATCTCTCAAGGTTCGTCTTCCAAGGTTTTTGTTTTTGCTATTTACAGATTTGTAGAGTTTCTTTGGTTAGAGAAATGCGTAATTTGATGATTCTTTGCTCGTCTCTTTGTTGACTGGCAGTATTGATTGCTATTAGGTAGAAGAATCCATGGCGATTTTTTACGTCGCCTCGCGGCGGCTCCCCGGCGGTACAACTGCGACGGCGCTGCGTTATGCCACCGCGCTGAGATCTTATTCGACCTCGTTTAGGGAGGAGAGGGATACCTTCGGGCCGATCCAAGTTCCTTCCGATAAGTTCGGGATCTGATCTTTACCAGAAACATTGCATATTCTCTTTTCCCCTATGCAAACGGTTCATAGTGTTATTTGTTATGTGTCACAGATTGTGGGGAGCTCAGACGCAGAGATCGCTGCAAAACTTCGAAATCGGTGGTGAGCGCGAGCGAATGCCTGAACCAATAGTCCGTGCTTTTGGCGTCTTGAAGAAATGCGCTGCCAAGGTAACACTTCAGCTCTAGGTTTTGGGATTGTGGATTCATCTTGCATTTCAATTTTCCAATTGCTTTCTTCCTTTTGGTTCGTGATGAATTGAGTGACTATAATTATAGGTTAACATGGAATATGGTCTTGATCCAACCATTGGGAAAGCTATTATGCAAGCTGCTCAGGAAGTAGCTGAGGGAAAGCTCAATGATCATTTCCCCCTTGTTGTATGGCAAACTGGTAGTGGGACTCAGAGTAATATGAATGCTAATGAGGTAATTTATGTGCCTTCTTGGAGATTATGTTTTGAGGATCTTGTTTTATATTTCTACAAGAGAAGGCTTTGTGTTTATGTTTCTTTCTTTTTTCGCTTGATCCTCTTCACAGGTCATTGCTAATAGAGCAGCTGAGATTCTTGGTCGCAAACGTGGTGAAAAATGTGTGCACCCAAATGACCATGTGAATCGATCACAGTCTTCTAATGACACGTTTCCGACTGTAAGCTTTGATTTTACATGCTGAAAGTTTATGAGACATGTTTTTTTTTCCTTTTCATATATGTTGGCTCACTTCCCTATCAATTAGTAATTGACGGTCATATTGTTTTGGTTTTGGTTTTGTCTAGGTCATGCACATTGCAGCTGCAACCGAGATTAATTCGAGGCTGATCCCTAGTTTAAAAACTTTGCATAGCTCTTTGGAATCTAAGGTCTGACTATTGCAACACAGCACTCCTTAAATATGAAACTTGCTCTGACCTCAATAGTATCATGAAAATCACTTCTGGTACTATTTATATCTGAGAGTCGCTTTGTAGATGTTGCATTGTTCAGTCTATGGAACATCTTCTGACCTTGACACGTTTTTATTTAATCCTGTTATTCTAGACCTTTTATGGTCTATCTGCTCTGCATTCTTATTTATTGTCAAACTTACCTTGTTTCTGGCAGTCCTTTGAATTCAAAGATATTGTGAAAATTGGAAGAACTCACACTCAAGATGCTACACCTTTGACATTAGGACAAGAATTTGGTGGCTATGCTACTCAAGTAAGTGGCTTGTTCAGAAACCTGTGTTTTTTCTAACAAAAGTGAAAATCACAAATCTGGAATTCATGTGCAGGTTAAGTATGGACTTAACAGAGTCACCTGTACTCTACCCCGCCTCTATCAGGTTTGAGAAATGATATCTTTGGGGGATCTGCTTTCTTGAACTTCTCCAGTTTTTGCTGAGTTCTAACTTGCTAGAATTGTTTGGCCAGCTTGCACAAGGTGGAACTGCGGTTGGGACAGGATTAAACACGAAGAAAGGGTATATCTCATTTCTAATTTGATTTCCATAATTCCATTCCAAGCTCACCTCTCCTTGATTTGATGGTTTACCAGTCCACTATTAGTAACACTAGTAATATCTGTACAGGTTTGATGTAAAGATAGCTGCTGCAGTAGCTGAAGAAACAAACTTGCCATTTGTCACTGCCGAAAACAAGTTTGAAGCTCTGGTTAGCCTAAACTACCTCTATCATTTACAGAAATTGAACACCTTCCCAGCCTCTGATGCCAACCTGAGAAGATGTTTCTGAACGGTGAAATCAGTTGCTCAATTTTTCTGCTTTTTGGCAGGCTGCACACGATGCTTGTGTTGAAACCAGTGGGTCACTTAACACAATCGCCACATCGCTGATGAAGATAGCCAATGATATACGTTTTCTTGGAAGGCATGTTATCTAATCTTTAGGGATTCTTTTTTTTTTTTCTTCAAATGCACTATGTTCTTATGGTTTAACATGTCTTTATATAGTGGCCCAAGATGTGGTCTTGGTGAACTTGTTTTACCTGAAAATGAGCCAGGAAGCAGTATCATGCCTGTATGAATACAATCTTCCTTTGCTCTTCAGTCTTTTTTTCTTTTCTCATACTTTCGCCTTTTCGTTAGTTTTGATTCAACTGAATTTTTATCTATTTCTCAGGGGAAGGTAAATCCTACACAGTGTGAGGCCTTGACTATGGTTTGTGCTCAGGTAAGTTCCATTAATATTGTTAAGCTATAAATCCAAATGCTAAGGTTGTATTGTTTTTAACTCTTTGTCCCTCTTTGGGTTACATCCAACAAAATTACAGGTTATGGGAAACCATGTAGCTGTGACAGTTGGTGGGTCAAATGGTCATTTCGAATTGAATGTATTCAAGCCAGTGATCGCAAGCGCGCTTTTGCATGTACATTTATCTTTTTCATTATACTTCTGTTTCTTTAATTGTTTATAAAATATAGCAATCTTAAGCATTTGATCCCGCCTCTTTGACAGTCTGTCAGATTAATAGCTGATGCTTCAGCTTCGTTTGAGAAAAACTGTGTGAGAGGCATTGAGGCCAACAGAGAAAGGATCTCAAAGCTATTGCACGAGGTAGGCTTATTCTCGTTTGTTAGTCTGAAATTTTTCCATGGTGTGAAAATGTTCTCTGGGAATTGATTCTTTGTTTTTTATGCATTTCTCTGTAGTCTCTTATGCTTGTGACATCACTGAATCCGGTAAGTCTCCAAATATTGAACTCCGTCTCTACGTCATCTATTTACCCATTAAGGGATGATAAATAAATTGACCTCTGATACTAAGTTTTTGAATCCTTATCTCTTTTACCAGAAAATTGGCTACGACAATGCTGCAGCAGTTGCCAAGAAAGCTCACAAAGAAGGAAGTACATTGAAGGTAAAAAAAAAAAAAAAAACCCTTTACTATATGATGTGTCTCGAACAAGTGAAATTGATTTGCAACAAGAGAAACAAGTAGTTTGATAGCAAAACATCTGATGTGCTCTCTATATAGGATTTTGAACCTTCTTCAAGTTGAGATGAGAAATTATACCAAACAGGTTCTTGTCTGATACAGTTTGTTAAATCTTGAGTTTTTAATATATCCTGCAGGACGCGGCTCTGAAGTTAGGCGTTCTTACTTCAGAAGAGTTTGACACTCTTGTTGTTCCGGAGAAGATGATCGGTCCCTCAGATTGATGTTGTTTTTGGAGCCAAAGCTTCAATTACCATTATTCTTCTGATGCTTCTTGATTTAGGTTATAATAAAAATGAGCATATCCTGAAATAATTCAAATTTGATTGGGAGGGCCGGAGGGGGGAACATTGTTCTTCAGTGGTTTTTTTTTGTTGAATAAAGAGAAGAGAAAACTCAGCGAGAAAGAAAATTGTATTTCTGAGCTTTTGTTTGCCTTGCCAGCCCCTCATTCTCCTTGCGATCACACTCTTTGGGCCGATTAAAACAATTGGCTTTACTGGGCCCTTTGTTGGGCCCCAAACGGAACGAGGCTGATGACGTGGCGTAAAAAGGTGTAAGAAAACAGACACCCCATTGACGATGGAAACCATGGGCGAAGTGAAGCCAACAGATTCTGCTCTAACGCCGCCACCACAACCTCACGGTTTCTCCGAGTCTGTGTCCCATAATTAATTACTTATTTACATACCCAAAACTTGTCATTAAGGTTTTAGTGAACCACTTTTGGTGTTGAAGACAGCCAAAGATAGAATCTAAAATACGTCTTATGTAAAAATAGAAACTATTGTACAGTAGTTGTAACTTAAAACAACGGTGAACACAAATAAACGACGGTGTATAATTTTTTAAAGGACAATTTATCTGAGAAATTAAACGGTAGATGGAAACAAATTAGACTTGATGATTGTGAAATCAAAAACAAGACAAGGTTAAGTGAGCAAAAGGGCCAGGGAATGAAAAATTTTAAGATTTGGTGAGAGTGTCTCCTTGGAAGCTCCATAGGTTACCAAGGTCCGTCGCCGATTGGTCGTCGTCGAGAAACGGAATCTGATAAAGTCTCATGTAATCCTCAAACGCCATCAGCTCCTCCGACAAGCTCTCTACGACTACTTGGTGGTTTTCCGGAATCGTCTCGTTTTGATTTGTTTCACTAGTAGTGTTGGGGAAATTCAGTTTCGCTTTCCGGCCACGGATTTTGATGGCAGCAACGTCGTAGGCTCGAGCAGCCTCCTCGGCGGTTTTGAATGTGCCAAGCCAGACACGTACACCTTTCCTCGGGTCACGAATCTCCGCTGCCCATTTGCCCCACGGCCTCTGCCTTATCCCTCTGTACAGATTCTTCCTCTCTCGCTTCCCATCTCTCTGCCCGCCACCTGTTCGACGATATTACCCAATCAAAATAAGACCAAAAAGAATCAAAGCAAAACCAAAGTGTACCTGTCACGGGTTTACGCTTCTTGTTGCTCACAGAACCGACTTCATTCGGTACTGACTCTGCAAACGACGATTTCGACCACATGAAATCTGATATCACAGCGCCGCCACACATTCTATGCTCTCAACTCCAAACTAGAAGAAGCTGTTTTTTTTTGGTTGTTGGTGTTTTTGTGTTTATTAGAATCGAGTCCTACATAGAAAGAGAATCATCATTCATCGGCTTGGGCTTTATACAAAGAGACAAGTCAAGAGTCGTTGAAGCAGTTTTTGCTTGACGACCAAGTTCTTCTAGAAACTCCTACGTTTTCTTAGATTCATATCACCTGATTTAATACTATCCTATAACGTATACATACATGCATGCATACCTCTTGCTGCAACTTACTAACCGCCTATTAACATTTATAAATGAAAAGTAAAGGTTAGTTGTTCTTTCAACTTTCACTTCATTATTAGCTGCCTGCCAATATTCATAGGATATATGTACACTCGTTCTACTTGTCATTACCAAATCTTAGGTAACATGAAAACTAGTATAGCTAGGCAACATACTCTAGATATTTCTACTCCTACTCTTACCCCAAAAATTTTATTATTACATGACCAAATAATTGATTAATTCTCGATGTTTGTTTGGGTTAATATATGTAGCCTATCACATTATCATTAATATATAATGTAACTCCTACGTTTGTAAATGTACTTTTTAGCAGTTTAAAACCCATAAAAATAATAATTTCGTCTCAATCATCGGTTTTGATTCGGATCCTTGGTGTCACTTGATGAATAATATTTTATCAAAACATATCCCAATCAAATATTATATTTTGGTGGTGAAATACTTACTACGATGACACAAATTTAAACGTGCATCCAATTAGTGCAACATATAGATATATATATCATATTGTGTTCTATATATGTAATTAAGGCCATGTCTTGTGATCAAGCGTCAGCCAACCAAAACAACACCACGAACAAGAGCTATTAACAATGGTATTTACAGGGGCCGCCGCTTCCATCCTCCTCGTCGCGCTAGTGTTTGTTGTAGCCACCGCCGATTACTACGTGCCACCACCAACTACGTACACTCCATCACAACCTTACGTTCCCAAACCAACCACCACCTACACATCACTGGTTGAGACTCCACAGTACTTGCCAAAACCAAACCCCGATATGGCCATCGAAGGTCTCATCTTGTGCAAATCTGGCTACAAAACCTACCCTATCCAAGGTGCAATTGCAAATTTTATTTCATAGTTAATACTTTGCCATACATTTTATGACAACTTACAAAAAAGAATAAAAATGTAAAGTGCATATATAATTCACTAAAGATAATATGTGGAGCAAAACGTAACTCATAAAAGCCGCTAAAAACAACTACAAATCGTTTCTTCTTGTTTTTATGCAAGTATATACATATATATATATATATATATCGTAATTCGTAAACATCTGACTTTTAATTCTGAAAAAAAATGGAAAACGGGTGCTGCACTTGACAGGGGCCAAGGTTAAGGTTGTGTGTCCCATCGTCGACTCATATGGAAAGCTAGTGGCTAAGGTTACAATCTCGAGCTACCCAACGGACTTGAAGGGATATTTCTACTTCATCGCGTACGGACTCTCCCTCAAGGTGAAGAACATCAATAGCTGCAAAGTTAAGCTTGAGAGTTCTCCGCTCTCCACGTGTAAGACTCCGACCAATGTCAACAAAGGTGTCACCGGAGCTCCTCTCTCTTTCGACAACTCCAACTTTCTTAGCCACGACAATTTGATCCTCTACACCCTTGAACCTTTATATTTCTCTAGCCCCGTGGCTCCCAAACCGGTTTACTAGGGATCGCGCGCGGTTTATGATTATTACAGACTTTTATAACAATAGGGAAACTAATTATATTCATCGTTATATTTTTCGGTTCTTTCAACAAAAATGTGTCTGACTGAAAAAGACTGATATTTAAAGCGTTGGTATAACTACGAGGTTTGTATATAGTAGTCATCATTCATTATGATCTCCTCAAAATTAAACCTCCTTAAATGTAATATATACTTGGTAAAGTATTTAAGATAATATTTTTCTCTGGTCACAATTAACTGGATCCGTTAACAAATTTTGCGTATATTAGAACAATACTAATGACGGCCATCATTGGTTTGGTACCATTAGAAACATTCTTAACATTTGGAAATTAATTTTAGTGGGAAAACGTATACATACATTATTCTCGCAAGGGACATTTCCTTCTTATCGTCGTCTATTGTAATTAGTAGACGACTAACCGTGTGATGCCGGTGATGGACCTGATGGTTATTTTTTTAAAAATGTAAGTACCGAGTACCGTAATAAACGAAATCATGCCTTTCACTAATTTTATTTAACGTCGAATCTCAAATACATAAATACCAATGTTACCATTAATCAGTAGATTAAGATAAATTAAAGAAGCAAGAAGGTCAATCGCTTTGTTGTTTGTGTTGTTGTCGGACAAAACTGAAACTAAAAATACGTATTCTCATACTATTATACGTACTCGTTAATATCAGTATTTTAAAATAAAATAAAATAAAAAGTGGCTGCACGTCTTCTATTTTATATGCATCAAATTAAAGGAAACACTATTGGATATTTGGATGCATAATAATGGAAGGATAAGGATCATGAGACAAAACGTGCGCTCAAGTCATATCCCTTATTCTCATATCATCATGAGATATAGTACTGTAATTTTAGTTTTTTTTATTTATTAACCTTATCGCTAAAACCCTATATAGCGTACGTAACTCTCACAGTATAGATTTCATTCATCAAGAAAACACGTTTATACACATATCTATTTACTTGTCTATAATACTGTGTATAGTACAAAATGGCACAAACTTTTTCGTTGGCCTTCGTAATTGCCTACATGCTGCTTCTCTCGTCTCTGTTCGCTGCCGGAGTAACCACAGTCACCGAGGATGGAGAACTGCTTTCCTCGATGATCGGAGTTCAAGGTCTCATCTACTGCAAACAAGGATCTAAGCTTACTCCTCTCCAAGGTAATAGTTACGGTGAATTAAGTATGCCTCTGATATATATTATATAATCATCAATAGGGATAAATATTGATTAAATGAAATAATGGGCGTATACAGGTGCAGTGGCGAGGGTGACATGTGAGAGAGCTGATGAATACGGTTACGAAGGAGAGGATGTGACGGTGCTTAGCCAAGCGACGGATGCCAAGGGTTATTTCCTGGCGACGCTTTCTTCGTCGGAAGTGAAGGATTATTTTAACTCTAAGAACAAGGTAATGAGGATCAAAGAGTGCAGGGCGTTTCTCGAGCTTTCTCCATCGGACACGTGTTCTTTTCCGACGGAGATCAACCGTGGAATCAGCGGAGCCATTCTCCAAAAGTATCGTCTCGTAGAAAACAAGCTTAAGATGAAGCTCTTCACCGTTGGCCCTTTCGTTTTCTCGCCCCAGGAGACTGATCAGGACAAGTCTATCCCCAACGGCTACTAAATTCAATTTTTGTTGTCTAAAATGCCCCATATGGGCCGTACGTAACGTAACGTAATAATAGGTGATGATGAGCCCGCGACTTATTATATAACATGCCTCGTCATGGTTTGGTTTCATCTGGGTGTTAAACGTATCTCTATATATACATGTTTTTTTTGTTGTTCCTCCTACGCTTCTTGATATACTTTTGGCGATTGCACAACTCATACATGCCAAGATTTACTGAAAACGTTTGTGCATGGAATACAATATATAAATTACTTGTAAATTTGGTGGGGAAAAAAAAAGGGAGAGGAAGACGAAACTGAAAGTCAAATAATTAATAAACAACACAAGTCGAGAACTTGCGTTAAACAGGCAATAACTAAATTACACGAAGAAGGCACATGCTTTATCCGCGTAATTGGAACAACTAGTGCTAGTGGCTTTAATTTGGATAAGCAAATAGTAGTATTAAATTACAATAAAAACGAAAACAAATTGTAAGATTAAAAAATATGTATGTATAATACAGTTAAAACAAATTAAATTCTCGTACGTAAACAAGCTTTGACTATACGAAAAGTGATGTGTGTGTAAATTTTGCAGGAGTTTTATTACGCAAACGGTCCAAAGTCCTTTGGCATTGCATGTAAATTATTTCTTCACGCGTTGTATTTCCATACATATCAAGTCAAACGTTGCCGTTTCCAGGACACTCTTTCTTTATCGCTTTAGCAGCACCGAACTTAAGAACTGAAACGGTATGTTTAATTAGAAATCAACGCACGACCTCACCTCATTATGGATAAAAGTGATCTTGAAATATCATTTCAGCATATGCTACTGCTACATTGATTATCATTCCGAGTTTCCGACTAGTATTTATGTTTATTAGGGTTATTCTTTCCGATATATAATCTCCCACGTACTCAATCAACCTTATATGATACATAACATTTATTTATTTATTTATATGTTTTTATTAATCAGTTGTAAATACAAACAAACCCTCGGTTACATGTGTTCGGTGAAGTTCAATATTTTTTTTTTTACTTTCTTTTGGGACATTAAAGTGGTGAACTTCAATTAAATAATTAATTACGAGTTATAGTCTGTCAATGGATTTTAAATTTATATTGTATAACGAATACATGTGTCTGTAGATAGTGAATTAAGTAAGATATTAGTATATATCTGTCGACAAAAAACAAACAAGATATATATAATCTATGAACATTCTATAGAAACTGATTCGATTTCAAGTGTCACTATGTATACAAAACATATCTAAAATACGTATCTCATGGCTGTCCTCTAACTTAAAAACAAAATTATCATACCCAGCCGATTCAATATGCAGCAAGATTAACATATATATTGATCAACAATAATTGGATACGTTACAACTTAATTTATAAAATAATACAATATACGTTTCTTTTTTTTTATTTTAACAAGAATATATGATAAGACCAGCGCAACTCTTCATTGTATATATATATGCATTTCGTTTGAACAATGGCAATCGAAGTAAAATCAAAACCTCAAAAAATTATAACATTTTTTCTTCCCAAGTATACAGATATTCTAAATGTATATATTATTCATCTTTCTCATGGAACCTTCCTTGTATACAGTTTTAAAACGAATTTTATTTGCAATGAGGTCCATAGTCAATCAAAGTTAATATTGTCAAGATCTTGACTTTTATTGATGTGCAATGTGCTGTTTTACCAACATGTTATATATATAATCGAAATTTTTCTTGTATTGCCTAACGTTAGTTGACTATTTTAATTTACGAAAACTTCGCTCTAATTATGCAAATCCAAATTGCGGTAACATAAGTTTGTCAAATTTGACTTTTCAGGTATAATTAAGGGGCATTCTCTAAAATACCATCATTAACCCAAAAAAAAAAAACAATTCAATTAACCTTCAACTTGAACACCCATTTATCATTCTTATGAATGGAGTTACTCCTTAATTAATTACGGTGATTATTTATCTAATATTTGTGTGAGAGACAGATCTGCAGTCTATATACGTGTGAATATCATAACATTATGGTATATATATATATATGTTGATATTTTTTACACCGCCACAATTATATATATATATATGTTAATATGTACACACACATTATTATTGACTTGAACTTGTATGTATTCAAATTCAACGTTTCTCAAAACCCCTATATATAATCCAGGGCCAACACAATCAACAAAAATATCCACAACCAAAACACGATTAAGCTCAACAAAGAAAGCAAAACCCAAAAGATGTCTCAAAAACTCATGTTCTTGTTTACCATTGCCTGCCTCTCCTTACTACCATCTCTTTTTCTCTCCGCCGAAATACCGGCCACCGGAAATGCCACTTCACCGTCAAATGTGTGTCGATTCGCGCCGGATCCATCATACTGTAGATCGGTTCTTCCAAACCAGCCCGGGGATATATACTCCTACGGCCGTTTCTCTCTTCGACGGTCCCTCTCACGGGCCCGTCGTTTCATTACGCTGATCGACAATCAACTAAGCCGGAAAGGCAAAGTGGCCGCTAAAGCCACCGTGGGGGCTCTCGAAGACTGCAAGTTCCTAGCCAGCCTGACTATGGACTTCCTCCTTAGTAGCTCACAGACCGCCGATTCCGCCAAAACGCTGTCGCTGTCTAGGGCCGAGGATGTTCATACACTTCTGAGTGCCGCCATCACCAACGAACAGACTTGTCTTGAAGGACTTAAATCAACGGCATCGGATAATGGTCTCTCTGGTGATCTTTTCAACGATACAAAACTCTATGGGGTGTCTCTTGCCCTTTTCTCCAAAGGTATTAACATAATATTATTAAACATATATATATGCACGTAATCTCCATCTATTATCATTTAAATATACACGTAATCGTCTATATGCATGTGGCACGAAATCTTCATTTAATTCGCTATTCATTTTCTACAATTCTTGCTTTCATCATGAAGAATGTTTTGTTAAAGACAAATTCTTTGACTATATATATATATATATAACGTAATGGTTTGTTTGTGCTAGAGTGTCCATGTGTTATAACTCGGTTCAAACATGCGTATTACATGTTATTAATCAAAATATCGTTTGAATTCATATATATTTCTGTGTGTGTTAAACTAAAATATGAAATCACAGAATCGTAAATGACTCTGTAGGTTGGGTGCCAAGAAGGCAAAGATCGAGACCCAAGTGGCAACCACAAGCCAGCTTCAAAAAGTTTTTTGGTTTCCGTAACGGTAGACTACCGTTAAAGATGACGGAAAGGGCACGTGCCGTTTACAACACCGTGACTAGGAGAAAGCTTCTCCAAGCTGAGGCAGACTCCGTTCAGGTGAGCGACATTGTGACGGTGATCCAGAACGGGACGGGAAACTTCACGACCATAAACGAGGCAATCGCAGCCGCGCCAAACAAAACCGACGGTAGTAACGGTTACTTCTTGATCTACGTAACGGCGGGATTGTACGAGGAATACGTGGACGTTCCCAAGAACAAGAGGTATGTGATGATGATCGGTGACGGCATTAACCAAACGGTTATCACCGGTAACCGTAGCGTCGTTGATGGATGGACCACTTTCAATTCCGCCACATTTAGTAAGTTTTCTTTTACTGAATCCCACAAATCTAATTTAATAATATTTGAATATATACATTTTAAATATATATAAATATATATAAAAAAGATGTTTTATGTGCACAAAGTAGAAAAATAAAAATGCGGTTTAAATTGGATGAATATATAAATTAGCATTCGAGTTTCGTCCACACGATTAAAAAAATTATTAGAAAAATATGAAGACTTGTGCACAAATGACAAAACATGGCTTCTTCGTGCAAGTGCGATGTAACTATTGTTCAAGGATAATTAAACATATCTTTGTTCAAGGAACACTAATTGTTACTAGCAAAATATTACATTTTAAAAAAAATTGTAAGTCCAATAATTGTTAGTTTTTAGTATATAGACTTTCGTCACTTTCCCATGCAATGGATGGCGACTTGGTCGGATGGTCCACCGAAAGTCTTGACTCCACGTCAATTCGTCGTGTCCTCAACCAACCTGATTAACCATAGTCCAATAAACTATAATTAATACTTCTCCCTATCAAGTTTATATACATAGAATTTCCAAATTTTATAATTTTCTTTATCATAACCACCTCAAACGAATTTATTTGTATATGTTATTGAATTGTAATTAACTAACTCAACATAATCTGTTCACGAATGGCAGTTCTATCAGGTCCCAATTTTATTGGCGTGAACATGACAATACGCAATACGGCAGGACCGACCAAGGGCCAAGCCGTCGCATTGAGGAGTGGTGGAGACTTGTCAGTTTTCTATAGTTGTAGTTTTGAAGCCTATCAAGACACCTTATACACACATTCTCTGAGACAGTTTTATCGTGAATGTGATGTATACGGTACGGTGGATTTCATATTCGGTAATGCTGCAGTGGTATTACAGAACTGTAATTTGTATCCACGTCAACCTCGCAAAGGGCAATCAAACGAAGTCACGGCTCAAGGCCGTACCGATCCGAACCAAAACACTGGAACGGCAATCCATGGCTGTACCATAAGACCAGCGGATGATTTGGCAACGAGCAACTACACAGTGAAGACTTATCTTGGTCGGCCGTGGAAGGAATATTCGAGAACTGTGGTAATGCAAACTTACATAGACGGTTTTCTTGAGCCGAGTGGTTGGAATGCATGGACCGGCGATTTCGCATTGAGCACACTTTACTATGCGGAATACAATAATAGCGGACCCGGTTCTAACACCACAAACCGAGTCACTTGGCCAGGTTATCACGTCATCAACGCTACTGATGCTTCCAACTTCACGGTCACAAATTTCCTTGTTGGTGAGGGCTGGATCGGCCAAACCGGAGTGCCTTTCGTGGGTGGACTGATCGCGTAAACTAACCTTACACGTAACTATATATATATTTATCATGTGACAATATATGGATCTATGTTAATTAGTTATATCTAGTATCATTATTTAATCATTCATGTGTTGTTTTTTTTTATTATTATTTAAAAACATCAAAATGTTTTATTTTAGTGGTGCCTGATCGTTTCCTTCCAAAATGTTATACTAATAATGAACGGGTAATCAAATTCAAAGTGGTTACCAAACTGATTAATAACAAAATAAACATAATAGTATAATAAGCAATTCTGGTCCTGCGATCATCAAAACGATCTCGCTGTGATAAATACATTGTAGATGAGATCTGCAGGATTTACTTAACGGCCACGTGTACTGATAAGTGCCACGTGTTAATTTCTTTTTGAAACAACAGATGATGAGTTAATTACTTTTACCCGGGAATAAAATATCTTTTGAAAGACAAAACCGGGAATTTGGATCGGTTTGGGTTGGGTAGAACCGGAATGGAGGAATGAGATTCAAATGGTCTGGGAAGCTCCACCGTGACACCGACGAGATCAATGGGTTCTCTCTCGCAAGCCTCCATCGGAAACCTCAACGGAGAGAAAGAAGAACCGGTTTGAACCGGAGCTCTGCAAAGCGGGCAAGTGGAGCTGGAGCGGAACCAAGTGTCGATGCAGCCGACGTGAAAAGAGTGGCCACATTTAGGGAGAAGACGGCCTTCTTCTCCTTCCTCGAACTCCGATAAGCACACGGAGCACTCCTCCTCCTTCTCTGACTCTACTGGTGGTTGTTGAGTCTTGGAGGCGTAAACGAAGATCGGGATCTTTTCGAGAACCTCCGGGTCGAGAGCTTGGTCACGGGGGGAGGCGGAGAGAGTGCGGAGGTGAGCACGAATACGGCGGCGAATGCGACGGTTCTGGCGAAGGAATAGCCACCGGGCGTAGGTGTGGAAACAGAGGATCATAATAACGGCGAAGAAGAGGACGATAGCGGAGGAGAGCATGATTTTGCCGTTGAGAGCGTAGTGTGAAGAAGGCGCGACGCCGTGGCTCACGCTACCCCAAATAGGCTTTGTGCTTTCTTCTCCGCCAACTCCCATAGTTTCCGGTGAGAGAAATTAAGAGACTGATGAGATCTGCTCAGATATATATATATATATATTATTACAACCACTGTGTATGTAGAGACTAGAGAGACAGAAAGAGGAAGAGATTAGTTCCAGGTTTCGTTTATTATGTTACGATATGCGCAAGTTTAGTAGCTAGTATGGGTTTTAGTTAGTCTTTATATCATAAAAGTATATATTGTAAACAAGTCAAGTCCTTATTATTTATAGCAAATGTTTAAAAGTTACTATTACAATTTGAAATTAATTTTGATGTTGTCTCATGTACATATATTTGTAATAAGTATTTTGATATAAAAAAATTAAAAAGTACTTTTGGTTTCGAAACAGTAAAGTGTTGGCCACTATAAGATCTCCATTAATCATACAGTTTTTTTTTTTTTTTGATAAAAAAAATCATAGAGTTTATATGCCCTAAAAATATACAAGTTATTGAACCCACTTGAGTTGTGAGACTTGACTTCTCAGTCTATTTGATATCCCCTAACTTGACTCGACACAACTTCTTGAACCCACTTGGAACTTTGATTATGCTATATAAAACTTTGATTTTTCTAAGTCTCGTGGTATAATGAAAAGAAACAGTCTATATTCATATTTCCTTTTTCCGATATGGATGGCCGATGGGCGATGGCAAAATCAATAATAACGAAATACGTATTTGCATGAGTCATGCAGAATGATCTATTAGATAGATACTAATAATTCATAACTAAATTAACTCTAACATAGTTAAGTTCAAAACTAAGTGCTGGATTCGTGTTAATCATTAAGGGGTACTGTCTTAGTCTTAGACCATCCTTTTTACTTTGTTTTGCTTTGATTGATGGATCTAGCACTTGTTTTCTTTGTTTGTTTGTATATTTTGTTTTATATTTTAATATTTTCGTTGTAGCTTAGCTTCTTTTCTTTTTGTTTTGAGTCATTTTCAAAATATGGCTTTAAGACCAGTTTTACACATCAGAACCTAATAAGTGTTTTGTCGTGAAGAGGATTGTAAATTGGGTTTCCGTTGGAATTTTCTTGTCCGTTGTTTTACTAATATAGACATAACGACCTTAATGTTCTACACGTTTTTTTTTTTTTACTGTCTTGTTTCGACATCACATGACATTGGTCTACTACTTCCCTCGATAAGAAAATAATGATAAAGCATATTGTGATTTTATAAAACATACTAGGAAAATAGCGTTGGCACGAGATCTTGTGATTTCACCCAAAACTACATAATGATATATTTGTCATCTTATAATATCTAAATGTAACTATAATATAGTCGAATATTCTTTCACCCATATCACAACCAGGGTCACAAAATATATGCTCTTCTATCTTTCTCTTTTACTAGTTCTTTATTATTTTCCCCACTTTTCTTGCTTTTCAACGCTCAACAACATTAGACATTTATTAAAAATGTACAAAAGTTAGTTTAGTTTAATACTATTACATTGGCCAAGTTAAGTGAAATGTTATTTAAAAAATAGTATTGTGGTGTACACACAATAGTTTTGGTTTTTTATAATCGCGGGTTTGCTCAGACGAATACCGAATCTATGGGTATTCAATTGGTTGCCCATGTTGGATAACTTTATTTGATTATTTGTTTAACCAATTACCATTAGAAGACATGATGATATTATACATGATTTATGAACAAGATAAGATTTGTCCAATGGTCAAACCATTTCTCAAGTTGGGGGATAAAGTTATATCTTCCTACTTCCATGTGCCGTTCGCCAAATTTAGAATACTATCAAAAGAAAAAAAAAGAAGTTTAAAAACTACCAAAATATCAAAAACTAGTATTATACAAAAATATAAATAATTACGCTCACTATTATGTAGTAAATAAGAGATAGTATTATAGATAAATGTCTTATTGAGTAGTATTTTCGAATAATTTATTTTCAAAATTGTGAGATTCTCTTGCATGAACTGGCTGCGTAAAGAAAGAATGAAATAAACCCCTGAGAAGTGAGAAGGCGTAGTGAATGAATTACTATTTACTAGTGATACATCAGTACATGATGTAACGGTGAGTCAAGCTTATTACACATCGGGTCTAGTCATGGCCAACTCATTCCTCTGCCTTTTTCCCCTTTACTTGTTTTCCTCACCTTTTTTTTTTTAAGTATTTTGATCATCTTTCTTAGTTTTCTTTCACGTCATGTTGAAGCCAAAAGATTAAAAAGGGAAAAAAAAAAAACATGAACAATAACACTTAACAGCTTACTAATAAAAGCAACGAGAGAGAGAAAGAAAGACAGTGACGCCAATATTCAGACAAGCTTAGGCATATATAAGAAAGCTGAAAAGAAGCCAAACGTTCTTCACTACACATAAACTAATCATAGGGTGATAAGATCTTTTGGATCAACTAAAAGTACTGACGAAGAGAGTTACCCCAAACAGAAAATAATCATGTAATCCAAAACCCGGTAATGCCCAAAAAAAAGAAAGAAGGAAAAATGAAAATAGAAGTTCAGAAAAGCCGAATGATTGATAACTGATTACGTCCAAAATTAGAGAGATCTAGTTCAAAGATCCATGATTCCAATTCAAATAGACCATATTAGGAATATAGCAAAGTATATGATCCGGTCCACGTGGAATAAAAATAGGCCCATAATGAAGAAATATTGGGCTAGAAGATGGGCTTAATAGGGACAGAGTATTGGGTGCTCCTTGCTATCCCTCTATATTCATTTTCGCTCATTCTTTCTTGTCGCAAAATTGGCCCGACGGGAGAGAGAGAGAGAGAGATGGAGATGCAGGAGGCTAATCAAGGGTCTGAGGTTTCTCCAAATCAGACGATTTACATCAACAATCTCAACGAAAAAGTGAAGCTCGATGGTCTGATTCCTATTCCTTGTTCTCCGATTTGAGTTGAATTTGATTTTTTAGATATTTATTAGATCATCTTCTTCTTCTTCTTCTTCATATGCAGAGTTGAAGAAATCGCTGAACGCAGTGTTCTCTCAGTTCGGAAAGATACTGGAGGTGTTGGCGTTTAAGACGTTGAAGCACAAAGGACAAGCTTGGGTAGTCTTCGACAACGCCGACTCTGCTTCCACTGCTATTGCCAAAATGAACGACTTCCCCTTCTACGATAAACGCATGGTATGTTTTCTCCCTCTTCCCTCCTTTTGCCTTTGCCTTCATCTATCAACGGTTATAGCTTATTTGCCCCGAGTTGAGTTGGTTCGCGGTCATTAGTTGATTTTACGTTTTGTGTCAAGGAATTTAGTGCTGTGGAAATTACTTATCTTTCTAGGTTCTGTTGAATTACTACTTATCAATCACTTTGCTCTATTATTTTCTCTTCAGAGAATTCAATATGCCAAAACTAAATCAGATGTGGTTGCCAAGGCCGATGGTACATTTGTCCCTCGCGAGAAGAGAAAAAGACAGGAGGAGAAAGGTGATATACTTGTAGATTTATTCTTTTTGTTCATTGCTTGCTTGCACCACCATTGCTGCAATGCAAATGTACTTGTAGATTTATTCCTCTGTTTCTTTCTCATTCCCTCTTTTTGCATTGATCACTAGTAATCACATGCTATGTGAGAGAACCTGGTCTGTGTATCTATCATTCATGCCTTTGGGATATCTTTGCTTCTCCACAACCTATAAACAGCATTTTTTTGCATCTAAAAACGAAATCGTATTTGGAACTGCAGGAGGCAAGAAAAAGAAAGACCAGCACCATGATTCTACACAGATGGGCATGGCCATGAACTCAGCATATCCAGGTGTCTATGGAACTGCACCACCTGTGAGTTATCTCAACATTTTCTTAACTCTAGTGCTTTTGGGAGTTGCTCTTGATTCTTTTCCTCTATTCTAATCACTGTTCTTATTGCCACTCTTTTCACAGCTTTCGCAAGTACCATACCCTGGTGGTGTGAAACCCATTCTTCCCGAGGCACCTGCTCCCCCAAATAACATCCTCTTTGTCCAAAACCTTCCTCACGAGACAACTCCAATGGTGCTTCAGATGCTCTTCTGCCAGTACCAAGGTTTTAAGGAGGTTAGGATGGTTGAAGCCAAACCGGGAATCGCCTTTGTGGAGTTTGCAGATGAGATGCAGTCAACAGTCGCAATGCAGGCACTTCAAGGTTTCAAGATTCAGCAAAACCAGATGCTCATCACGTATGCTAAGAAATAGATATGTTCGTTTGATCTCTGGTTTCAGTGAGATGTTTTGTATCTGTCAATGTTACTTCTTCCATGGTTTGTGCAAGAAGTAAAAGCTTATTTTTCTTCTGTTTTGTTGTAGAATATCTTAGAATATTGCAATTGTCTAACTTAATAGCTTTTTTTCTTCATCTAAACAATATGCATCTTGATCGGTGGTTGTCTATCTATGCTTTCGTCACCTTCTTCCACTCAAGCCTCTTTCTTTCCATAGCTTTTATATCCTGATAGAGGAGACAAGTATAATCTCTGCTCTGAAATGTATCGACCTTCTGAACTGTGCTTTTAGTTCTTAAAAGGAATAGAGACATGATATGGGGAAAACGATTGCCTGAAGCTCTCTAGTCTCGTGGGTGACGCAAGACTTAATGTCTTCCATCTCCTTGTTGCCAGAGCCACTGTCTCTCCAAACTCATCACTTCATTCTCTTACATGAGTGTTGTATATGCCTAAACTAAAAGTACCGCTTCACTTGCCCGTTTTTAAAAAGGGTTTAACTCAATAATCTGATTTTAAATTTATGGAAGTCAACTATGGAATGTATATATATAGATCTTTAGTCTGTGATATCAGAGCTTCATAGATGTGGTTATATCGAATAAGATCTATGGATGGATTGTAGTAGTGTTTTATTTACAAATTCTTGGACATCTAATTAAAGAAGAACAAGAAAAAAGAAGCAATCATTATGTGATGCTGGATTGGTGAAAGAAAAGTCTTTGTTGTGTAGCTGTTTTTTCTTTGTTGCTGCTGACGTCGGCGACGATAAGGTTCAAACTCGTGCGTCAAGAGAATTAAGTGAGAGAGTGAGCTCTCTCTTTAGTCTCTTTTGATATATTTGGACACTCCATGCATTTAAGTTATCAAACAACAAAAGCATTCATTAGACATCGACGATGGTTCAGTAATTGAGTGAGCCCTTTAGTGGGAAACACGAGTGTCATACGGACACGTAAGCATTAATGTGTTTATAGATTTGGTGATGACTTCATTGTCTGACTCTGTCTCCTCTTTTTACAAGACAAAAGATTTGTTGCTGATTCATCTTTGGTCTCGGTCACACACACACACACACCGCTAGCTTAATTAGTTGTCATCTTCTTCTTCTTTTTTTCTAATCATCGGGCGAAGCTTTATTTAGTACTAGTAGTATAACTTAATTATTTCCAATGAATCATGCATCCATCACCTTAAACATTAATCGATCACTTAGATAGACTCTACAATCACTACAACAGTTTAACTAGTAAGACCACTAGCTAGGGATCATATTTACCTATCGATCTCCATGCATGTGAGGCCTGATCAGGAGGACTATACATTATACATAGACCACATAATTAATGTGAGAGGGTGGAAAGATATCAACAAAGCTAGGGACCTTTACAAGTTACAAAACCTCATCATATTTTGAATGTCTTTGTTTTTATATGTTAGAGAAAGTTAGGACAACACGCAAAGCCCTACGTGCACTCTTTCATTATTCCTCTCTTCTTTTGCCCCCAACAGTCTTTGACGACCTACCTTCCCCTTTTTGACCCTTCTCGATCTCTCACAGTCACACACACACTGTCACACACACACACACACATATGTTATTAATTCAAATGGTTCTGCTATGCTTCAGCATTTATCATCATGATATATAGTTTTCATTTATGTGATATATATATACAATTTACAGATATAAAACGTATGTGTAAACCAATATTAGGATTTGAGGAGTTTCAATATTAACTGAAAAAGCTAGGTAAAATTAATAGATTATGTGTGGACTGTGAGTAGGTAGTATATCCCTAACTTCATTTTATTTTGGTATAGCCATAATTCATTTATAATCCTACTGAAATATTCAAATAATACGGACATATACTGTATTTTTTACATGCCCTAGAGTAGCTGCTAGGGATTGATGACAAGCAATGTATCTTAGACCTCTCTCACGATTCATCTTTAGCAATAACACAAAATATGGTACACCTAGATCGATAGGATTATGATTATATATATATATATATATATGTAGAGTTAGTGAAATTTAGGGGATATTAAAATCCCCGGCCACCCCCACATTTAACAAGAAAAAAACTGATGGAATTAAAAGGTTTGAGAACTTGGCAGTTATTAGACAAGGTATAGTTTGGCCCTAGCTTCTTTTAATTTAGCTCTCTCCACTCTCACACTTTTCAACTTTCACCCTTCTCTTGCGTGAGTCGCGAGATGCCATCATGGCATGGCATGGCATGTTTCTATTGCCTTACGTAAAACACACTCACGCCAACACATACTCACTATACATGTAAATAAGTATGTGCGCGTGTGAGTCTTCCATCCATCAATGCAATCTTTGGGGCTATATATATACAAACCTTTTCCATAACCAAAGCTCTCATATAAACTACAAAAGGCTCACTTGGGAAATGCGGGTGAGAATCTCCACGTTGGAGAAGCAGGGCACGTGCAAACCAACAAACACGAAACCCTCCTCATGTGCTTTGCACGTACTCCCCTTCTCCAACATGAGCTCCTCACCCATTGGTGTTATCATCCTTCAAACCTTGCTCTTGCTGATACATATTTGTACTAACTCTAGTTTTTGTTTTTGGTTGTTCATAACTAGGACTAGCTCAATTCTTTGTGTGTGCGATAATCATATGAGTTCGACGGTTGATTGAAATTTTATATTCTCATATTATATATCTGGACGTGTAAAGAGCGTGGGCGTGGTGTTTTGCGGAAACCCCATTGTATTGATTTTACCAGCTTTTGAAGATTGATTGGTGCATAAGGGATAAACTAACGTTTTCTGCAATATCTTGGAGGTTCGAAGTTGTTCTCTTAAATGTTAAATCATCATCATCTTTTAGGAGGGTGTTGTCTACCTACATACGAAACTTAAAAAGGTTTCAACAACTCTCGAGCTCTACCGATCGATCTCCTCATCTCCATCTAGTTCTCATTCCCGAGACTGTTTTTGAACCGTTATTCGTTTCGAATTACCTACAAATTAATATTTCAATGCATGAGAATGTGCAAAACTATAATAGAATGACGAAAAGAGTAATTAAATATACACACTACTAGCTATATGATTATGTCATATGGTGTTATGGTTTTATTTTAAAAAATAATCCCATAACATAATAAATAAACAAGGTCCATGTTTATTTTTTAAAATTGTTTTATGGAAAAAAAACAAAAAAAGAGAAATTGTGTGGGGGAAGAAAGAAAACTTATCATCCCTCAAAATTCATCTTTGAGAGAAACACTCCTCAGACTCTCTTCTTCACTCCTCCTCTCTCTTCCCACAGAGAAACCCCCAAAAAAAAAAAAAAAAGTATGGATTCGAAGAATGTTGAAGAAAAGCTAAACGAAGAAACCAAATCCGCAGAAGAACATAACCCAGTCGCCGCCATTATCCCTTCATCTCTACCAATCGCGTCTCTTTCTCTCATCACCTTCTTCCCCACCTCAACTCAGTTTCTCAGATTGTTTTCTCATCATCCAAACAAGGTTAGGATCCCTACGCAGGCCTCTTCCCTCACTCATCTCTCTCTTTCTTCTGTCTCTCCTCCTCCTCCTTCCAGCATCTCTTTCAAATCCACCATCGCTGCTAACCCTCTCCAATCCCCTCTCTCCATCGTCCCTCGCCGTCCCGTCGATCCTTCCTCCGCCGCCGCTCTCCGCCGTGCTGCTGTCGTCTGGTTCCGCAACGACCTCCGTGTCCACGACAACGAGTGTCTCAATTCCGCTAATGACGAGTGCGTCTCCGTTCTCCCCGTTTACTGCTTCGACCCTAGAGATTACGGGAAATCATCTTCCGGCTTCGACAAAACGGGCCCTTTCCGTGCCCAGTTTCTGATTGAGTCTGTTTCAGAGCTCCGCAAGAATCTCCAAGCCAGAGGCTCCAATCTCGTCGTCCGTGTCGGCAAACCTGAAGCTGTTTTGCTGGAATTGGCTAAGGAGATTGGAGCTGACGCCGTTTATGCTCACAGGGAAGTCTCTCACGACGAGGTCAAAGCCGAAGGGAAGATTGAGACGGCCCTCAAGGAGGAAGGCGTTGAAGTCAGCTTCTTCTGGGGAAGCACTCTCTATCATTTGGATGATTTACCCTTCAACATCGAAGACTTGCCCTCTAACTACGGAGCTTTCAAGGATAAAGTCCAGAAACTGGAGATTAGGAAGACCATCGCTGCTCTTGATCAATTGAAAAGCTTGCCCTCTCGAGGAGACGTTGAGCTTGGTGACATTCCTTCTCTTTTGGATCTCGGCGTTTGCCCCACTGCTAGAACGAGCCAGGTTTGAGTTTTCTTCATCTCTCATCTCTGCTTCGCTTTATCCCTCCCAGGTTTAGGCCTTCAGAAAAAGCTTAGGTGGAATACTTGTTGGATTTCTCAGTGGTTCGAAATTTTAGCCAATTGGTTCCAATTCTTCTATAAGAGAGAGATAGACTCTTATGGATAAATACCATCGAGTGTTAAATGCTCTTTGAAGGTCTATTATCGAGTCATGAACCCTTCTCTTTTGCTCCAATACGGGTCTGCTGCTCTTACACCTTTTCTTACCAGGAAGGGAAGCCCACAATGGTTGGAGGAGAGACAGAGGCGTTGACTAGGTTAAAGAGCTTTGCAGCAGAGTGTCAGGCTCGGTTGAGCAAGGGAAACCAGAAAGGAGGTAACAACAGTGTGTTTGGTGCAAACTTCTCTTGCAAGATATCACCTTGGTTAGCCATGGGAAGCATCTCTCCTCGTTCCATGTTCGATGAGCTCAAGAAAACAATCTCTGCATCCACCACCACCACAACTCCAAGGTAATGTCTCAGAAACACAACACTTCAGGGTAAGGATATGTCTCTAATTACCTATGATTTTCTCAGGAACGGACCGGGAGATACCGGACTCAACTGGTTAATGTATGAGTTGCTATGGAGGGATTTCTTTAGGTGAGCTCTTGCTTTCTTTATTTGTCCCCAAGTAGAATTTGTCATTTGTCTGAATTTCTCTTTGATGTGTTTTAACCTTGGAACAGGTTTATTACCAAAAAATACAGCTCAGTGAAAACGCAGGTCGAGGCTGGTCCGGCTACAGCCTGTACCGGCGCCTTTGCTTAAACTTAGTTCAGGTGACTGGAAAAGTAGATCCCATCTGGTTTTTGCCCTACTCTTTGTATCCGTGAATTTATTTGCTATCTGGGACAAGACTTAGCGGCTCTCCTTTGAGACTGACTGAGTATGGAGAATGAATTAGTAAAGCCTTTTTTGTTGGCTCAATCAAGTTGTTATTCCTTTGTTCTAAACGTTACATATACTCACTCATTCCATAAAAAGTCTATAGAATTTGTGATACCATCCTTTGCGGTTATAACGAGGTCAAACAGTTAAAAGACTTGATAATGTATCACTGTAAATATCTGAACACTGAAGTAGTTGTGTCTATGAATAGTTTACGTATTTTGTTTGAACTTTAGAGAAAGTTTGCATCTTCATTGACTTAGAAAAAGAATATAAATTGGCACCACCGCAAATGAATAATACAAAAACAGCAGAATAAGAGAAACTCCATATATTTACGACCTCCTAACTAAAGATGAAGCCTCCAAAATCATTTTCAATATCTTCATATTTGTAACACATATTTAGCCATCTGCCTTTGAAGTTTGATAAAGTATATAAAAACCCCTTATAAATAATAACAAAACCGGAGACATGTGTATGTATAGTAAGGCTTTTTCTTCTACTCAAGGGTTTTTTTCCCTTCTTTTGTTGCTTCTTCTATATGATGCCTGAAACTTTCAAAGAAGAAAGAACAACGAAGACGACCCAAAGCATCATGAAATAAGCAGAAGTCAGCCAAGCCCATAGCCTTGGACCTCCAAGCTCAGCTCCTATGATCAACCTTCTCAACACAAGCACCACGATACATCCTACTGATGTCGCAAAGAATATCAGCAATGAGAAGCTTAGCCCTTTCGCGTTTTCTATGTATAAAGGCTCCTTGTATGCAAAGTAGTTGTAGACTGTGTTTATCAGCCACGGAACTCCGATCCCCACATAAATGTTCACCGAGTTACTGCAGGAATTATTACCAAAAAGATCATGAAAAGTTCTTGCTTCTTTAAAGGGGTTCTAAGATTTTACCTGCAGGTGATGTTTGCAATGGCTGAATCTGCAGTTAGTTGTCGCTCTGCAGCGATTTTACTTGCGACTAAGTCTGGCCATGAGGTTCCACTAGCGAGTGCTGTAAATGCTATCACATATGGGTTTATTCCTGCAAGATATGAAGAGATTCAAATGTTCTAGTGCTAAAATATTGTATCTCTTAATCAAGTTTATGAAACCAATGTGTGTGTGCGTGTGTGTGTACCAGTGACACAGCTTATAAGGTCTGTCAGTCTTGTGACGACAAAGGCTACTCCGCTAATGAAGAGGAGAGAGCAGATGAAAGCGACCCAACCGTGAGCAATGTTGCAAGGAGGCACAAATGCAAAAAGAAGTTTCCAAGGGGAAAGGAGTAATTGCCAAAAGGATTTTGCGATTCGAAGATAAATGCTATCCACTTTCTTTGATTCTGATGTCTCCAACTGTTTGATTAAGAACCGGAAGAAATCCAAGTCAAATAGAATGTGTTGATAATGATCCAAAAGACCAAAATAGGATATAGAGGGATGTAAAAACACTTGGTCAGTGAAGATATTTACCGTTAGTGCATCCACAAATTGATGTTTCCAAATGTCGAAAACAGTAGAATTCTTTGCCTCACCCTTCTTAGTAGCAGAATCGGGGGGAGCATCTGCCACTGTATGATAGGTGATCCCTGCAAAAGTGTTCGTTACAGGGAAAATCTGATTTATACCAATACCATAGATGATTATACGAGTTACACATGGAAAATTACGCAAACACTGATCTTATATCAATAGGAAGAAAACCTACACATACTCAGTACCTGTATCATTGTTAGCTGAATGAATAGAAAAGATATCAACAATGTTTCTGTTTCCCGATTCAACAGCTTCTTGAGCAGCATCTGAATACGCATCATGAACATCATTTTCATCTTTGGATGTATCAATCTCTTCTGGAACCCACTCCTCTGGCCTGTCGCCTCTCGACCTGCAATTATCAAATACAAGCACCAATGTTCAATCCTTAGTAGAAAGCTATTTTGCAGAAACTAATATTATTGTCTGGAGAAGAAACCCACATTGGTAAAGACAAGTAAGGCCATCGCTTGTCTTGGGCATACGCGTGAACTAGAAGTAATGCGTATTGTAGAACTGTTAATAATGCCTCCAAAAGTGTAATTACATTTGGTGACCACACCTGTGACAGGTGAAAAGAAACAGAGAATTAGACCTCGTGACTGCATATTCAACACAATCTATTTAGACCGCTATTTGCAGTTACCTCGAGGATTATGTATAGCCAGATGTAAGCCCAAAAAGACCACACCAGCTCGACTAGCCAAACACCTAAGTCAGATATCTTTTTCAGTTCTCCAGCTTTTGGCACCACGACACAGACAGCGTGGATGGGGAAAAGATCAAATGCAGCTGAGCCGACAAGTGTTCCAGGACCAAGACCTACATGACATAACATGATAAAATAAGAAATAACGAATTTTTGAAGCTAAAACAGTGGTATTTGGAAAGAAGAACATAGAGCAAGAACAAGACCTCCAGCATAACGCTCCCCGAGATTCCGTATTGCATCGATGGTAGCCAAAGAAATCTGAGGAAAGCTAGTTCCAAACGCCAGCAAACTGATGTCTGCAATAGTAAAGTTCCAAACTTTCTTGTATGTGATGACTTCAGCTTTAGTAATGGGATCGATTGCAACCACTTTGCGTGAATGTTTCACAACATTCTCCATAGACTTGAAAAAACGTGCAGTGATAGCTGACAACCCGATGAAGCAGTAGGCAAGAGCAAGAAAATAGAATACAGCCCTCAAGCCATCGGACAAAGTATTTTCTCCGGGGAATATAAAGTAGTTTTCACATCTTACGTGCCCAATAACCTTAGAAGATTCTTGCAGTTCTTGGGTTTGATTAAGAATTGAGGCCATTGAAGCTTATTCAAACCCCACCTCCTGAAGAGTCAACTGAATTCGCTTGTTCTCAGTGGAGAAAAGAATCTAGCAAACCAGAAAAACAGAAGCTTACAACGCTTTAGAATCTGATCGAGCAAATAGTAGTAGCAGGAGAAGGCGAAACAAAGGGGAACATGCAATATAGACTTCTTTCCAGAGAACCCGTAACACAAACTTAAATACTGCAGAGGAACCAATGGCATGTATCCGAAATCTGATCTAGAACCAACACTAATAACAATTTGCATGTTCCACAAAAAAATCAAAAATCCAGAGGTAACCAGATCAACAACGGAACAACAATTTTTTTTATTTTTAAAGGATTAAAATTTTCAATGTGGGTTCGGTAAAAGCCCTAATTTGCCGAACAAATCTCAGCAAAAAATAACTATTATTAAAAAAAAAAAAAAGAGAGCATGTCGAAGGAGGAATCTGATGGGAAACAGAGTGAACCACGTGAAGAAATAGATCAATGCGGGAGGGAGTCACGTACCGGAGGATATCTCGGCGAACGGCATTCACCGAGCAGGGGAGAAATACTTGTACGGTACGGAGGGGGAGAGGCGCTGATTGGAATCGGTCATGCGTTGGAGATTTGTGAGCCATTTATATTAGCGAGACAGTCACACTTCTAAATCTCTCTCTGCAATCTGCATGACACTCTTCAATTATTGTATCGAACAATCTTACATTGACCGACACGTGACCTTACCCGATTGGGTGATTTTTGTTGACTAACTAGGGACTTTTATTTAATCTCACCTTTAATTTTGATATCAAGACCCGACTTTGCAAACATCTTTCGTTTTAGTCCCCTAGCTTTATTTCGTTTCAAAGTTACAGTCAAGGTAAGCATTTGCGTTACATTTCAAAACTTCACATTTTAGTGATTTTGAGTACTTTAGCAGATATATAAACCTGACTTGAGTCATTTGTTTGCGTTCTTTATTAGACTCCTCAAGAATATGACATATATGAAGGGACGCGCACGCTGTTTGATTTGAACTATATATACTTTTTTTTTTTTTTTTGCTTGGTTTTGGGCATTTAGATAATGTATGTGACATTGACGTCAAATCAATCTACGATATCACGTGTAATCCGTGTAAAATGTAAACTAAACTCTTCTTATGGTGAAAGACAAATTTGATAACAAATTCCATACGTCACAGATTTTTTGACTAGGAGGAAGTCAAAACTTTTAGATGATTCCATACAAAGAGTTGAAATATCTTTTATTATAGATGTAAAAAACAAATTCTTGCGGCACCCGAACGATAAAAAATGATGTCTTTGGGGACTAACATAATTAAACAACCAAACCAAAAAAGATCTGAACCGGTGGTTTAGAAAAACCGTTAGGAAGAGAGGGTATATTTGTAATTTCATTTTGTTTTATACAGAGCAAAAAAAAAAACGAAGAAGCCCTATCACTAATCCCGTGTAGTATATAAAAAGGCAAAACCCTAGTATAAGCGATACTCTCTCTTCGACTCAGCCGTCCCTTTTGCAGAAGAAACCATTTGGAGGAACAACACACAATGGTACCCTTTCCCGTCGCTTGTTTCCTACCTTCTCTTGAGCTCGTTTGATTTTTGGATCTGTATTTTTTTAGTTGTTTGTTTACATTGTTGGAATCTACGACTTACAACTTTTGTTTCGTATGGCACCATAGTCTGTGTTTCCCTTGCATTCGACTCCTTAGGATTTAGGCTTTGTTGGATTTAGCTACTGGATATCTATTTAATGCTTTCAGGCATTTTCGTATATTAATAGAGCAATGCCTTTTTCTTATTATCATCGCCGGTGTTCATTTTTGTCATTACTAATTACGCCATGATTTTGGTTTTAGGCCCCCAAGAGAGGAGTTAAGGTAGCTGCCAAGAAGAAGACGGTATATGACCCCCTTTTTTTTTTTTTTTTCTATCATCCTCTTCTTTTTTTTTTTTGAGGTTCTTGGCTTCTTTTTTTTATCTTCTGTTTTGCTCAAATTTGTGTTATGATTTCTCATCTTTGCCAGGAGAAAGTTACTAATCCTCTATTTGAGAGGAGGCCGAAGCAATTCGGTATTGGTGGAGCTTTGCCTCCTAAGAAGGATCTCTCTCGGTACATCAAATGGCCTAAATCAATCCGTCTTCAAAGGCAGAAGAGGATCCTTAAGCAGAGGTTGAAGGTCCCCCCAGCTCTTAACCAATTCACCAAGACTCTTGACAAGAATCTTGGTATGTCCATTCCCTTCTCAATGGCTTTTCTTTTTTGTTTTTGCTCTTTACTCTTCAAACACCACACATTGTTTTCGATTTGCTCTGTTTATTTCTTGTTATCGATATATTTCCCAGTTTTGTAGATTTTCTGGTTTATCATGCGTTGTTGCTGCAACTTTATGACAAGACTTTGGTTTGTTTATGTATTTCTGTCTCTTAATTCAGTGCCTGACTATATTCATTATTAATGATTGCAGCCACCAACCTCTTCAAGGTCCTTCTGAAGTACAGGCCAGAAGACAAAGCTGCCAAGAAAGATCGTCTTCTCAAGAAAGCTCAAGCTGAAGCTGAGGGAAAGACTTCCGAGTCTAAGAAGCCCATTGTTGTGAAATATGGCCTCAACCATGTGACCTACCTCATTGAGCAGAACAAGGCGCAACTTGTTGTCATCGCTCATGATGTCGACCCCATTGAGTTGGTTGTCTGGTTGCCTGCTCTTTGCAGGAAGATGGAAGTCCCGTACTGCATTGTCAAGGGGAAATCTCGTCTTGGAGCGGTATGTGTTGTGTCCATCTTGGAATGATGTCTCTTTGGTTTGCATGGAGAGTTATATCTTTACTCTTCCGTCTCTTACTTTCAGGTTGTTCACCAAAAGACTGCTGCTTGCCTGTGTCTGACCACTGTCAAGAACGAGGACAAGCTAGAGTTCAGCAAAATCCTTGAGGCTATCAAGGTAACAGTTTCTTGTGACAACAGAATACAAATGGTGAATTTTGCAGCGAAACATACTCTTTTGAATTATATAACATGGTTTGGGTTTTTGTGTATAGGCTAACTTCAACGACAAGTACGAGGAGTACAGGAAGAAATGGGGAGGAGGCATAATGGGATCCAAGTCCCAGGCTAAGACCAAGGCCAAGGAAAGGGTGCTTGCAAAGGAGGCAGCACAAAGGATGACTTAAGAGGATTGATTCATGTGTGTCGTTTTGCTGGGATTCGTGAAACAACTTAATAGAGCTTTTTGTTTAGCAGTTTCTTTGAAGTACTCTTTTGTAGCTCAACTCTTGTTTTATCAATGTTTGCACTCTCTTCGGACAGTTTCAAAGTTTTCCAAGATGCTTTTTTTGGCCTCTCAACTACTTCAAAACTTTTGTCATTGTGAAATTATTATGGTCGGAAGAGAGTTACAGGTACTTAAACTCACAATTTTGCCAGCCTTTGTGATTTCTTTTTGTCTTTAGGTTTGGAGTAAATAAACTCTAAGAATGTTTTAAGAGCATAAATACCAAAATTATGTAAAAAAAGTGGATTTGACACCCAAAAAGAAGTGAATTGCAAATGGGCTGATAACGGGTAAAAGAAGAAGAGGGCTAATTAGAGAAAATAACAGTTTAGATTTGACCCAGGAAGGATCCAGTAAGCAGATTTCGCAATTTTAACCCTTTACTAATTTCCTTTGGTCAGACTGCGATTTTGGTCGGATAGAAGAATTAGATTCATCTGATTGTGGAGGGAATCGGAGAGTGAGGTAACGGGCATGGAAGCCACTGATCCAAGCGCAGAGCTCGAGCTCTACAGCATCCCTGCTCAATCCAGTATGTCTTCTCTCTTTCTCTCCAATGCCTTCAACTCTCGCCCAAGCTTTTTTTTTTTTTTTTTTTCAATCGCATAACCATCTATCTTCTTGTTAGATTTCTAGGGTTTCTTCTACTGTTTGGTTGACTCGCTCAACTGTTTCCTTATTGCGAACAATTTTTCCGCTTTCCTAGGGTTTTGTTTTCTTTGGTTGAAATTGATTTGGGGTTCATAGGTTGGTTCTTGTGGGATGATATACACGATATTGAACGACGCGAATTTGACGAGTTCTTCAGTGAGAGCTCAATCACTAGAACCCCCAAAGTTTACAAGGAGTACAGAGATTTCATCATCAATAAGTTTAGAGAGGACACTTCTAGGAGCCTCACCTTCACCAGTATCCGCAAGTTTCTAGTCGGCGATGTCAATTTGCTTCAAAAAGTGTTTCTCTTCCTCGACAAGTGGGGATTGATCAATTTCTCCCCTTCCCTTAAGAAAAATGATAGTTCATCGTTGGTGGATAATGCTAAAATCGAACAAGGGACCCCAGCTGGTATTCGAGTTTCTGCAGCCCCTAATTCTTTGAGGCCTATTACCGCTCCGCCCCTTGTTGAGGAAAGAACTGAGAGCGGCATCAAACTACCACCGCTTACCTCTTATTCAGATGTTTTCAGCGATTTGAAGAAGCCGGATGATGTGTTGGTTTGTGGACATTGTGGAGAACGTTGTGATTCTTCCTTCTATCAACATAATAAGGTACTTTCTTTATTATAAATCAGTGTGTTTCATCATCTCAGGTCTCTCTTTTTTTTTTTTTTTTATTGCTTGTTTCCTCACTTGTGAAGTTGGCAGAGTATTGTCAACATATGTGAAAAGTGTTTCAAGAATGGCAACTATGGGGAGAACAACACTGCAGATGATTTTAAGTTGATTGGGATTTCAGCTGCAGCTGTGTGGACCGAGGAAGAAACACTCCTCTTGCTAGAATCTGTGCTGAAACATGGAGACGATTGGGAACTCATTGCACAAAGTGTTTCGACAAAGAGCAGACTAGATTGCATTTCAAAACTCATTGAGCTCCCGTTTGGGGAGTTTCTGATGGGTTCTACCTCTGGAAGACTCAATTCCTCTATCCCCACCGAGGATGAAGACACGGAACAGGTGAAAACTGATTGTCAAGAACATCAGGAAACAGAGATGAGGGAGGAAAAGGAAGATGAGCCTCCAGTTAAAAGGAAACGTGTTGCACTGATATCAGATGGTGATAGTTCACTTATGAAACAGGTGAATGTTTGGTTAAACAGTGTGCCTTGTGTTCATTCTTTTCCAAATGACTGTAACATTTGGATCCGTCTCTTCATTTAATTGTAGCAAAGAGTACCCTTTCAACACTAGTGAAAAAGAATTTACCAGAGTTGATAACATCTTTACATATTGCACAACAGGTTGCTACTATGGCAAGTAAAGTTGGTCCATCTGTCGCAACTGCTGCTGCAAAAGCTGCAATTGCAGCTCTTTGTGATGAAGCCTCATGTCCAAAAGAGATTTTTGACTCTGGTGATGATTACACCAGTTCCACAGTTGACAGGTTTGATTTTGGAAACCTTCAATTTGCTTATAGCTTGGCTTCTGATGTCGTTGTGGAGGCTAATATCAAAACTTTGCTAACCAGAGCTGATGGAGACAAAGATACGGATATGGAGGAAGAGAGAGAAGAGAAAGGTAACTTGTGTTCTGATCCAGTGTACATCTCTGGGTGTAGAATGCAAGATCAGGACTTAAGATTTTGTAATCCTTGTTATATTTGCAGACGGGCCTCAGGGTCTACCTGTAGCTCTGAGGATAAGAGCGTCTGTGGCAACAGCTCTAGGAGCTGCAGCTGCTCAGGCGAAAATACTGGCTGATCAAGAAGAAAGAGAAATGGAAGAACTAGCTGCGAGTGTAATAGACCAACAGGTTGGTTTCAACATTAGAACCTTGGTCTCCTGCACTCTTTTTGGGTTTCAACAATAAAACCTTCGTATGTATTAGATCATTCAGTTTGTGTCTTGACCCCGGATGCTTTGCTTTGTGTACTCAGCGGAAGAAAGTGCAGAGTAAGTTGAAGTTTCTGGACCAGCTGGAAATGATAATGGATGCGGAAGAGGAAGTGATAGAAGGAGGAAAGGAAACAATCCTCCAAGAGAGGATAAGCGTTTTGCAATGTGCGTTTAGTAGTGGTGTAACCAAACGTTGGGATCATACGTACGTAAAATGATCTGCTTCCCTCGCTTATTGTAACTCTTGGGGATAGATTTGTTATCTCCGTATGAACAATGGTGTTGTTTGTTTTTGTTGACTTTTGTTAGCTAATAGAGTAGTAGAAGCATCATCGCTTGCCAAAATATATTGATATATATATCATAGAGAGAGAAGAGGCTTTATTTTTTTTGTTACTTTTAATGAGAGAGAGAGAGAGAGAGAGAGAGTAGGTTACATACCTCTTTTGTCGATTAGTCTTGACCAATTGATGATGGATGGGTCTCTCTAACTCATACGTTCTCTCTCACACTCTCTTGTTTTCTCTCTATAAATTGGTGACACCGCCCTCAAAAAACTCCCACCTTCATTGTCTCTCTCTCTTTCTTACAAATCTCAATGTCGCTCCAGTCTAGTCAATCGCAGAACAACGTGAAGCCGTCAGAATTCCGATACCACGAGGTTCTCTCTCTCTCTGTCTCTGTTTTTCTCGTTCCTCAGGGATAGTATGTAGACTAGTCTAGTAGTAAGTCAGCAAACAAGATGAGAGTGAAAGCAAGTGTGATTCATGAATGCAATCTGGTGATACAGGAATACATAAGGAATGCGAGAGGTGTTGAGCTGTTCGCTTGTAGATGGATCCCATCATCTTCTTCTCCCAAAGCTCTCGTTTTCCTCTGCCATGGTTAGCTTTTTCTTTACTAAAACAAAAATATTTCCTACTAATTCGAGTTATTGCTTTCACTACAGATTTTAAATATTTAATCCGGGTTGGGGGATTTTCGTTGTGCAGGTTATGGTATGGAGTGTAGCGACTCCATGAAAGGTACTTCCTTTTTCTTCTTCTTCTTCCTTCTTGATGATCATAACCGCGTTTACATCAAACAAAATCTCCATTTTTAGATTTTACTTAGCAAGCTTCTCTGTAATTAGTTCTCTGAACCATCTTACGCAATATACTGTGTAAATAAACGTTGCGAATCTTCATTTTGTGTTTGGGATTGATGAAAAAGTAAATCATTTGATTTTCACTGCATATAATAACTTATACTAGTATTATTTACATTTGATATGCATTATTATAGTAGATATGAATCGATAGTAGCATTATCATAATAAATCTTTTCAAATTCGTTGTGGACCTTAGAACCATTCAACATTTATGTCTGTAGTAATTACTTCTTAAATGCCCCCTTGAACAGCAAGACATGGAGGGTGTTATAGGACCGGTAGGTCAACAAGTCTTACTTATATATATGTTGGTTGGTTGGTTGGTTTGGTTGGAGAACGACCGTAGACAATTTAATTTGAATCTATTGTTATTTTCTCTCCTCGGTTAGCGTGTGTAAATTCATCTCTGTATCAAAATTAAATAACCTTCTGTCGTCTAATGTCTTATGGCTTGGTGGTTGAGAAAACCTTATTCTATTAGGAGGAGGTCTCTCAAAGTTATGATCTGATCAAGAAATATGTTTTAATTTGTTGTTTCTAGAATGCGGAATCAGACTGGCTTCAGCAGGATACGCTGTTTTTGGTTTGGACTATGAAGGTCACGGAAAGTCCATGGGATCTCGTTGCTACATCAAGAAGTTTGGGAACGTTGTCAATGACTGCTACGCCTACTACACCTCTATTTGTGGTATAACAATTCACATATCTATATAACAACTAGCATTCGTCTCTCTTCTTTTGTCAACCCCAAGTTAACTGTTCTATTTTATGCGTCAGCCCAGGAGGAGTACATGGAGAAAGGCAGATTCTTGTATGGAGAATCCATGGGAGGTGCAGTCACCCTACTGCTTCACAAAAAAGATCCTTCGTTTTGGAACGGCGCCATTCTTGTTGCTCCTATGTGTAAGGTAAAACAGTAGTACCCGCATGCAAGTCTTTTAAAACGCCAAGAGTCTCTAAAATATCGAAATGCAGATATCCGAGAAGGTGAAGCCACACCCCGTGGTGATTAGTGTGTTAACTAGAGTTGAAGAAATCATACCGAAATGGAAAATAGTTCCAACAAAAGACGTGATCAACGCTGCTTTCAAGGACCTGGTCAAGCGAGAAGAGGTCTGTATATTGTCCTATACAGTATGTGACTAGTATTAACAACCTGTAACCATCTAATAAGTTAGTTTGGTGTGTGTGACAAAAATGTAGGTAAGGAACAACAAGCTGATATATCAAGACAAGCCTAGGCTTAAAACAGCACTTGAGATGCTCAGGACAAGCATGAACCTGGAAGACACTCTCCACGAGGTTCATGCCCATCTATTACATACTGTATTCTTGATCCCGTGATATGAAAGAATTAATCATGAAGTTTGACAAAGACAAGAATGTAACTGGATGATGCAGATAACAATGCCTTTCTTTGTACTACACGGAGAAGCAGATACAGTGACGGATCCAGAGATAAGCAAAGCATTGTACGAGAAAGCGAGCACAAGGGACAAGACTCTCAAGCTGTACCCCGGGATGTGGCACGCTCTGACGTCAGGTGAGCCTGACAGTAACGTTGACCTTGTTTTTGCTGACATCATCACTTGGCTTGATCTTCGAACCGCTGACCCAGCCTCTCTCACTGTCACCCCTATACGAGTTACTACCGCCACGACGAGCATCGAAAGGGTTACGGTTAATGGCGTTAGTAACAGCCAACGGAGGCCTAAACGTCCCTACTTTAATCTCCTTTGTGGTTTGAACCGTGGCCGTTTGGTTCCACGCTCTGCTATGTAATATTTTTAAATTGTATCAAGGCAACAAATAACTCTATTCGTGGAAATAGAGTCGGTTTATAACTTATTATTAAGATTTCGTTCTAGCTCAACTTAAGGAAAACATAATTGGCCCAAAAAGGTAAGAAACTTTTTCCTTTTTCTGGTATAGAACAAATCTCGTGTGTGTTCATATTTTTTAGTGGATAAGGTTAGAGAACTTATAATAATTATATAGGATAATAAATTGATAAGGCCCAACACGACAAAAAACAAGAAAATTGATAAGGCCCAACAAGTTCAAAGGCCTGAGTTAATAATATTGTAACGTCGGTCCGCTAACTAGTTTGGAGTTTGGAGTTCTTTCTTCTTCTTCCTGAGAGAGAGAGAGAGATCTCTGGAAAACGAAAGCGAGATTTATCATCAGGTAAAGTAAAACCCTAATATCTTCGATCTCCCTTGTGCGGTTTGTTGTCTTGAATCCATTTTTGGTATTCTTTAACTTCGTTAGGTTCCCACCCACGTATCAGCTGTAATTTTGCCGAGAGTAACTCGCGATAAGACAGAATGAGGTATCTCTCTCTCTCTCTCTCTCTCTCTCGATAGTTCTAAGCTTTATCTTGTGTGAATACGGTGCTTAATTTGACACACTTGTTTATTTTCCTATTTTGCTCACAGTAAACCAATGGAAGAGGACACCAATGTAAGCTTCCTTTTTTATAATTTCTCTCGAAACTGCTTTACTTTTTATCGATTTGCTATAAGCTTCGTCGCTGTCATAATTCATCTAGTGTTTTCTATTTCTGCAATCTTAGGAATCGCCTTACGTGTTAGTGCTTGATTAGGACTGAACCTTCACTAATGATTCTCACTGTTCCGTTCAGCGAGTAATTGGTGTTTAGTGACTGACTTCATATGCAAAACGCGTAGAGAATTGCTTGTTTTCATCTCTCTCATTCGATTGACCTTTGTTGTATAGCCGTTTAGCCTAGTGTCGTGATTCCATCTTGCACTAGTTTCCTTCTTACCTGCTACTCTTAAGGCTGTACCCTCTCCTCAACTCTTATACTTTGCTTACTTAGCAGGGCAAGACCGAGGAAGAGGAATTCAACACTGGACCACTCTCTGTTCTTATGATGAGCGTGAAGAATAACACTCAGGTATTCTAGAGATCTCTTTTGGCTTCATTAGACAGATGCATAGATAGTGTTGTCTGTGAAATATAACGTATTAAGTGGTTTGATGTTTTTGAGCTTCATCGCCTTGTTTACAAGCCAGATGTTAGACTATAAATAAATGCATATGAAGAGTGGGTGAAATGGGAGCTTTCTTAAAGGGCGCAATTTTGTCTTCAGGTGTTAATCAACTGTCGTAACAACAGGAAACTTCTTGGGCGAGTGAGGGCCTTTGACAGACACTGCAACATGGTTCTTGAAAATGTCAGAGAGATGTGGACTGAGGTAAACTAAATCCTCTTCAAATCAGTTTGTATATTTAAAACGTCTCTCAAGTGACCTTGTTTTGTTTAGGTTCCGAAAACTGGAAAAGGCAAGAAGAAAGCGCTCCCGGTCAACAGAGATCGTTTCATAAGCAAGATGTTTCTACGTGGAGACTCGGTCATTATCGTCCTCAGGAATCCAAAGTGAGAAAAAGAGAGAGAGAGATATATACTTAAGAGAGGGCATGATACTTGTTTTTGATAAATTCTTGTAGGTATCTTCTAAGTTCAACACTTATGCGTCTCATTTCCGTTTATGTCCGAATAGACAAGAACCTTAAGAGTTGTATTTTCTGTTCAGTTTACATGTTGGCATGTCCAAGCAGCAGATGACCAGACTAAAATAATTGCATTAAAAAGAATAAAAGTTTAAATGGGTGTGCTGTCCAATCTCCCGCTACATTGCCACGAATGGTGAAATGGAAATCAAAATTAAAAACAAAAAGAGAACGAAAAGAAACTGAGGCTCTCCTCTCCTGTCTTCTAGAGCAAAGCTGGCTACAGTTACTCTGTTGATGATGAGGTGGTGGAAGAAAGCTGCTTTTGGTCGCCAAAGACACGTTGACGGAAATCTTTGACCATAAGTGGGAGTCCTTGGCGTAGAGCCACCTTTGGTTCCCAACCAAGAAGTTCTTTGGCCTTTGTGATGTCTGGTTTCCTCTTGTGTGGGTCGTCCTCAGTGTTTGGTCTAAACTCTATCTTTGCATTCGGGTCAATGGTCTCTTGAACCACCTGCGCATCACCCACCATTCAACTTATTAAGGTCAGATGCAAAGATTTTGGGAAATCATATCATATCATATATAGTAAGAAGAGAAAAGAGTGAAGAGGACCTTAGCGAGCTCGAGCATGGTAAATTCACCAGGGTTACCAAGGTTGAATGGACCGACGTGTTCTCCCTCCATCAGCCTCATGAGACCCTCCACCTATCACATAAATTTTCACATTCAAGTTTATCAGTACACAATAATAAACAACGATGCAAGGTAATGGAGAGACAAACGTAAGGACGAGGTGATATCCGTTTTTTGACCCATGATAGTGATTGATACCAATCCATCCCTAGAGTTAATGTCACATTGTAAGCATACAACTAAAGCCTTGTTTTTTATGGCCTCATGAAATCATCCATCACCTCAAGTTAGTGAATCTCGGTCACAAATCATATCCTAGAGAGATTGTAATATTTGCAAAATTGTAAATAACTAAAGACAAGTTGTTTTGACTTCACTATTCGAAATTCCAAATGTCAATTCTCTACCACTATTGTATCTACTATATCTTTGAACATTATCAAGATAGACTGTTTTACCATGTCAAAACTGAAGTATTCCCCATGAAAGTAACAATTTTTTTTTATTATTATTTTTAAGGTGTTGTTGTCTTGGCAAAATTAGACGAGTAGGGCTACACTGAATTGAATTTTTTACTTGCTTTGATCTAATCATTAGTAAGTAAACTTGAGGAGGAATTAGTAAAAGGGTCTTACCAGATCAGAGACAAACTGGAAACTCCTTGTCTGCTTACCATCACCATAAACAGTCATTGGCTCTTTTCTTAAAGCCTGCACAATCATCATATACTTAGTAAAGCAGAATAACAGTTGATCATTGGATTGATAAGCCACTAATAAAAAAAAAAAAAAAACCCAACGCACCTGGGCAACGAAGTTGCTAACCACACGACCGTCATCGATACACATTCTTGGGCCGTAAGTATTGAAGATCCGAGCAATCCTAACCTGTTCCGCAATCAATCAGTCGAACATCCGAATCAGCATTGCCAACTCAAATTAAAAAAGAAAAACAGACCTCAACATTAGCGCCTCTGTGGTAATCCATGGTCAAAGTCTCCGCCGTACGTTTGCCTTCGTCGTAACAACTCCGAACACCTGTTCCAATTTGCCATATTACACACAGACTCCTTATCAAACTCAAAAACACATTTCTGATTTCTCAAATCTACTTCTACTTGTACTTGTACTTGAGGAGTAAAAAGGAAAGAAAAAAAGTCCTTAAAAAGGGAGGGGGCTAAAAGCGTAAAAAATAAGGTGGATGGAAATATAATCCCATGCGAGGTGCGTCTAAGAAAGGGACACACGTTTCAGAGCCGTACGATAAAAAGGATCCCACTAGTTTACTGTTCAAATGGTTTTCACCAGATCTGACCGGAGCGCAGCGCTGCGGAGAGCGTATATATTTAAATATGCTCTCTCTCTCTCTCTCTCTCTCTCTCTCTCTCTCTCGCTCTGTGGGTTTGCTTTTATAATACACACAACCACGACCAACAACAACAACAAAAAACAGAGAGGTTCCAAGAAAATATACCGATGGGATTAACGTTGCCCCAGTAAGTCTCGACCTGAGGATGCTGAAGAGGATCTCCGTAGACCTCACTGGTACTGGTGAGTAAGAATCTGGCACCAACTCGCTTCGCTAGACCCAACATGTTCAGTGTTCCCACCACATTCGTCTTGTATCCCATTCGAGAGTTAAAGAAAAAAAGAAGATCCACAAAATATACAACAACAAAAATGGAGCGAGCGAGGAGGAAAAAAGCAAAAAATCAAAAGGATATAATAGTCTTGACGGGATTGAATTTGTAATGGACGGGAGAGGCAGGGCAGGCGAGATGATAGATCTGATCAACCTCGAGGAGGATGGGCTCAACGACATCGTGACGGATAAGTTCGAAATTGGGGTTGCTGAAGTGGTGCATCACGTTCTCTTTATTACCGGTGAAGAAATTGTCAACGACGATGACGTTATCTCCTCGGGCGATCAAGCGGTCCACCAGGTGAGACCCGACGAAACCGGCTCCACCGGTGACAACAACCCTCAGGGCTTTGCGTTTCAGGCCCAGAGGGATTTTGCCGCCTGCGGATCCGATCCGGCTCATGTACTTGATGGTTGGCTTCCTCTGAAGCGCCGATCGCATTCCGTATTCGGCAAGAGGATCCGGGCCTCCGTAAGGGACTGGTGGTGGGCTGGGGGATTTGGAGAAGAGAGTGAAGGCTAACGTGGCGATTGCAATGCCGACGAGAACGAAGACGAGTCTCTGTTCTCGGAGCATGTAGCGGATCGGACGAATCGCTACGAACCACGGCTTTATCGGCTTCGGGTAGTAAGATTCCGCTTCAGGTTGCCCCACCTCGTGACGCCGGTATGTCAGCTCAGACGCCATCTTCTTCTTCTTCTTCTTCTTCGTCGATTGAAATCAGGAAGGGGTAAAACGATGGAGATAAAGAGAGAGAGGGAGAAAAGAGAGGAGAAGGAATCGGAGAGTGAATGATATTACCCGAGTAGAAGACGCCGGAGACTGAGTCAGTCTGAGCTCTTTAGGACGGGAGTGAAATGCGAATTTGGGTTCCCTTATTTATTCTCTCTCTCTCTCTCTCTCTCTTTTTTATAAAGTAAGTTAAGAAGAAAGAAAGAGATGTCTCTCTCTCTCTTTCACAGAGTTTTGTTTAGCCTCCTTCTTCAACTTTTATTACGACTAAATGCCCCTCTCCTTCCTTCATTTCTTTCTCTCTTTATGTTTTTTTTACGTTGAGGCGTTTTTTAGTTTTCAGATTTGAAAAGTACAAACTGACATTCATTAATTTATTACTCTTTATCTTCCTCCATTGACCAAACTACATTCATACTCATACACTTCTTCTTTTTCTCTTTCAATTAGTTTCAAATTACTCCCAAAATGAAATAATTAATTTTCCGTTTAAATGTATTCTCTTATTATTAATTGTTTTGAATCAATGTATTTTTATTGTTATTTTTTTTTATGAATTAAAATCACTTTTGATGTTTTAAGTTGGCAGCTACTTTGGCATTGTTTTATATAATGTAGATAGATTTTTTGCATAAATAACTACTAGTCGTAGAAGTAGTATAATACTAGTAACTTTTGTATTCATTGTCATTCAGAAGAAAGAACAGGAGTTTTACGTTTGGGTAAATTTTATGAATTGGAAACTGTAGACAAAAAAAAAAAATAATAAGTGCATGTAACGGATTTGTTATTTGGACAAAACAGTAAATTCCATCAATTCAGTAGTAAAGTATTATAGAGTTAATAGATAATAATTAAAGTGGAGTAGTAAGTAATGTATACGAAAGTCAATAAGCGCCTAATTTTGAAATGACAGACGCAAAGCCAAAAATATTTGATGACAAGTACGTAACTTTGAGTGATTTCAACGCTCATTTGCATCTTCTTCTTTTAGAGTTATATTTTTTTTGGCACCCACATGACCAGACCTACCTTGATGAGTAAATAACATAGCAGTTATATATATACGATTCTATACTAGAGTATGTATTCTCTTACTTTGAAACGTTTATTGACAGTTTTATAAACTCTGATCACATTCCTAACGTTTCTGTATTTTTTTTTTTTTTTAAATTAAATCTTTTGCTTGTTAGGGAAAAGCGACATGACAATAACATAACATAACAACGTTTTTGTAGTGACCTCTCTGCGGTTACCAAGAGCAAGCACATGGACAATTTGATTGTTATCTGGACTGAAACTCGTAGCGTAGCTAGTTATGGCTTTATGCGATGCAAGTCGAACGGATGTGTTAAAAAAAAAAAAAAAAAAAAGAAAGTCGAACGAACATATACAATTATACATTATTGTGTTCTTTTTAAAATAAAGGAGAGCAACTAAAAAATATTTAACTGTTGACTAATCAAACTTTTGTTTCTTTCTTATCTGCTTAAGTTTGTCTAAACCAAAACGCAAAACGACGAGAGATGATGGAAGGGAGGAGGGTCGCACGTCAGGCAAGGAAGGAGAGTGTGTGGGAGTGCGATGGGAGGGACTTGGTCGTGATGCAACGTTCACTCCTATTCCGCCACGTGGATCTCTTATTATTCCCCCCCCCCCCCCCCCCACGTTTTCTGCACTCCTTAATTATTAGTATGATTTTGTTCATATATAGTTTAGTTAACCAGTTAATTAATTGTAGATTTATTTTTAAAAAGCTCTATTTATTATATGTTTGAACTCACTGCATCTAATAAATAAGTCTGAGAATCCCAAACAAATACGTGTAGTAGTAGTTGTATACTCTTCCTTTTTTTCTTTTTTCTTTTCTTTTTTGGCACGACTCACGTACGTGTACTTACATTCTTCATATCTACTATTACATACGAATACGATCGAGAAAACTACGTTACGTTACGTACGTACATACCCGAGGGCCGAGGTAGCCTAGAGCCAGCCAGTTTGTAAATTGTAAAAATACTAACAACGTTTTCAGAGCCATCTCAGGCTTTAGTTGCATGTTTCATAATTTGATGGGCTTCTAAGGCCCTGTTATGGTTTTCTTTTATGAGGAGAGGTCATTATTTTAAGAAGAAACCTTTGGGTTGTGCAATGCAGGGCCTTATTTAGTTGGCCTTATTAGGAGAGTAAGTCCCGAGGAAAACTCTGTCGATCAGCCAGCGTCTTGGGCAAGATGTAAGCCTACTACATACTGTACCTTAATTATCAAAAACCCGTTTTAATTGCATTGCATTTGGCCTTTATTAATAAGCTAATGTCGACATTTTAGAGTTCTTCTATTGAATTCGGATTTAAAAAAATTAGTGTACAAATGAATATATATATATACATATACATTCCTATACATATGATTTGCTGTGGTTGTGGAACGAAGAAAATAAACTTGTGCAATTAATATAACAAAGCATCATTGAATAACTTGTTCTTGAAATGTTCTTTTTATCATGTTTGTCACCAAACTTACGGACTGACAAAAAATTGGTTCGATTCACACCACACTATGATATGTTTTGATTAAAAAATAAAAATAAAAGTTAGATACGAAACATAAAAGAAGAAGAAAGAGACATTTGTAGCAAAGAAATACTAATAGTATATAGGCCGAGAGGCCAAATGAAAATTAATTATAATGAAATCATAAAAATTCATGATAAGTGTCTGTGTGAGTTTTACAATCATACTATTACATACATAGTTTGTATAATTCTAATAAATTAAAAGTATATGAATTGAAACGATGACAAGAGGAGAGTAGATTTAGAAGCCATCGGAAGAAAGCTTGTTGAGGAGAGCGAGAGCATTGCTGCATAATTGCATACACTTGGTGGCCTTCCTCCGGACCATCCTGACCGTCCGCGACCTGCTCGACGTCTCTTCGAACCCATCAAGACACGTGTCTTCATCCGTGAGAGCTGCGCTCAGCCACGTGGCCAGATCGCTCATCTGCCGCTGAAACTCGTCGGCGTTCAGTGTCCGCAGCACGGCGAGCGACTTGTACAGATTGTCCAAGGAGTCGACGAATAGCTCTCTGCAATCCGATAGGGCGATCCTCTCGCGTTCCTCCACGGCTGAACCCCGCGTTCTGAGCAGTACTCTCAAGATCCGCTTTGTGTCCGTTATTGTCACCGCCACGCTTGCTCTCGTCCACTTGCTCGTCTTGTTTCTCGCCACGATCGCAAACGGCCACAGCTTCCGCACGCAGAGCCGTTGGTATTGCGTTACGCTGCACGCGTTCCTGACGTATGTGCTGTACCGCGTGACCGTCTCCTCTGTTTTGTTGCTACTACTCAAGGCCAACGACGGATTTGGGCTTACTGCAAGAACAATACAAAGAAGAAGAAGAGTAAGCGTGATAGATGAAGAAGTCATCTTCTTTATTTTGGATCCAAACGCCTACTTTTTAAGATTTTGTTTTAGATGCAGAGAGAGAGACGCTATACAATTATATATATACACCCACACGAAAACGAAAGAAGAGAGCCCATGGGATTAACATTTAACCTTTTTTTTTTTTAATTAAGGGCGTACAATTGAAGTTCTCTTAGTATTAGGCGGTTCATTTTTAGGTATAGTCGAGTAATCATTACAAACGGTTAAGCATCTATGCTATGCTATGGTGTGTTATTGTTTTGAATTCGGTTTTTCTTTCTTTTACTATTTTAAGTAAAGGTGTAAAGACTACCCTCTCTCCTAACAAATTTAGATACATGTGTTAAAATTTGTATTACTTATTGGTTTTGGCTTCCCCTACTAACATTGTACAATTATACACAAGTGAATGAGAATCTTTTATCGAGCTGACTAAACTTTATTAGCTAATATATAGAATAGATATTTTAATTGTGATGAAACTCGTGTAAAAACAATACAAGGACCTAAACTGTGATGATTGAATATACGAGGTGCTAACCAAGACGAGGGTTGCAGAGGAAGCAAGAGAAAGCTGAGAAGCAATAATGAAAGTTAACAACAACAACAACAACAACAGAGTATCAAAATTCAAAAGTCACTTGGTATTGGTAATTCTTTAAGCTTAATCTTGATCCCCCCCCTAATCATTCAATGTTTCTGAATTTGATTATTTATTTTCCTTTAAGCAAGAGGAAAATTTCACAACATAATATTGGAACGTGGAGACTTTGGACTTGTTTTTTACTACCTGCACGAGTCTGGATCTGTGGATCATTTCATTCAATACCAAAAAACAATACAAAAAAAAAAAAAAAAAGAACCGGTTACAAAATCGTTATCTAAACCGGTTGATCCACATTTATTATGATATATCTTCGCATTGAAAATGAATGAGGCCCAGTGACGTTAACCCAAATTCACGACCTAACCACATTTTTTACGTGCGTCACTTCTGGTAATAATATCTGTCTGTGTTAGTTATGACTTATGCGTCTGGTTCGTATAAGACAAAAGATAACATCAGCTAGAATAGAAGAGATCGTTACTACCTATCTCACTTGAGTCGGAAGGTAGAAACATGGTTATAATACGTGGCCGTTCGCATAATCGTGTTCGTGATGAAATTAGAGTGTGAGATTTTAGGAGAAACAGCGGCGATCAAACCTATGACGACCCATTGACAGAGACAACAAAAAATGGAGTTTCTTTCTTTTTTTCCTTCTTCTTCTCTTTCACCAAGAGATCATTTGTTGTGAAGAGATTTGTGAAGGTGAGAGGTGTAGTCGCCAAGCTGTGTGTCAGTAGGCGGATGGAGATCGAAGACATAAGAGGTTGGTCTGGAGACTAGCATAGGCTTCTGGCTGGTTAATGCGTCTGCAAATTCACCAAAGCTTATTGAATTATGAGGGAAAGACTCCCCAAGGAAGAAGAAGCTGTCTCTGGCTACTTTCTCAACCTTCAAACAAAACAAAACGAAAAAAGCCACAAAAACATATGAATAGAAAACACAATCGAATATCTGCAATTACAAAACTAGTTTCTTTACCTGCAAGTGTGAAAATCTGACGTTGTTCATTGTGAGGATTACTCGGATTTCGTAAAGATTATCACCGAGTAATCTGATTGCCATGTACTCGAAGAAATTCTGCAGAACAGTTTTCTGTTTCTCAGGTGTTTCAGCGTAGCTGTCTGGATTAAGGAACCAAAGCACGCATTTCACTTCATTCCACGGGATTGGATTCTCCCCTCCTGCTTTTGAGATGATGGTCTGGTAGGGATGATTGAGACCCCAGAATATTCTTGTGTCCGCAAGTGCTGAATCACAGAAAAGCGTCTCTGATGAAGATGATGTGGACAGTATTCTCCAGGACGGATACCGATTGGCTATACTTGATGTGAAATGCATGCCAGGGTCATCAAACACAAGGATAGATCCCTCAGAAGAAGTTGGAAACAAATCCAGAAGAGGCGATGTGGAAGTGTCATCTCCTTCTTGAAGGCATGGGGGAGGGGGACAGTATGATGTTGCTCGTCTTTGCATGACATGTGAAAACAAACAAGATTCTCCATTTCGACACCCCTGCAAAACGAAGTAATTAGCATAGACATTAAAGATAATCCAACTAAGTGAATGGTAACGTAATGCACCTGCAATGACGCGAAAAATTTGCAGGCTGGTCTTGTTGTCTTAAGAGTATGAGAGAACGTGCACTGGTCACCACGGTTGCAAAATCCATTAAGAAAATATACACAGACTGGGGCCTCTCCATCCTCAATGTAATCCTCAGGTTCAATTGCTCCATGGCCATTATCAGATTCAGATGGTGTGCACTGAGTTCTTATCTATGGCAAATGGAAACAGTAAAATATCAATATGCTGTAAAGAAGTAACACTGTTTCCAGCTCCAGCAACCATCACACTCTTATCATTGAAAAATTGAACACAATGAGAAGATTGAAAAGCCTGTAAGCGCCAATACTAAATACATGAAACAAGGTTGAAAAATGAATACCTCTTTGATAATGCTGGCCATGTTTTTTGCAATAGCATTAGCTTGGAATGCGTTAGGAGGAACAAACGGCACTGATACACATTTTCTTACTTCAGGAGGTGGTTGGTTGTTATCTTCCTCCTCAGTGTGTAGATATTTATCTTCACAAGGTTGGCACTCAATATAGCATGTGTGATCAAATTCACATGGATTGTAATAGGTTGGTAGAGAATCAGCAGAACTGATGAATTGAGGTCTGAAACGATGAAATGAGCCAAGAGTGTCTTCATCTGTCAAACAGGAAAAACTCTAATAAACGGACAGAAGAAAAGGAAGAAACTAAAAAAGGCATCTTAGCATGTTTTTACATCTCTAAAATAGAATCGATGAAGTGCCTGAACTTACACATCTCAGACACATGATAGAAAGATGACCGTTCAATATTGTGGAGATCACACCACTCTTCTTCTATCTCAGGATATAAAAACTTGAGATTTTTGTCTTTCTCTTTTGACAGAAGTTGTTTCAAGTTTTCAAGACGTTGCTTGTCCTTTTAAGGAGAGAAACATTGGTAAGATCATCAAAAATAGAAGCTGGTATTCCTTTGGAATATGGCGACACTATTTTATTACCTTAAAGACATGCTGCCAAAACTGAAAAGCACAAAAGTTTGCCATGAGTACCATCTCCCTCCGTCCACCAGAAATGGTCTTGCTGCCACCAAAATAGTGGTCAACATACTCTAGAAACTGTAAAAGAAGACATAGAGATAGAGGTAGTAGATGATTAACATCATGATCTAAAAAAAGTGCAAAACTGCAGATAAATCCACAAATAGGACATACCAGTGAATCATCTCCAAAAGGATGACTGATAGGAAGCGGTTGGGTATCCATGAGGACACCCAATAGAATCCCTTCTCTTAGCATTCCCAATTCACCAAACTTGACGACCAGAATAGATGCATCAAAGGACAATGGGAAGCTAGCAAGCAACCTTCCATAAAATGTGGGCTCGTAACGTCCCCTAGGCGATTTCTGCAATGCTCGTATGCTTAATAGCATACTTAATGCATCATCAATGACCTCTGGGTCTGGTGGATCCATAGCTTTTGCCAGCAACGCTAAATTATAGAAAATAATTACACTCAATTCAACAGACGGAGACTGATATGCAAAAACATTTAGGATACTATCTTTTAGATTTGATCTATAGTATTTCTAAAGCAAATGTGCACTGTAATGAATGAAAATTCCCACCATAAGCATTTAGCTTCATCTAAGGTACCTCATTGTTTTCTATATCTATAGACCTTACACCAGACAGGAACATATAGAACATATGTGATAAGTACTTATGCAGTAGCAGAAGACCTAGCCAACCTGACTGCCCTTATTAGTTCACAGGTAACCCAAGTATGACATCGTCTATTTGAAAAGAAGTCAAGCGTTTTCTATAAAATTCTAACAATATTACCATTTGCGTCATTAATGGCTCTGGATTCCGTGCAGCAAATATGGAGAACTTGTTGTCTCAACGACAGCTTAAGTATAGCTGGGGGCTCATGTTCTTCAAGCTTGTTAAAAAATGCACTCGGCACCAGGCGATACACCTCACCATCACATGTTCGACCTGTCCTCCCTCTACGCTGCTCAGCCTATAACTCCACAAAAGAAACAAAATGTAGGACATCCACTTTTGTTCCATAAATGGTAAATTCCAGCAATACCTGAGATCTAGAGACCCAAACAAGCTGAACTGCGTCTCTTTTTCTGAATCCATCCCAGAAAACTTGCAGAGACCGGCACGAGTCAATGACATAGGCTACTTTGGGTATTGTTACTGAAGATTCCGCAATATTTGTAGCCAATATTACCTGAGAACAGTAATGTGGAAAGTTTATAAATATGAAATCATTGAAGCCACAAAAATGGTAGTTGCAACTCATTGCATCATTTCGAGTTTGATGTCTCCCCAATAATATGATAAAGTCCTCTAGTCTAAAACGAACAACTACGTGTTCACTCTTAGGGAAGCTGAAATGGAAGGTACAATTTCATCATCTCATCAACTACTGAAAAATACACCAGCGGAAGTCATTAACCTATATGCCCAACAAAAAGATGTCTGAAAACACAAGCAAATTAACACCCTACACTTGTAAACATATCTTCTCTAGTTATTTAGATTTCAGTTGGGTTCCTCTCACCCATTAGGACTCAAAAATAATGTAAATCTGTCAAGGAAGAAGATACATGGAAAGTTAAAAGGGAAACCTTGCGGCGGGATCTGCATATCTTCATAGCAGCCAAGGCTTTCTCGGTGTCAATGCTTCGGTGCAATATGTGAAGCTGAAAAGACGCAAGAAAGGGTTCCAATTGATACCACTGCTGCTCAAGTGAGTAGTATGTTGGAAGGAAAACCAAAATACTCTTCTCAATGTCTGGTTCCTTTTCATGAATATATAAGATGAGATCATGAATAAGATTCTGCAGTTCAGGTTTGATTTCAGTATCGGCTGAAGAAGGACTTGGACCAGGACAGTAAGCTGAAAAATCAGAACTCACACCAAGCAATCCTGCAACCTGCAGCACGAATAGTGTCACATTTAATTAGCTTGGAAAGACTTGCCGTAAAAAAGAAAAAGGAGAATCAATTGGTTAATAAGATAGTCTCTTAAAGAGCAATAAATCTAAACATAATCTCAAAAAATATAACCTGCTCAAGATATGATACTCTTCTCTGGAAGATTTTTCTTTGGTCAGGGCTAGGAATAGCAACAACTTCTACGCGTTCACCCCTGCCGAGTTCTTTAAAGTAGTCTCTGTATCTTGTTATATCAGCAGTTGCAGACATCAAGACCACCCTGTAAAAAGACAACATCACCGAGACCTCAATACAAAATTAGTAGGTGATAAAACTGTTGAAGTAATGAATAGGAATAGTACCAAACTGACTTTTATCTTCTATCAGCAAAGACAGCCACGTGGAACAGTTTAAGAAGCCTAAAGAAACAACATCATGTTAAAGAAAAGGGATATAACCTGAGGTCATTGTTCTTCATGAGAAACTGCTTAACACAGACAAGAACAAGATCGGACTCCACAGATCTTTCATGCACTTCATCAAGAATGATAACCTTGTACTTTAGTGCATTCAACCCCTTGTCTAGCATTTCATCCAACAGAACTCCAGCAGTTTTGAAGAGAATTTTCGACCTGCATGCAACAAGAAAAGAATAATTGCATAAAAAGTCATCAACAAGGGGGAAAAAGCCAAAGATCATCGGACCAAAAAAAGAGAGATACGTAAAAGATGAAGAAAATGATAGTTACCCTTGAGTCAAAATCTTAGAATGTCCAATGTGGTAACCAATTTCTCCACCTAAGTCAGAGTTGCGAGACTGAGCAACCATCTTAGCAACAGCTACAACCGCAAACCGCCTTGGCTGTGTGCACAAAATGGGTGCCATGTTTGCTTCCAGAAGGAATTGTGGAACTTGTGAACTCTTCCCTGAAGTAACCATACAAAGGGATAAGATGAATGAAAATTCCAGTTTTGTATCACAACAAGTAAACCAGTTTGAAGGCGCTACATATGGCCCTATTTTGACTAATTTCGTTTTATACGTAAGAGAGAAACGAATCAAATGAAGTAGAACACTCAAATCTGGTGTGAATATATATATATATATATATATATGTGATACATAAAACCCTACGAGAGAAAAAAGAAGAGAAATAGAAACACACCAACAGACGGAGCATTTCTATAATCAAAATGAGGAAGACGACAAAAGAAAGAAAAAAAAACCCCAACGGAAAGGCAGATAACTTGCAGTTATAGAGAAACTCGTCTCGGAGCGACGGGAACAGAAGTAGAAAAATAGAAACAGCAAGGCGAAGGCACGTACCGCATCCAGGGTCGCCGACGATGAGAGTGACGCGATTCTCGAGGATTTTCTCGATGATTCTCTTCTTCATCGCCATAATCGGAAGCGAGGCGAAGTTGGAGGAAGGTAAAGGTAAGGATTCCGAAGACGATGAAGAAACCGCCATTGTTGTCGTACGGAAAACTCGACTGCTCTCGCTCTCTCTCTTTCTTTTCGTCCTCTACACTACGCTGCAGAGTCTAGTCTCTGCTATTTTTACTAGTGTCTGTCAATCACCTTTCTCTCTCGAGTCTCTGCTTTTAGGGGGGGGGGTTTTCGGGAGCATGAATCCCCTGCGACGAGCGTACGTTTAGCGTTATAATAAACAGCGTTGATCTCTCAACTCTGATTCGTTGAGATTAGTCTGACTAGTCAAATGTGTGCGGGTGTACGGTGCTTTCACGCACACTGGAGAGCTTACCTCTTGGTCCCATTAAAAGAAAGGGTTATATAAACATGGGCAAAAATAGATTTAAAAAAAAGAGTTGAATTGAACTGGGCCGGTCAAATAAAAGCCCGTGTAATAATATAAAGTCCATTAGTGGATGGATCGGGTCACCCGAACCGATCCATTCGTTGAAGTTTGACGAGAATCAATTTGTGTTTTTCTGGTTTGGTAGCGTTGCGGGATTTTTGGGAGAGAGGAGGAAAAATGGCGTCGGGATGGGGAATCACAGGGAACAAAGGGAGATGCTACGATTTCTGGATGGATTTCAGTGAATGTATGTCTCATTGCAGAGAGCCCAAAGATTGTACTCTTCTGCGTGAAGATTACCTCGAGTGTCTCCACCATTCCAAAGAGGTAGCTACCCGCGATTTGAGATTCCCTTCCTTCTTTGCTTCTCTTGTTTGCCACTGTTTCTACATCACTCTGATTCTTATGTCTTGATCACTGCCTCCGTCAAATTACCCCTCAAATCCTAGATCAGGTCGACCATAATTAAGGAAAACGAGTTTGTGTATTTTGAATGAATTTTAAGGTGCATCTGTATACTGTTTCCTCCTCTTGTACTTCTGTCATTTACCAACTCTGAGGTATTATGTAGTCGTAATTATAAGTCATTAGATCACGAGCTTAGGCATCAGTTCCACATTTTTGTTGGATTTTGCATTTTCCACAATCCTCTGCTGCTGACATTGGAATGCCTTTCACTTGTTTATGTCTACCGATTTTTATTCATTTCTGAAATTGTAAGGCCAATATCTTCTCTTTTGTTTTCTGCAACTACACCGCTCTCCTGTAATCTACTAGTCGATTTCTTTACTTGGTATGAAGATGCAGTGAGCATATTTTAACTAGTAGTTGGTGTGTTGTGCACCTGTTGCAGTTTCAAAGAAGGAACAGGATATACAAAGAGGAGCAGCGTAAACTAAGGGCAGCTTCCAGGAAAGGTGAAGAAGCCGCTGATGGGGCTCATACCAATCACTAGTCAACAACAGTCCTCCTCCAAATTTTCATTTTCATTCTATTCCGGAGAAGAATAAAAAAAGGTTCATGGGAAGACTTTGTATCTTGTTCAAAACCCTTTTATTGTTTTTCAGTTTGCAGCTTATCCAACAATGCTGATAAAAAAAAAAAAAAAAAAGGGTTCATGGAAGATTTTGTATCTTGTTCCAAACAGAATCTCTAAATGCTTTGATTGTTTTTCAGTTTTCAACTTATCCAATAATCTGTTTTCTTTTCATGTTGATGGTCTCTCAGCTTTTTGTTGCAACACGCTTAAGAGTTAAGACACACTATTTTCACCTGAATTATGTGGATCTATCTGGAACATTTTTAGCTTAACTCTATCCAACCAGGAACGAGGGTTTACTTAACTTCTCAAATTTTGGCTAGACTCTTGTTTGTAATTAATAACAACGATTCTTGGAAAGCTCACAAATGTACATTGGAAACCAGTTATAGTTACATCATAAACAAGTTTTCATCGATCAAACAAGTCCCCAGTTTTCTTTTATACATTGTTCATAAGCCTGACAGAATTGTTCCAGGCGACTTCAGATTTCAGACACACAACTTCTCTCAGTAGTGTCTAGGAGGCCATAAGCTCGAGATTGTGCGGTGATTCGACGGGACAGGGAAATGGGGGAACCAATCTCTCTCCCAACCATGAAACTGATCGGTTTCTGGTTCACGGTGTCCACCTAATGAGCTTGGTGGTGGATAAACAAAGAATCCAATGTTCTGATCCGGCATCGGTGGCGGTGGTGGTAATCCCCTTCTTGTCACCGAGATGAGAGGGGATGCGAGAGTGGGACCATTGGCATGATGCTGCCTCGGATGATTAAAAACATGATGCTGTGTGTTATGGTTTTCACGCATTTGGTTGCTACTTCCTTGGTGACTGTTAATTGGTGGTGAGGTTCTTTGATTAGACCTACATTGCCCAAATCAAAAATCAAAAAAGTATTTTAAACCACTCTGCAAAAAGTTGAGAGCAATATGGAGTTTGAATAACTAACCGGTGACTAAAAAGAAATGGGTGTGGATGAGATATGCTACGTGCTGCTGAAGAGTCATTTTCACCATCAACCATATGAGCACCGGGTAGAGGAAACGATGGGGAATGATGATGATGATACTGGGGAGCAACAGCAAGCTGGTGAAAGTGATCGTTAGGGTGGCTGATCCAGGGATGATCATCTGCATTGTTGTTCTCGCTAGTTCTCGGGGTAGCAGCGGGGGCAGGTCCAACGTATGCAAGATATGAATGGTTAACAGCAGCGGCGTGGTGTCCATGGAATTCATTATGATCTAAGGAAGAGAAATGGTTTCTGATATTATGAACAGTTTCCTAGTAGACGAAATGACATGATCATATAGAGATCAATAGGCATCAGACTTACATGTAGTGGTAGCAGGTTCCAGTTCCCTGAAACACAGAGCAAAAGTTAGATTTGAGAGGACCAAAAGCTTGTTAAGGGAAAACATCCTCTCTTTGCCTTACGTAGCAAAGAGAGATGATATCAGTAAATCATGTGTACAACGCTTACTCGAAAGAAGCTGCTTGAGCGAGTTCACCAAACGGGCACCAATGGACCCGATATTGCTGCAAACAAGGTAAAAAAAAAGGAGAAACGATCTCAGATAGCTGATAGAGGAAAAGAAAATGGTGAGCAAGAAAGTAGTGAGCAATTACCATTTCGGGATAAGTTAAACCATACAGGTCTTCTTCGGGGATCCAGTCTTCCAAGGAAAAGTCAGGAAACGGCCGAGTAGAGCCATTAGCAAACAACCACTGACCCTTTTCGACATTCCGACAGTTAGGGCATTGCATGGCTCCTTTCATGTTGAAGGCCGATCCAATGCAATCTGCAAGAAACCACGAAGCAGAAAGAAAAAGAATAAACTGCTAAAGATAGGAACAAATTCAGCAGCCACAAGATACTAGGAAACACAACTGTGAGAACTCTCACTCGAAATAGACAATCATATCTGGCCTGGGATCATCAACATCGTGGCAGCAAAACTAAGCTTGTAATCAAAGCAAGAGGGGATAGCTTATTTACTTTTTGGAATCCCTCTGTATATGTCATCTCTCATATTCGCATTGGACTATCGTTTAAATCTAGCAGTAGAGAGAATGAAACAAAAGAAGACCCTAAAAAGGCTAAGCTAAGCAACCAACCATGATGGATTCATCAGATCGATCATTAAACTGTGATACTCGTAAAAAATGGCATTGAAAGGGATCGAGAGAGAGAGAGAGTAAAAATAGAATGGCAAATAATGATAAAGAGGAAAGGCAAAGGAGGAAGGGGGAAATACCCAAATGGAAATGATGACCACATTGGAGCTGAGCCTTGGATCTGGCACCGTCGTCGAGCACCAATTCGAGGCAAATCGAGCAAGAGACTTCGACAGGGGAATCCTCATCGTTCCCGCGTTTTCCAGGGACACACCCACCGTCCGATTGGCTACCAATTTTACGATCATCATCATCGCAACCCGAATCTGTAGCTCCGGCCATATCTCCCACCTAGCACCAAGTCAGCAGCAACCACGAAAATCCCGTTTCCAGAAGCACAAACCAAAAAAATAGAGGTTTGTCAAACAAAAATCATTCTCTGGCTCGCTCTCTATTTTTATCTCTCGGATGCGGTAATACAATTAACAAATAATCTCTCTTCTTACAAAATCTCTCTATCCTTGGTTTCTCGTCCCACCCGTTTTTAAGATGACGTGGTTCATAACCGGACAACTATCACATTGGACTCTCTTCCCATTTCTTTCTTTTTTTTTTTTTTTTTTTTTTTGTGTTTCTCCACACTGTGGATAATTTTACTAAACTAGTAGTATTTTTATTTTTTTATTATTATTCTCTTCCCGATAACAACAAGTCCAACCATCCATTCATCTGAAACCAATAACAACATTCATCCCATCACCAAACTGTAATCTGTTCATTTAAAACTAACATCTGGTTTCTTCTTCAATTGGTTTCTTCTCTTCTAGTCCCTCTTTCATATCCCACGAGCTCCCTGAGTTTTTCTCCCCAACGATAACCGATTTGGACATTTCGTTTTTTCTCTTTTTCTTTGTTATGTACATATGTGAAACACTTTTTTTTTTTTTTGGTAAAAATATGTGAAACACTTTATATTGTTGAACGGGGAATATTATAGTTTATTAAAATACCAAAAAAGAAAACATTACACTGTATGTAATATGCAATTACACACATAATACTGATGTCATGTCACACACATAACATAAAATGCCAAAATGTAGATCGATTGTCTTGAATTGTTTTACATCAAGCTATATGTTATTGTTTCATTTTCTAATTCTCTCATTCTAGAGACTTTGCTTTGACTGATAAGTGATAAACACAGTAGCTTTTCAAGCCTTGATCTTAGGCTTCTTCACGATCATGACCGAGCAATGAGCGTGGTGAGCGCAGTAGTCGCTCGTGCTCCCGAGAACCGCCCTGCCCCCAAAGAGAATCAAGTTGAATTGTTGATTTTATAAGGCTAGCTATAAACAAGAGTAAGTAAGGCTGAAACGAAAATATACCTCTTGATAGCTCCATATCCATGGCTCCCCACAACAAGAATTGAAGCATGGTGCTTATCTACAACTTCGCATAGGATATTCCTTGCATCACCTTCGAAAACTTCGATCACTGCGCCATGAACCTACACATGATCAAGCAATCATTGACTGATTGAGATCAAGAGAAGAAGGTATATATATATATATACTTTGCGCCTAGTACAGTATAGCTGTAGAGATCGACATTAACAAGGAACCTCAGAATCTAACACAGTACTTCCAATTATACGACAAATCAAATAAATTAAACTAGGAAAAGGAAAAACAGAGGGACCAAATTAAATCAATCAAGTGGAGAAGAAAGTACCGATTTGGTCTGACAGATTGATTTGGCTTTCTCGACAACCTTAGCAGCCGTGTGCTTCAAGTCGGCATCAACATAAGGCACAACCTCGGCAGTTCCTAAATATAAATAAAAAAAAAAGAAAGATGATGAGGACATAGCGATCGAAATTAAAAAGAGAGTCCCTGGGTAGAAGAAAAGAATCGAGAGGGAAGAAACGAAAAAAGAGGAGGGTGTACCGTACCGGGACCAGCGAGACCAACGGCGGAGACGGCGTTAGGTTTGGCGTGGACGATGAAGAGCTTGAAGGGGTAATTGGGAGCGTAAGGAACGAAGAAGCGATCGAGAGTCCACTCCAAGGCGTAAGTGCTCTGCTCGCTGTCGTCGGCTCCGACGACCATCACGGGCTTATCATCTCCGGTGGCCATGATCCGTGTATGTTGTTTGTTTGTGAGCTAAGAGAGAGAGAGAGAGAGAGAGAAGAAAGCAGCAGAGTAAGTTTGGCGTTGCAGCTGCAGATATTAAAAATGAAGAATACGATACCTTCGATTTGATGCCGTGGGGGTGGTCCTCGTTCCTTTATTTTCCGAATATTTTCTGCTCCACCAAGAGTTCTTTTTTTGTTACTTGCACGAATTTTATACAAAATTGTTCTACTCTTTACTACTTTAAGGATATATGTTTTAGAAATATAAATTTTGGTTTTGGAGATTAAAACCTGCGATCTGTGGACAAGAGACCTTAAAAAATTAAAAAATAAACTCTAATTATTTTAGTACAGCTTTCGTAACAAACTTGATTTTGACAATGTGATGACAATATTGGTTTAATTGTGACAATAAATAACTGAAGAAGTTTCATACATGCTCTTGTTTGGTTTGGTTTGGTATAAACTATAAAGTAAAACTATTTAAAGTGGTAGGGTAAAACCGTATTTGATTTGGGTTGGGTAAAAAAGAAAAGAAAAAAAATAGAGAGAGACGCAGACGCACGGACGACGGACGTGAAGCAAAAAAACCTATAAAAAGTCCTTTATTATATCCGAATTCAGATTTCTGGAGAATCTTCTTCTTCTTCTTCATATTCCATGGCCACCACCACCACCTCCCCTTGGCCAGACACTTCAACTTCAGCAGTCCCTGATGCTCCTTTCTCCTCCATGCCTCTTCCGTCTGAGGATTCCCACCTCCCCCTGGATCCCAATCCCACTTCACCTTCTCCCTTGCTCCACGTCTCCTTTAACCAGGACCACGCTTGCTTCGCCGTCGGCACCGACTCCGGCTTCCGAGTCTTCAGTTGTGATCCCTTTTTCCAGGTTTTCCGGCGCGATTTTGATCGTGGCCGGGGTGTTTCCCTTGTGGAGATGCTTTTCAGGTCCAACATCTTGGCCTTCGTTGGCGGTCAGTACCCTCCCAATAAGGTCATGATTTGGGATGATCACCCGAACCGTTGCATAGGAGAACTCTCTTTCAGGTCTCATGTTCGTTCCGTGCGCCTTCGGAGGGATCGGGTTGTTGTCGTTCTCGACCTCAAGATTTTTGTCTACAACTTCGACGACCTCAAGCTTATGCATCAGATCGAGACCTTTGCAAACCCCAAGGGTCTGTGCTCTCTTTCTCACGGAGCTGCTTCCATGCTCTTGGTCTGCCCAGGTCTGCTAAAGGGCCAAGTTCGCCTCGAGCATTACTCTTCTAAGAAGACTAACTTCATCATGGCTCATGACTCCACTATTGCTTCCTTTGCCCTCACTCAGGACGGCCTCTTCCTGGCTACCGCTAGTTCCAAGGGTACTCTCCTTCGGGTTTTCAATACTGCTGATGGCACCTTGTTGCAAGAGGTATTTTTCCCAATGATAGCCTTGGCCTTTCCCTTTCACTATGCTAAATTCTAATACTACCATAGCTCTTTCTATAAGACCCTCGCTTTAGTTAGCTGTTTAGGGCATATCCTTTTTTTAACTAAGATTTTATGTTTCTAAGAATCACATCAAGGATCACTCGGTATAAGAGTCTTGTGTATTACTTGCTATCTGTGACTAATTCTGCAGGTTCCCTGATTCCTCTGTGCTAACCGAGCAACCCTGTTGTTTCCCCCCCCATACAGTTTAAGCTATATGGAGACCTATTATTTCCTCACCGTTATTTTTCACATGGTATCTCTCATAGGAAAATGTGTAGCAGTCAATCTAACATTCCTCATTTACTTGATTCATAGCTTGTAATAAAACCACTAGTTTCGCAGCAGCTTCTCTTTGTTTGGAGATGGTGGTGCAATGATAACAGTTTGCTGTGCGTATATAATGTATGCAGCTTAGAAGAGGTGCAGATAGAGCTGATATCTATAGTTTGGCCTTCTCGTCAAATGCACAATGGTTAGCTGCCTCAAGTGACAAAGGAACTGTTCATGTTTTCGGTCTGAAAATCAACGCTGGATCTCAAGTGAAGGATACATCCCGAATGGCACCTGATGCAGTTTGGTCACAGTCAACATCTCTGTCATTACTCAGAGGTACATACCTTAAAACCCCAAACGAGTTTCTAAGGTAGCAATTTGAGACGTCATAATAATCATCATCTAACCTTGCTTGTTGCCCGGGCACAGGTGTGTTGCCAAAGTATTTCAGCTCGGAATGGTCAGTGGCTCAATTCCGGTTGGTTGAAGGATGTCAACACATAGTGGGATTTGGAGACGAGAAGAACACGGTGGTGATTCTTGGGATGGATGGGAGGTAAAGAGAACTGAAAAACTTAAAACCTTAATAGTCCTGAGTTGGATAAGCAATTTTGAGGGTAGGGGTGTTGTTTTGCAGCTTCTACAAATGCCAGTATGATCCAGTGCACGGTGGAGAGATGTATCAGCTAGAGTATCACAACTGGCTGAAGCCGGCTGAAACACATGATCAAATTCTCTAATTGCTTGCCATATATAAACAAACATGTCTGGTTTGAAGCGTGTGTCTCAGGCAGGCAGGTAAGGTAACGTATGTGGTTGCCGGTTAGGTATTGAGTGGTTAAATCTGGAAGCAGCAAAAGAGTATCTCTAACAGACGTACAGTATTTGGTCAACCACTAATTTAGTAAAAACTTTGGAAACTCTGATTAAAAAGGCCGGATTAGTTTAATTATTTTTTAGTTGATATATAAATAAACAAATATATTTAAAGTAAGGCTTTTCTTCTGTGCACTCCTAGTCCTAGTACTCATCAGAGAGAGTATCATATGTCACTGATGACGTCCTCCTCTACGCTCGCTTTGATAAACAAATAGTCTACAGAGGAATCGGAAGGATTTATCTTCTTTGTACTGCCATGTGTACGAATAATTTTTCTTTTAGATTAATCAAAAAAGTAAATCGTATGAGTATTTAGTAAAGAAAGTTTTATTCTTTTGCTTAAAAAGGCCAAATGGTATGAAAAGAATTTCACTTTTCCGTATTTGTTTAATCCTTTTTAATATATTTGACCAATAACGAAATAATTATTATCAGAGAGAGAGAGGATGGTGGAGAGAAGTTTCTGGAAAAAGTTAAAATGGGAAGAAACAACAATTTTAGAGAACTCGAATTGCCTTGGTCTTCTTCCTTCCTTATGGTCTCCCTCCTACTCCTAACTCCTCCTATAAAAGACGAGTCTCGTTCCTTTGTTCCTCTTCATCCCCATTCCAATTGCAGATCCAACAACAAAGTCATCATCTTAGTATCATCATGGCAAGTATCAAGGTTCACGGAATTCCCATGTCGACGGCCACCATGAGAGTCCTGGCTGCTCTCTACGAGAAGGATCTCCAATTCGAGTTAATCCCCGTCGATTTGAGAGCCGGTGCTCACAAGCAAGACCCCTTCATCTCCCTCAACGTAACCCCCCCCCCCCCCCCTCCTCTTTCTTTTTCTCCTTTACATTTTTATAATACAAGACAGATCTGACCATGTTCGCTTTTGTTTCTCAGCCCTTCGGTCAAATTCCTGTTCTCCAGGACGGTGATCTGACGCTTTTCGGTATGTTCCTTTCTTGGAATGATCTCTATTCATACACACTATACGTTAATTGATTTGATATATCATTAGTTAGTACATTTTGGTAATAAATATATATATATATATATATATGGTGGGTAACTCTGCAGAGTCAAGAGCCATCACACAGTACATAGCAGAGGAATACAGTGAGAAAGGCGAGAAGCTTTTCTGCCCTGGCTGCAAGAAGGTCAAGGCTGCCACTCTTGTCTGGCTTCAAGTTGAAGGTCAACAGTTTGACCCGATCGCCTCTAAGCTTGCCTTCGAGCGTGTCTTTAAAGGCATGTTCGGCATGACCACTGACCCTGCCGCTGTTCTAGACCTCGAATCCAAGCTCTCTAAGGTCTTGGATATCTACGAGGCCAGGCTCTCCAACTCTCTGTTCGTCGCTTGTGATTGCTTCACTTTGGCTGATCTTCACCACCTCCCTGCCATCCATTACTTGATGGGCACCGACTCCAAGCACCTCTTCCTCTCTCGCCCCAAGGTCACCGAGTGGGTCAACAAGATCACTACCAGGCCTGCTTGGGGTAAGGTCATTGACCTCCAGAAGCTGTGAGCGCCTCTTGTCTTTTGGGTCTCTTTCCCTCTCCTCTACACCAAATAAACGAGTCCTCCCAGTGATTCTCTTTCTCTTTGCGCTTTATCAGTACTTGTGTTTTCAGCATTTTTTTATGTATCCTCATCTTTTGTGTTATTTCGTGTGGTTGTTCCATCTCATATATGTGTTAAACTTTTACATTTCACCAATAAGAGAGAGAGAGATTCGAATGTCATAAACCAATAAATAATGTAGACCCGAGGATTGCCATACTTGTCTTCTATATTTTTGAGTTTAATCAACTCACAAACAATATACTGTATATGGAAGGCCTCCCTACAAGAGATATCTGTTGATAGTTTTTTAGAATCAATCCTGACGTCGTTTAGAGTCAAGAAACACTGATTTCAGTATCCCAAAATTCGTGGAAATTAAGTAGACTCTCTCACGAGCCCCAACATATTCGTGGGATTAAGTAGACTCTTAACTCTATAATGTGACTGATTTTCAAAACTAGGAACATGCATCGTAATCAAAGAACCATGTCTCAGGAGAAATAAATAAGGTATGGGAAAAAATACAAAGGAAAATGAAAAAATATGCGCATCCAGGGAATCGAACCCTGGTCAGTACCGTGGGAGGGTACTATGATACCACTACACCAGATGCGCTCCTGGCAGAGTTTCTCTATATTCTTAATTTAATTTAGTACAATGCGCGCGGTTCTGTAGAATTGCTTCTGCCGGGATGAAAATACAGAGTAGAGAGCAAAGGATAAAGTTTCTTGTAATATTAATTTGTATCGATAAACAGAGTAGAGCAAGCAGCAGCTTTACTAGAGAAGTTACAGGGAGTCATGACGGAAACTCGTGGGGATCACGGGACCCAAGTCGGGTCACGAGGGCTAAAGAAAGAAGCGGTCACGTGTCCGTTCAAGAGCTTGAACGTTGCACTGTTGTACTTAACACATCTCGGCGTTTTATACTGATTAAGCGACCCTCCTTGGCTTATAATCAGATCCATCAGTTTCTCGAACGTTCCTGGTTTCACCACTCTTATCTCTAACGCCCCTATCGATCTCTCTTTCGTCCTGCATTGTCTGTAGATGTAGTCCAGCTCTTCTTCAACCGCCACGCAGCACTCTTGTGCCAGTTTCGGCTCCAGCTTCCCTTGGATCTCCCAGAAGAGCACGTAGTGTCCCGGCAGTGATGAAGTGTCCGCGTAGCTCGTGTACTCCGCCAGGAAGGCGTTGCTGCCAAGCTTCCTCTTGGCTAGCGTTATGCTCCTGTGCAGATCTTCTTCGTTGGTTTTGTCCAAGTCGATGCTTAGAACCACGTTTCTCCTGCAGATAAACCGGAATTGTGGTGCTCTGTTGTAGAATCCCGCCACTTGAAGAACGTCCCCGATTCTGTAACGGTACAACCCTGTTTGACCAGGAATCAATCATCAGCCAATCCCTAGAGCCTGAATAAAAACACCAAAAGGACATTTCTTTACCTGCGAAAGTTGTGACGACCAGTTCATAGTAGCGACCGAGTTTGACATTGACCAAATCAACGACTTCATCGCAGGGGACTTGCTCACCGTCGTCGAGATCAAAAGAGAGTGTCCCGTTTTTGCCGAGAGGGATAAACTCGAAGTAGCACATGTTAGGCAAGAGAGTGAAAACAACGTCGGATGGTCGGGAGAGTGGTTCCACGTTGACTCCAAAGTAAGTCTCAGAGGAAGCATACATCGGACAAACCAATGGAATCTTGCCTTGGCTAAACAACTCTAGTGCTGGTATGTATTGAGCCATCGAGCCCGTCACTACTGCTTCGATGAACTTTGCTTTAGGCCACAGCTGACATAGAATCCCTTTCCACGAAGAGCGTCTGCAGATCTCTTCGATCTCGCTAGCTAGCTCTGGATTCGGCGACGATAAAAGACAAGACATTGCGACTTGGCACCCTGGATCGGTGATCATGGGATTCAGACGACCTCTGCGGATGTCTTCACAGAGCTCACTCCATTTCTGCTCGAGATAAGAGATTGCACGGAGAAACGCTGAAGCAAAGACAGCTCCTAAACGCATCACTTTGTGGCGCTGAATCAGAGCGGCTAGTAGCTGACAGTACATGCTTTGGTTGCTGTCTTCACAAAGGATGGTTTGGATCGGACTGGTTAAGTCGTTGAATGGATCATACGGCCTGCATTGGAAATGCTTGCTCTTGTAGTAACTAGTGAGGACAGCTCTGATTGGTAAACCACAAGGAGTTGATGTTTCAGCCTTTACAAAATTTAGGTACATTGCTTTTCCTTTGTCAAGTCCAGGTATGTACCTGGTAAAGAACAAAACAGAGTAAGAAGAAGATGGTAAAAAAAAGGTAGCCTCAATGGATATGAAAGATTCTTGAGGTTTAGTGAGTGCTCTGAGAATCTTTGGTGGCGTGTGGATAAAAGATGATGGATGCAAACTTTTTAGTGCATGACATGATATCACTAATTGCCCAAAAAGCAAAATTTTAAGAAGAAAGCAAACTTATTTTTCTTCCATAGTGATGATTTTATTGGTACCACGGCCAGTACCTCTATGAGTGGTAAATGTAACCAGATTCCATATGTGTTAGTGGGGTACAATGATTATAAAACCATATTCAGAATGAGGCTTATCGATTGATAAGCATTTTTTTCTTCTTCCACGTCTATAGATTAGCTTTTGAGGCAAATCCATTATCCTACAACTACAGGAACTGTCCTAGTTAGTGGTTCTTTTATGGAATATGGGATCAGCCACTTTGTTTTTTTTTTGGGGCATGATGATAACTTTTAAAGTAAATATTCATGTCCACACAAGGTTTATTTCCTTTTAAGCTTTCAAGATATCAGAAAGCAGAAAAAGAGCGCCCAGGAGGATGTTGAAGGCGATAGAAAATGACAGGACTTTTTAAAGAGAAATCAAAGGAGGGGTTTACTGACTTGTTCATAATCGGAATAATAAGATTGTAGAGAAAAGTTCGGCGATCAAGATCTTCAGAAATGGTCGGCATTAGTTTTGGTTCTCCAGCAGAAGTCCCAGAGCTGCAAAATGCAAGAAAGCAATTACATAAAACATGGAGCGCACACAAAGAGAGGATGCAGCAATTAAGAAAGATCCAGAGAGAAACATAAACTGACCTGCATAATATTTCAGTAATAGGATGGCCAGTAATAAGAGAAGAGTCTTCTCCATTAGCAATTCTCTGAATGTACGGATAGATATCTTTGTACGTGATAATTGGCACAGAGCGTTTAAACTCCAGAATGTCCTTAAAGCCTTTCATGTACTTACTCAAGTACTCTGTCTCCTTGTTTCTTTCTAAGATCCCACATAAAATGTTATCTTGAACTTCAGCAGCTTTCGAGGTGATCCTCTCAAGCTCTTTTAAAGCATTTTCACCTTTGTAGTTGTAATCAAGCTTCATTACATCCATTTTTCACCACAAACCAAAGATAAAAGAAGAAGAAGAATACTAATAATAAGAAGAAGAAGAAGAAGAAGGGAGGTAATGAATGCCTCAGGACTCAAAGCAAGGAGGTGTATTTATAGTGGGTTTAGCCATATTCACATACCCAGAAATGGATATTAACTTTGTCCTTGCAATATATCAGTTAAAGGGTAAAAAGAAGAAGCTCAGTGCTGATATCATCAATTATGCAAGCTTAGCTTCAAGGACAATACGTATACGAAAAAACATGTACTTAATGACACTAACAAAACAATATTGCGTAAACACATAGCAGCTTCTCCCTACTTTTTACTTTGTAACAAATCAAGCATATTAGTGCCACATAACACCTCTTCTAGTCATTAGCAGAACCGAACCTTAATGGATATGAATTCCTCAACAGCCTAAGTTATGTTACATATACTAAAGAGTCATTCACAGTTGTGAAGATACTTTTTTCAGCATGAGAATCGGGGAAGCCATCTCAACCATCCATTTTTCAATAAAAAAGGGACCACATCATCAGCCACTTTCATGATGACCAAGCTTTTAAACAATATGATGCGTTTGGTGCTCGCCGCATCTGATAATTAGCGAAAGTCCACCACTAGCTAAACAATTGCTGACGCTGCTGTGTCCCTCGGGAGGAAAAACTCTAACCAGACATTGTGGAGGCTGTTGGGGGTGGATTCTTTTTCTATATGCAGAAAGGTTAGTGACAAACAAAGCATACGAAAAAGCTACACTTGGGTCTCTCTGTTATTTTGGTGACTCAGTTTAGCATATAATGTATCGCACTATTAACCCTTTTTGGAGTAATCCATGCATGGTGATTCACTTCTCACCATTCTCAAAAAACAAACAAAAGAGATCAAGTCTTTAAAGTCAGCTACTATTGGTTCACAGCCTTATCCAGTCTGGATTTGTTCCCTCTTCAGATTTCCTTGTCTAAAGCTGAGTTTTAATAGCACAGCATCAATAAGACGTATATATCTTCTACCTATGTGGGTTTTTTTAAATGTGAACCATGTACCTGCATATTGTAGAGAGAGACCCTGTGAACCAATGTTATAAGGTGAACAAGAGAAGTTGTGCTACAAGAAAATACTTGGCTGTTCTAGTGTCACTATCAAACTTTTGACTAGTTGTATTTTCGTGTGCAAGTTGTAGAGTTGACATATTTATTCTTCCTTGGCAAGTTGTGAAAAGGCTAAGAACTTCACTTTTCTGAGCGTTTCCGTGTTAATGGAATCAACAATCAACAAAAAAGAAACAGACAAAGCTGTTATCAAATAATAATAATAAGTTGTTGATGTAAGGCAACTTTAGATTCATTGGATGTAGGACACTGTCATATGTATCCAAGACTATGTAACCACCGAGTCTTATCTTATTTATTAACAGAAAGAAAAGGAAATGAAGATGACTCAAAATAAGTAAAAGAAACAAAAATAGATAGACAAGGTGAAGCAAAAGCTTAGGAAAAAGATCTCATGTCTTCCTATTTCCGGCGTCAAGCTTTCATTGCCACCACCAACCAATGTTTTAACAGAGACACTTCTCTACCAATACTTAAACAGAAGCATCACGAGACCATAAATGTAACTGCAACTGAAAAACTCTTGTTTACCTTCTTTAGGCAATTATCAACAGAACACAAGGACAGACAGTGACTATAGACCAACGAGATAAAGAAATCCAGATGTAATCCTTTCCTAGTCACTGTGGAGGTCAAGGAAACAGTTGTTGTATCAAAAGTCAAAACATTGTGTGTGTGTGTGTGTTTTCCTTATCACAGATGAAAGACGCTATTTTTAACAAACAAAACAACTAGTATCGATGGTGAAGTGAACATGGGCAATAGTAATCATTCTTGGATTGAATTTTCTTGGTTTGCGCACATCAGTGAAAAACAGGAGAGTAAAGGATAAGAACGTTTAAAACCATATTGGTTGTATTAGACAACATGAATCAGGAAGAAGGAGGTAACAGAATGACCTCTCGAGTCCTCCTTTTATATGGTCGTTTTTAAATTCGCTTCCTCAAGATTCAGCTGGATCCTATCCACTCACACATTGGATTGGACTGGCCTTGTTCAAGTTCAATGCCAAAGAAGTTACTAAAAGAACAACGACAAAAGGGAAGCTATAACCATGGATTCCACAAGGTAAGAAAACAGAGCACAGTGAAAGCTTAATACATAAATTAGCATATCTGGAGAGAGAGAAGATTTTGCACTAGGATAGGTACATATTCTACACCAAGGTCAAATCAAGGAAAAGCTAAGAGAACCCAGTTTGAACGATTATAAACTACGAGATTTAAATGCTTCTTTTTTTTCTTTTCAAGTACAGGAAGATTCCCGGAAAACAAATTTGTTCTTTCTGAGATGAGAACTGTCTCATTCTTTTCCTCGGGACTACTTTACTTTCCAACCCATGACACTCATTGTTACATCGTTCAATCAGACATCTCGAACCTTGTTGTAAACCCAAAAATCTTTAAAATGTAAAAAAGCGAAGCAAAGATCTGACTCACCACCATTGTGAAGCTATTGGAACCAGAGTCGTGAAGGCGAACAAGATTGAGATGAGAACGACCAGAATTAATAGAGATTTCGTACTTAAAAGACATTTTTCAATAGATATAAACTAAGAAACCAAAACATTAACCACATGTAATTTGAAAAACTCATATATAAAAAAGTTAAACTGTTAATTCCTTAGCTTATCACTTATCAGTTATCAATAAGTCTTGAACACAAGAAGAAAAAGAGAGGGCATCATAAAAAGGGTCACATATGCTTTTTGTGTCTTTGGGAGTTATTGTCTTCTTTGAGTTGGTAAGGATTGTCTGAAGGCGCAAACCAGAGACCCATTAGGATGATTAAGTGTAGACACAGTAGCATACCCGAGGAGGCTGGTGTTGATGGATACAAGTTCCAACAGAGCTCGATACCAACGAACAAGATCAACCTTTTTCAGTCAAAATAAACAATAAGAAGACGGGTGTGAGGGTTTAGTTCTTTTCTCACTGTCGTTACAGGTAAATAAACCGGCAAGGAAATTACCGTAGCCAAGTGGGAAACAGTGTTCTCCATAGCAGATAAGGCAGCGAATAGAAGTACCTGTTATGATCCTCATATGAGTATTTCGTTTGAGGCCAAGAATGTATGGCAAATAAAAACAATCAGTTATTTCTGTAATACCATGAGTAGAACTGGTAGTGCAGAGATCGAGCACATACAATGCCGATGAAATTTCCAACAAACATGGCCGTGACAATATCTGTGAATCAAGTTGAATTAGTATAAGTATAGACATACATGAATTTAAGTTTGTTCAAAAAAAAAAAATACATACACAAATTTAATGCTATAAAGACGGTAAAGCTTACGTTCTTTCGTAAGAATCAGTGAGGTTGAGGCATCACTGAACGAGAGTGACAACGGAAGTGTCAAGAAGAAACGCCTAGAACGCATAAAGCCTATTATGCCACCTTCATACCTATGAAAATCAACATATTTGCTATAATCAATCCTAAAGACACGATATGGACTGAGGTCTGTGGTAGAACAAAATTGCGCTGCTTTGTGAGAAATCATTTGGTGCTTGTACTTACTTGCACCATTTATAATTTGCAAACACCGCAAGAAGACAAAGGTGAACAATGAGCAAGCATACTGCAAATTCTTTGGACACAAAAATTCGCTCTGGTACAAATTTGAAGTTAACAGACCTGTTGAGAGCTCAAACGAGAGTTAGACCTAAGAAGATATCAATCAGCATGTTTATTAGATTCAATGGGAGAGGAGAAGAGGATACCAGAAGTGAATAAAAACACGTCCGAGATCAAAAGCGTTGGCTATGTATGAAACCGGATATGTTATCAGAAAGGGCAATCCCACGAGTATCTGTATAACCATTCATGGACCAGTTGAATGGTACTCCTTGCATAATAAAAATTAAAATTCGCTGATACTGCAACTCACCTATTTACATTGGAGAAACAATTAACAAGTTTCAAGCTTTCCATGGATAACCAACACTAGCAGGAGAATTGGTGAACAATGGGACTTTAAAGAGATAAAGTGAAACCTGAACAAGAGCTGCACCAGCCAAAGCTGACACCACTCCAACTATATGCATGGCCTGTGAAAAGTAAAAAACTTCACATATGAAGAATCAATGATAGAATAATAATAAAGCAAACCCAAAAGCTAATTCTCTTCCTCGGACGTATATACCTTAAGTAACAGAAGTAACAAAGGTGGAGCATACAAAAGCACATTCATCTTTATCGAAACAGCTCCACTGTATTAAAAGAAAAGGTAAGCAGACAAGTCGATTTCAAGGATAGAAAAGAAAAAGAAAGTGTTAGCGAAAGCAGCAATCTTCTTACCTGAAAAAAACCATGCCAAGATGCCATTTACGATAGAGAAAGAGCGCCACTGACGCATGTAGGAGAGTCATGGCAAAACAATCATTAAAAAGACGGAGAACAAAAATTGAATGTATCCTCTTGGATAAACATAGTAGACTTAGCGCCCACCATGGTACCTGATATAGGTAAGCATTCAAGGAGAAACATCATTCCTGAATTCACTAAAATCACCAGAATATGTAATTACCAAATTTATAGTCACCAAAAAGATATATTCATGAACATCGTAAATGGGAGTACGAGACAAGGAAGTAGGAAGACGTCTACTCAAAACTCTTCATGAAAAGTGAAAAGAAGTAAGGTTTCATATATACCACATCAGTCTTCACATAGATGAAGAGGACGATGGCCAGATTGACAATGTAGAGAACACCAAACAGTATCTGCAACATGTAAGAGGAGATAACTTAAGCGAAATGTCAAAGAGAAGTGAGGGAGAATGAAAAATCCAAGTACCTGAGCTGAGTAGACTTGTCCTCCAGTTAAGTTCTGCACTGCAGAGTACACATAGAGGAAACCGGCCGGATAAACCAATGGCCCTGTATCACCTTTCAAGTTCCCATAGTCTCTCTCTCCCCCGAGAAACCCACTCACCTGCCCCAATTTCAAAACTACCAATTAAATGTTTCAGTAAAAGACCATTGTCTCAGAGATCCGAACACGAACCAACCTGTGACATGTAAGCATCCCAATCGATCTTTGTGTCTGTTATACGAAGACGAAAAGAAAGGTCAATTCAGATTAATACCATTGCCCAGTGCACATTTGGAGAGACACGGAAGCAAAAGTGTGAGCTATTAAGATCTCACATGGAACATATGCGATGATAAGTGCCACCAGGATTGCATCAGCAAAAATTAGAGCGACTGCGAACGTAATTGTCCGGTTTTTGAAGATATCGGACCGAATCGTCTCCTTCCCGTGCCGACGGCTACGAGAAGCTCTCAAACTCGCCGCGCCCGCCATGGAAGGGAGCAGAGCAAATCGCAAGCAATGTCTACCGAACGCCGCGTAACAGACAACTACTTTCATTCCAATCAGACTTCTTTCTATAATTAGCCCAAATCAAAAGTACCCATTGGGCTTATTGTCTTAGTCGGTGTAAAGCCCAGTTATGATTTGTTTTTAATAACTGAAACGATAACTAAATAGTAAAACAAGTATCGTCGTCGTAATCATCATCATCCCAAAAATAAATGCCAAATATCAGACATGGAGCTTATATATAGTAAGCACGTGTCCACACTTTTTCACAAAGCCGATTCATAACAATTAATTAGCATTCCACGTGGACACATCTCTATAAACTACTCGCCTTGTCTTCTGCCCACGTGTCTCTCTCCATGCCTCTTCGGTTATTCTTTAAAACGATCAGTTCCTGATTATTCTCTTTTTTTTACTTGACTAAGCTTCGATCTTCCTTGTCATCATCATCATCATTCTCTCATCTCTCAATCTCAATAGTCTTTGGTTCTTTTCCGTTCTGTTTTCGACGTTGCAATGGATTCTCAGGACATCAGGTACCGTGGCGGGGAAAACAAAGACGCCGCAACGACTGCTATGGCCGAGACCGAGAGGAAAAACGCTGACGACAGCAAAGGAAAACGCGATCAAAAGAGGGCGATGGCGAAACGCGGTCTCAAGTCTCTGGCGGTAGCGGTTGCGGCTCCTGTGCTCGTGACGCTCTTCACCACGTATTTCCTCGGCACAAGCGACGGCTACGGGAATCGAGCTCGGTCCTCGTCATGGATCCCACCTCTCTGGCTCCTACACACCACGTGTCTCGCGTCGAGCAGTCTCATGGGATTGGCTGCGTGGCTCGTATGGGTCGACGGTGGCTTCCACAAGAAGCCTAATGCTCTGTATCTTTACTTGGCTCAGTTTTTGCTTTGTTTGGTTTGGGATCCGGTTACGTTTCGGGTCGGGTCGGGAATAGCAGGGCTTGTTGTGTGGTTGGGTCAATCTGCGGCGCTGTTCGGGTGTTACAGGGCCTTTAACGAGATAAGCCCGGTCGCTGGTAATCTGGTAAAGCCTTGTTTGGCTTGGGCTGCTTTTGTAGCCGCTGTTAATGTAAAGCTTGCAATCGCGTGAGAGATCTGTAAACGCCACCGTACGTGTTTGTAGAGAGAGAGTCAGTCATATAAAGCGTGTTTTTTTTTAATGATCAGTGTTTGTGTTTTCTTGTGATATATACATAAAAGATCTCTTCGATCCAAAATGTTCTTCTACTCATTGTGGAGTAACAGACATGAACATGATATACTACAGAAATAAATATATTAGTTTTTTTTTTTGGTTTAGTTCTCCTCCATACCTCTTGCCAACAAGTGTTAAGTAAAAAGATGCAGAACAAATTATAATAACAGACAAACTAAACGTTTAACCAAAAAAAAAAAAAAAAAACAGACAAACTAAAACGACCAAAACACTTGTTGTAATTGTTATGGGCCTTTGACACTGTTTACTTTCTTTCCGAACCAATTTTCAAGGGCTTTTCAGTTAGTGTTAACACAAATATCAGGCCCAATAAATTTTAGAGACGTGATGTAAAGTAGAAGGGATTATTAAAAGAATATAAAGAAAAGATGTTGAGATGAGGTGCTGCTCGAGTGCTTTCGATTCACCCTCGGGTCTCGTGCCAACGGAATGGCCGACTGGCCGTACTTATCGTGCAACAGTCTCCGACCCATGCCCATCCACGTGTTGTAAACGGTCCAATAGATATAAAACACGTGTCACACGACAGCTGTCCTTGCGGTGACTCGTCTGTCTCACAATCCACCAATCCCTTTTGCCTAAAGCTAAAAAAAAAAAAAAAAAAAAGGAAAAAAGAGGAGGAGCATGTCAGCAACATGCCACGTGGGCCTACCAGTCTCAAATATAGTAGTCAGTGCCTTTTTAAAAGACAGAGAGGCTCGTCTGTAACGGCTCAACGTTTAGACAATGGCGGAAGATGAAATAGTAGTCGAAGAAGAGCAATCACCGGAGGTGACTCCACCATCTGATTTGCCTTCGTCTTCACCGTCTTTACTAGTCGGACAAGACGATGACATGGAGCTAAAGCACTTGGAATTCATCCAAGTCGCGGCAGTCTACTTCGCAGTCTGTTTCTCCACCCTCTACGAGTTCGCTAAAGACAACGCTGGTCCGCTCAAACTCGGTGTAGAAAACATCGAGGCTTCCGTCCAGACCGTGCTCTCCCCTTTATACGACAAATTCCACGACGTTCCTTTCAAGCTTCTCCTCTTCGTCGATCGTAAGGTAAATAAATTTAATGCGATATGGTTACTTCCCTTTATTAGGATAGCGACGTGATTTGTTTGCTTTTCAGGTGGATGATGTCTTCTTCGATGTAGAGCCATACGTTCCCTCCTTGGTGAAGCATGCCTCTAGCCAAGCGCTCACGGTGGCCACAGAGGTGCAACGTGCCGGCGTCGTGGACACAACCAGAAACATCGCGAGGACCGTCCGGGAGAAGTACGAGCCAGTGGCGGAACATTACGCAGCGACGCTGTGGCGCTTGCTGAATCAAGTGCCATTGGTCCCAGATATTGCTCAGTTAGTGATCCCGACAGCGTTTTACTGGTCGGAGAAGTACAACGATGCTGTTCGTTACGCCAGCGACAGAGACTACTACGTGGCAGAGTATCTACCCATGATTCCCATCGAGAAGATCTCTGATATTTTGGAACAAGATCAGTGTCGAGCTGACTACTTGCACTAATGAAGCATTACATGTACTCTGTTTTTCTTTCCTTTCTGCAATTTTTGCTATTTCAAGTTGAAATCTTTCTGTAGTATTTCATTAAGGAAAACAATTTGCCTTTTCAATAGCAAGAGACGAGTGTCCTCTTCACTTGTTATACAGACGTAATACGCAGAGAAACACTTCTAGTTTTCTAGTAAGGAGAGTGTCTGTTTTTCTTGCGGTTTCGTGGAGGCTTAACTACCAATTCACTTGAAGTCCAAGACCGGTTAATCTCGGTAGGATTCTCCTCCGACTTCCAGCAACATAGACGCCCATCTTCACCGCCTGTCCATCCAAATAACCCTGCAGCGCCTCCATACTCGCATGGCATCTGCAGAACGCTCCTTACTACATCTATGTGGCCTCCACCAAGAATAGCTTCAGCAGAACCGACTGATCCAGGCCCTTTACAATTCACCGGAAAATAACCAATGGTTCCTGCACAGGTTCCACCGATCAACCACAAGTCTTCACCCCCCGGACAATGGCAATCAACAAAGTAATCAACCTGTAAAGGAGCAATGAGAAAGTTTTAAATCGTTAAGTAACCATCAGGCTTTTCATTACAAAGGAAAGAATGAGATTGTTACATTATCTTGAGTCCAGCTATCAGATGCGAGTTCCCGAGCTTTCTCTAGGTTGATTTCACACCTTTCATCTTCCCAATTCCAAACACTAGAACGGAGTAAACATATTAGAGATGGTGCAATTAACAGACTACAGATTGAAAGGAGTGCGTAAGAGACTACCTAAGAGTTTCTATATGAGTGAGACACCAGATCTTGTTGTAGCAATCCCCAAAGAAACCTACTTTGCCAATTGAAGTTCCTACGTTGATCACCTGAAGAGTGGTCAAGGCAAAGAAATGGTTTAGTACCGTCATACATGCTCTCAATTCGATACCTTAAAGATAAGAAACTTACAGATTCCAGATGATCAGTCTCATTGATATCACCTTCAGTGTTAAAACGACATATCAATCCGTCTACGCAAGCTGAAAGAAGCTTGTTTGGGTGGTTAGGAACAAAGTGTACCTGTAATTAGGAACACCCACGCAATAGAGTTGAGTTCTACGGACTAACAAAAAACTAGTTACGACTCCAGAGAGAGCAAAAAAAAATAGAAACATGACAGAGCAAGAAAAGTAGACCACACCTGAGTGACATCGTCGTTGTAAGATTCATTTAAACAAGCAACTTGCTTTGAGTTTCTCCAGTCCCACAGAAGAAGCTGCACCATCACTTGAGATTCAAAATTGGCTCTTTCTCAAAGTGTACTCCTTTAAGAAAAGATATAGAGATAAGGAATGTGGATGCGTAACCTGTTCTTTGCACCCACCAGCCAAAAGATGATCAGCAGCACCACCATAGGAGAAGCTGAAAATCTCCTGATCATTACCAGCATCAACACACGAAACCTGAAACACCCACGACCAAAAAAGCATCAAGTTAAACATTACAAAAATCAGATCATGACACTAAAAAGAAAAGAAAAAAAAACCTGTTGAAAAGTTCGAGTGTCCCAAGATCGAATGGTCCCATCGGAGGAACAGGAGTGCAAAAGGTGAGGAGACGCGGCCGAGCCAGAGGAAAACGCAATTTGATTGACGGTACCGGAGTGACCTTTACATTCGCCGTAGTATTGACCAGTGACAGGGGAGTAAAGCTTCACGGCGTTGGTAGATAACGAAACCGCAATAGCTGTCCAATCGAATCTGTGGGAAAAAAACAATCTTCTCAATAATTTTGGTAATAGAAAAAGTAGAGCAGAGTGGCTTACTTTGGGACAATTTGGAAGACGTAGTCGGAGCCGAAGTTGGTCTGGATAGAGTTCTTGAGCCCAAACATCTTCACTGAAGAAAGTTGAGGATTTTGCAACTCCAGTTCCATCTCAGACGCTTCTTCTTCTTGTTCCATCTCGTTTTCGAGCCAATCAAAAATTGAACTGATGACGACGAGGGTTTTAACGGTTTTAGGGTTTGTTGATATCCAAACGAGAGAGGAGGAGGAGGAGAGAAGTGAAGGATCCCATCAAACTCAACTCCCTCGGGAAGTAGTTCACTCCCTATAGGTCAACGAATGATATGGGCCCTTTTAGTAGCCCATTTATGACCCAACGCAACCACGGTCCATTAAGATGATTGTTTTAACCGAGTCCAATGTTGGCAGTGCATCCATGCAAACAAATGATGCCAACAATGCTTATTGATAATGATGTTCTAAAAGTCTTTTCGGACTCTGTTGTGTTGAGCATGTCTTTTGTTTTATAGCATTGTCTTCTTTCAGATACTCAACCCACGAATACATTTGATTGATAAAATCATAATTTTTTAAAGAAAAATTAAAACAAACCAGATAAAAGAAAAATTAAAAACATAATTAATATGCGTAAAGAATAACGTGATATTTTTTTTAGTGAATGGGACGCAATAATAATAAAAAGGCATATAAGCCACGTGATGGAAGCAAAAAGATTTAGTGGTTACAACAACAACAATACAATCATTTTATTTTATTTTATTATAGTTTGAAAACAAATATTAGAAAGGAAAAAACAAGGACTAGTATAATTGAATAAATTTGAGAGACTTTCGAATTTATGAAAGCTTATTAATTGCAAGCCAACAGGCTTGGCTCAACGGATACTCGGAAAATCATTTTTGAAGGTGATAATTATATGGCCACACAGCTTGTAAATGGAAGGGTAATCAATTTCAAGGTCTATATAGCTGGCTGCGGGAAATTCTTTATTGGAAGCAAAAGTTTGTCGGAATGGAGTTTCACTGGACACAACGGAGTAATAACAAAGTAGCAGATCGTCTCGCTAAACAAACATTTCCACCTTTCAATAAAATTATGTTCTTTAGACTTGGGCTCCTTCTTTCCTTGTAAAACTACATGTTTCAGGATCATTACCCAAACTAATCAATATATAAAGCTGTTAAAAAATAAAATAAAAAATTGAGAGAAATTCGAATTATGTCAATTTTAGGATGGCGCACTGATCGGATCTCAGATGTAAAGGTGTCTTGTTGACTTTTGTACAAAAGTAATATACAAAGGTAACATGCGCTTGTTTATTCCTTGTTGATCTTTTCTTCTGTCTCGATATCGTATATATATATAGTAGTAGTAGTAGTTTTATGATCAAAGGGATGAAATAATAACAATGCATATTATTGGCCTCAAACAAAATAAAAGACAAACAGAAAAAGAAAGGAATCTAAAAGAAAACACACAGAAACCGGAAAAGCCAACAGGAAGAGGTGTGGCCCTGCAAGAGTTTGATGTGAAATGACACTATCTCTCTCTCTCATTTTAGAAAAACTGAAAAGAAAATAACAAAAAAAAAAAGGACTCTGATTCGAAAACTATTTTTTTTTTTCAGACTTACGTGAAATGATGATATCTACCAATGGGGGATATGGTATAGGTTGTAATGATGATGACAACGTTCTCCTTTTCTTATTCTGTTTTGGAAGGGTGCAACCAAAATGACAAGAAAAAAGCAGAAGCCAAAACCAAAACCATGTGTGTTACTGACTGGAGCAGCAGCAGCAGAGCTACACATTTTTTTTTTACTTTCTTATGATAAAGACTATGCATAATTATATAACAACAAGTCGTATTTTTTCAAGAAGTAGTAATACTACTTAAATTACTTTTATACTCTCCTTTGTCTCTCCATGTGTGTGTGGGTTGATTGATTCAGCATCCCATGAGTGAGAGAGAGAGAGAGAGATAAGAAGAAGGAAAGGTCATTAATGGGCTGATTGGGTCCTATAATTTGCTCCCAACAATCGTAATTACTACTTGCCTTCTTCTTCTACCCTCAATCTCAGAGAGTTAGTACAAACAGTTACAATTTGGGGGGGGGCACCTTCTCTTTGTTTGTTTCTTGCAAAACTTTATTTTAAGTATTTTTCTGTTTGACCAAAACAAATTTTTATATTTTAATAACGAAAGACAAGTCTCACACGATCCTTTCTTTTCCTTTTGTTTTACCTTAATAATAATAATTATTATTATTACTGTATTTTGTTGTTTTGACAAAAAAAGTCGTGGTTATGAGAGATGATGATGATCTTTCCATTCTGAAACGTCATTTTGTTTTGGACACGAGTGATGACTCTACCGTGTGTGTATGTTAATATGAGGAGGAGTCTCTCTCTCTCTCTCTTTTTTATATTATATTTTCTTGATGAGGCAACAAATCAAATCAAACCAAACCAAACCGATAATATTTTAATCAGAAGCAAATTTTCTCTTTTCTTTTGTTTTGTTCCTGCAGGGAGAAATGTGGCTCTCTTCTTCTTCTTCATGGCTCTCCGAGCTATCATGTTCATCTTCGGCCGTATTAGACCAAACATCGTCACTTCCACTTGCTATCCAATGGCTTAGATTTGTTTTGCTTTCTCCATGCCCTCAACGTGCTCTCTTCTCCGCCGCTGATCTCCTTTTCCTCCTCCTCCTCCTCTGCTTCTCTCTTCACAAGCTCTTTTCTTCTTCTTCCTCCGACTTCCATGTTCGAAAACCTCTTCTCGGAGTCCGAGTCCGTGCAACCAGGACTACCGCCTGGTTCAAGACGACGGTCCTAGTCACCCTTCTCTTGTCGTTTTGCTCCGTCTTGCTCTGCGTTTTGGCCTTCACCAGGAACCCACGCACTCCTTCTCGGCGTCCATGGAACCTCATAGACCCTCTCTTTTGGCTCATCCACGCCGTCACGCACGCCGTCATCACTGTTCTCGTCCTCCACGAGAGGAGATTCGCTGCTCTCGACCATCCTTTATCCCTCAGAATCTATTGGATCTCCAGTTTCTTCCTCACTGCTCTCTTCGCCGTCTCCGCTGTTTTCCATTTCATCTCCGACGCCGCCGTCACCCTTCCCATACAAGAAGACGTCGCTTCCTTCCTCTCCTTCCCGTTAACCGCCTTTCTGCTCATCGCCGCCGTCAGAGGAACCACCGGCCTAGTCACCGCGGAGTCCAACAGCCCTCCTGTTCTGGAGAAATCCGACGACGTCTCTCTCTACGCATCAGCCTCTGCTTTCTCCAAAATGTTTTGGTTATGGATGAATCCTCTGCTGAGCAAAGGCTACAAATCTCCTTTGACGCTCCAACAAGTTCCGACGCTTTCTCCGGAGCACAGAGCAGAGAGGCTCGCCCTTCTCTTCGAATCCTGTTGGCCCAACCCGTCGGAGAATTCTAGCCACCCGGTGCGAACCACTCTAATCCGTTGCTTCTGGAAGGAGCTCCTCTTCACCGCCATTTTAGCCATCTTACGTCTCGGCGTCATGTACGTTGGCCCCGTTCTCATCCAGAGCTTCGTTGATTTCACTTCCGGCAAGAGATCCTCGCCGTGGCAGGGTTATTACCTCGTCCTCATCCTCCTCGTTGCCAAATTCGTCGAGGTCTTGACGACGCATCAGTTCAATTTCAATTCCCAGAAGCTTGGAATGCTCATAAGATCTACTCTAATCACTGCACTCTACAAGAAAGGTTTAAAGCTCACCGGCTCAGCGCGCCAGAACCACGGCGTTGGCCAAATCGTGAATTACATGGCCGTTGACGCACAACAGCTCTCGGACATGATGCTTCAGCTCCACGCAATCTGGCTCATGCCTTTGCAAGTGACTGTTGCGCTCGTGCTCCTTTACGGAAGCTTGGGGGCGTCTGTAGTAACGGCGGTCATTGGCTTGACTGGAGTGTTCGTCTTCATCCTCTTGGGTACTAAGAGAAACAACATGTACCAATTCAGTTTGATGGGAAATCGAGATTCTAGGATGAAAGCCACCAACGAGATGCTTAATTACATGCGAGTCATCAAATTTCAGGCTTGGGAGAATCATTTCAACAAGAGGATCCTCAAGTTCAGGGACATGGAGTTTGGTTGGCTTTCCAAGTTTCTATACTCCATAGCTGCCAATATCATTGTCCTTTGGAGCACGCCAGTGCTTATCTCTGCGCTCACCTTCGCCACCGCCCTTGCTTTGGGGGTCAAACTTGACGCTGGGACTGTTTTCACCACCACAACCATTTTCAAGATCCTACAAGAACCCATTAGAACGTTTCCTCAGTCTATGATATCTCTCTCGCAGGCAATGATTTCTCTCGGAAGACTAGATTCGTACATGATGAGCAAAGAGCTTTCGGGAGATGCTGTGGAGAGATCTTTGGGATGTGATGATAGTACTGCAGTGGAGGTTGAAGATGGAAATTTTAGTTGGGATGATGAGGACAACGAACCTGCTCTGAGTGATATTAATTTTAAGGTTAAGAAAGGAGAGCTCACAGCTATAGTGGGAACTGTTGGTTCTGGGAAATCTTCCCTGTTAGCTTCTATTCTTGGTGAAATGCACAAAATCTTGGGCCAGGTGAGACTTTTTTGTTTATAGAATTTGTAGATTTAGAGAATTATTACTTGGAACTTTTGATTAATTTGATTCTAGTTTATTTCTAGGTGAGGGTTTGTGGGAGCACAGGTTATGTAGGGCAGACATCATGGATAGAAAACGGGACAGTTCAAGACAACATCTTGTTTGGTCTCCCAATGATAAGAGACAAGTACAAGGATGTTCTCAATGTTTGTTGTCTTGACAAAGACCTGCAAATGATGGAGTTTGGGGATCAGACTGAGATCGGTGAACGCGGAATCAACCTCAGCGGAGGACAGAAGCAACGTATACAACTAGCACGTGCAGTATACCAGGATTGCGATGTATACTTGCTCGACGATGTTTTTAGCGCTGTGGATGCTCATACCGGTTCAGATATATTCAAAGTAACAAGGAACATAAAAACTCATTATATATATTATCATTCCCTTTAATCATGCAATACAGCTTTATTCTTGTTATTGTGATGTTTTTGTAGAATTGCGTAAGAGGAGCTCTAAAAGGCAAAACCATACTGCTAGTAACACATCAAGTGGATTTCTTGCACAACGTTGATTGCATCTTGGTAGAAAAATGATATAAACTTTTAACTTATTGAAACCTAGAGTTTTGAACTTGATATTATTATAAAATGGATCTTAGGTGATGCGTGAGGGAAAGATTGTTGAGTCAGGAAGATATGACGAATTAGTAAACTCCGGGTTGGATTTTGGGGAACTAGTGGCTGCACATGAGACATCAATGGAGTTGGTTGAAGCCGGTGCAGACTCTGTAGCAGCAGCAACGATCATGACATCCCCAAGAACACCAGCGTCTCCCCATGCAAGCTCTCCGAGAACGTCCATGGAGTCTCCTCGCTTAAGTGATCAAAATGATGAGCATTTTAAGTCATTTCTTAGCTCTCACACCGTAGAAGATGGCTCTAAGCTCATCCAAGAAGAGGAAAGGGAAATCGGACAGGTCAGCTTAAGAGTTTATAAACAATACTGCACTGAAGCCTATGGCTGGTGGGGCATTGTGCTTGTGGTATTCTTCTCTTTGACGTGGCAGGGTTCTCTTATGGCCAGCGATTACTGGCTTGCTTATGAAACATCAGCCAAGAATGCAATTTCATTTGATGCTTCCATTTTCATTCGTGTATATGTCATTATCGCACTTGTTTCCATCGTTTTGGTGAGCCTAAGGTCATATTACGTCACCCACTTGGGACTCAAGACTGCTCAGATATTTTTCCGACAAATTCTTAACAGTATCTTACACGCCCCAATGTCATTCTTCGACACCACGCCATCGGGAAGAATTCTAAGTCGGGTAAGACAATTTTGAGTTCTTTTAGTCCATTTACATCAAAATTTTGCAGAGATGTTAAATGGTGATCACTGTCAAACTTTGCAGGCATCTACTGATCAAACTAATATCGATATCCTCATTCCGTTTATGCTTGGACTTGTGGCCTCAATGTACACCACTCTGCTAAGCATTTTCATAGTTACTTGCCAGTACGCTTGGCCAACTGCATTCTTTGTGATTCCCCTTGGCTGGCTTAACATCTGGTACCGGGTATGCATCTCTTTGATTCCTTGTTCTGATGTATGTTCTTCGTTGTATGATGTTCTAAACGCCACTTTGCTTTTGATCTTTAGAATTATTACCTCGCTTCTTCCCGTGAATTAACACGCCTGGACTCGATCACTAAGGCTCCCATCATCCACCATTTCTCAGAAAGTATCGCTGGAGTGATGACAATCCGATCATTCAAGAAGCAAGAGTTGTTTAGGCAAGAAAACGTGAAGCGTGTCAACGCCAATCTCAGGATGGACTTCCACAACAATGGCTCCAACGAATGGTTGGGTTTCCGGTTAGAGCTAATCGGAAGTTGGGTGCTCTGCATCTCAGCTTTGTTTATGGTAATGTTACCCAGCAATGTTATCAAACCAGGTATTGATCATTAAACCCCATATTTGAGTTGTTAGAATCAGTATTTTCAATCCTGGACATTCTTTTGGTTTGACGCAGAGAACGTTGGATTGTCTCTTTCGTACGGTCTGTCCTTGAACTCGGTTTTGTTCTGGGCTATATACATGAGCTGTTTTGTCGAGAACAAGATGGTTTCTGTTGAAAGGATCAAACAGTTCACTGATATACCCTCTGAATCCGAGTGGGAGAGCAAAGAAAACCTTCCACCTTCTAATTGGCCCTTCCTTGGTAATGTACATCTCCAAGACCTCAAGGTGAGTCATAGAGAACCAAACAGCTTTGTGACTGAAAACTTACCTCTATTGTTCAAAACTGAGAAGGACATGTGTGTAAAAAAAAACAGGTGCGATATAGACCAAACACTCCACTTGTGCTCAAGGGAATAACTTTAGACATTAAAGGAGGAGAAAAGGTTGGTGTGGTGGGACGAACGGGTAGCGGGAAATCGACATTGATTCAAGTCTTGTTTAGACTTGTAGAACCGTCAGGAGGGAAAATAATCATAGACGGGATTGATATCGGGACAATAGGGCTGCATGATCTCAGGTCAAGATTCGGAATCATCCCGCAAGAACCCGTCCTTTTCGAAGGAACAGTGAGGAGCAACATCGACCCAATGGAGCAATACTCTGACGAAGAAATTTGGAAGGTGGTGATTTAAATCTTATCAGCTAAGCTACAACCATTTTTCATATAACATAATCTTTAAAAAAAAATATCCCTAATCACAGAGCCTTGAAAGATGCCAACTCAAGGATGTTGTTGCTACCAAGCCTGAGAAACTCGATTCTTTAGGTGAGTATGATATTTGTATATGTATCTCTTCAAGTCGATTTAACTTATATTATATAGTACGGTAGGGATAAGAAAGTGATTGATTGGAACAGTGGTTGACAATGGGGAGAACTGGAGCGTAGGGCAGAGGCAGCTTCTATGTTTAGGGAGAGTAATGCTGAAACGGAGCAAACTTCTATTCCTAGACGAAGCAACTGCATCAGTTGATTCACAAACAGACGCCGTGATCCAGAAAATCATAAGAGAAGACTTCAAGGCATGCACCATAATCAGCATCGCCCACCGGATTCCCACAGTAATGGACGGTGATCGAGTCCTAGTCATAGATGCTGGTAAGAGAAACAAAAATCTACCAAAATTAATTTAATGAATGATCTTGTTGTTTACAATTTTCAGAAATTCAAGTTACAAGTTGATAAAAAATTTATTAATAGGGAAAGCGAAAGAGTTCGATAGTCCAGCCCGTTTGCTGGAGAGGCAGTCGCTGTTTGCTGCGCTCGTGCAAGAGTATGCTCTTCGGTCTGCGGGAATATGATGAATCTTACGGAGCTGAATATTCTGTATGTGTTTTACGTGTTTAGCGTCAGTATCATATCTACATCTTATCATACTACGATGATGACGTATTCATTAGTCTCAGTATTAAGACTCCAAATTTTTGGAAACTCCTCAACGGAAAATGCGTGTATATAGAATATGTACCTCGCTCCTTGGGTTTATAATATGCTGCAAACTACTCTAACTAGCGTACCAGAGTATAATATGCTGACCTTCTCGTTCATTAAAAATTTACAAGTGTTAGACGCAAAAAATCTAAAAAAAAAAATAAAAATAAAAGTGTGCCAAAATTAGAGTTAGCTGCAGTCTCTCTAAAACAGCCAGTCAAAGTGACCTTTAATAATATATATATCAGGGTATCATTTTATACGTCTGAGCTCATAACTCTAACGGGCCCAACTCTAACCGAATTCACAATATATAACATGCCTCTTAGAACTAGAACTATGAAACATTTATTAATGACTTATTTAACCACAAGTGATTTGAATATGTATATCATCATCTCTTCATTATCAACACACATATATATGAGCCAATTGATGGAAAATCATAACTGTGTACGGAATTTTATTTTCATACGTACTGATTAATTAATGCTAATAATCTAATATATATGCGCAAATGCCAAATAATGATGAGCTTTCTAGTATAAGAATTCCACAAAGTTGTACAACGTATTAATTTTCTTAATTAGTGTAGAGGATTATTCGTCACTGACCAAGATAACAAAACTTGATTTTGCTATATAGAGAAGAAGTTGGTCGACCGGAGAATAAATTTAAAAAAAAAACAAGATGACATATAAAATGTAAAATTAGTATTGGTAGCTAGAGAGAGTTGACTCGTTGAGAGATAGGAAAATGAGTAATGGGGGATGGAATAGGAGAGAGCCAAGTGGGAAGGAAAGGGGGTTCACATGAGAGTGATTTGGATGGAAAATGATGCGTGTTTTTGATTCACCAACTCAGACCAGCCTCAGAGAGCCCAATCAGAGATTCTTATTATTAAGTTTCGTCTAGATCTGTACCTTTACCAAACTCTGGATTACGTCTCTTCCCGTCGCCTGCGACGGTGGTGTTTATGCCCGTTAGCTTTGAGATTCGTGCGTTTGGAATCGGTCTTGAGAAGAAGAAGAAGCAGAAGAAGAAGAAGAAGGGGGAAAGCCTCTCTGGCCAGCTGACTTTCATTGCTTCTCTCCCGACATCAATCTTTAGTAATGTTATTCCCATGTCTAAACGTGGTGTGCTCTTAGTCGATGCAACTTGTTCGTCATTGCTTATCCGCCATTGTTGGCGAGCTCTATTGCAGTTCCCTCTCCACATAGCTTCTTGAGTGGATTCTCACTCTAATAGTGATTTGTACGGTCAATGGCGAAATGATGGAAATGGATCTCAGAAAACAGATCTGAGCTCCTCTCCTCCTCCTCTTGTCAACCATCCTACTATTTTTCTTGGATATGTATTCAGTTGGTGTAGATCTATCTCTACAACTTTTAAATTCACTTGACTTGTTTGAGATCTCCTCTTATATATATCTCAGAGCTAAGGCTATTACTCTGCAATCACAAAGGCTTCAATATCCTCTTTTCTAGCAAGTTTTTGCTAAGATCTGTCCACCGGCTCTTTCAAAAACAAAAATCAACTATCAACATGATTATGTGGTCTTTCTAAGGACAGCTTATTTGCACATCCTTCATCTTCCTTTGCAAAAAGTGTAATCATCTTAAGATGAGTACCTTCATTTTCATTTTCTGAGATAACATTTAAGGAAATTGTCAAGCAAGGATTTTTTTTACTGAAACTAAATTTTTTTAGTGTTTTCCCTTGTACAAAGGAGTTTTTATTCTCTTTGTTTAAGATTGCCCATTTCAACTTTAGTACGGTGGGATTTAAATCTTGCTCCGGATCTCACTTATGAGGATTTTAGCATGGAATTGTCAAGGGGCGCGAGCAAAACTTACCAAGCGCCGACTGGAGGAAATGTGTCGAATGTTTTCTCCAGATTTTCTTTTTCTTTCGGAGACAAAAAATAATCTTTTGTATCTTCAAGAACTTCAAGCTACATTACGGTTTGATTGTCTTAAAACGATTGAACCGTTAGGTACGAGTGGATGTCTTGCTCTTATGCATTCTAGGGATTATCCGGTTCAATTCCTGTATCTTAGTGATCGGTTAATGGATATTGAAACCATTATTGATGGAAACCGTGTTTTTATTACTTTTGTTTATGGCGATCCGGTTGTTCAAAACCGTGAAGAAGTTTGGGAACGACTAACCAGGATAGGGATTAATCGCTCTGAACCTTGGTTCATGATTGGAGATTTCAATGAGATCACCGGAAATCATGAAAAGAAAGGGGGGAAACGGAGATCGGAATCTTCCTTTCTTCCCTTTCGGACTATGATTGACAATTGTGGTATGCTTGAGTTTCCATTTACGGGGAATTTCTTTTCTTGGGTCGGACGTCGTCAATGTGGCTTAATCCGCTCTCGCCTAGACAGGGCCCTGGGAAACGAAGAATGGCACCATATCTTTTCCCACACAAACGTGGAGTATCTTAAAATGTGGGGATCAGACCACAGACCCATGTTAGCCTCCGTTCAAAATAGACCTCATAGAATTTTCAAAAGGTTTATGTTTGATAAGAGGTGGATTGGAAAACCTGGCTTAAAGGAGGCTGTCAAGGCGGGTTGGAGGTTCTCTAGACATGGCCGAGGCGGCTTTCTTCCCCGAAAGATTAAAACCTGTCGGGTGTCTATTTCAAATTGGAAGAAGTCTATCGTAACCAATTCCGAAAAACTTATCATGAGCCTTCAATCTAAGATTGACGCATCTCAAGATAATCCAGAGATTTCCTCTGAACCTCTTTTAGAGTTAAAATGGAAACTGTGTGATGCATATAGAGAGGAGGAGCTGTATTGGCAGACAAGAAGTCGTGAGACGGGGCTAAAACATGGGGATAAGAATACAAAGTTCTTCCATGCTACTACCAAACAACGACGGGCTAAAAATAGGATTACTGGTCTCCTAGACCAGGATAGCAGATGGGTAGATAATGAGGATGGTATTGAGGACTTAGCAGTCTCATATATCAAAGATTTATTTACATCCTCCAATCCCCAGGATTTGGATTCAGTCCTCCGGGCTATTCCCGTGTCTATAACTGAAGAAATAAATCAATCTCTCACTAGAGAATTCTCTTCTGATGAGGTCAAACGGGCCCTTTTTTCCCTCAACCCTGAGAAGACTCCAGGTCCTGATGGCCTGACGGCCTTATTTTACCAGCGGTTCTGGGATATTGTAGGAGATGACCTTGTCAAACTAGCCCAAGAGTTCCATTCTACCGGTTCTTTTGATGAATCTCTGAATGAGACAAACATTTGTCTTATTCCAAAAACCGATAGACCTAGATCGATGAAGGAATTCAGGCCAATAAGTTTATGTAATGTATGTTACAAGGTCCTCTCAAAGATTCTCAGTCTTCGTTTGAAGAAATTTCTTCCGGATTTGATTTCTGAGACTCAGTCGGCCTTTGTGTCCGGACGTCTTATTACGGATAATATCCTGATTGCTCAGGAGAATTTCCACGCTCTCCGTACAAATTCGAATTGTCGGAAGAATTTTATGGCTATTAAAACAGATATGAGTAAAGCTTATGATCGTGTGGAATGGTCCTTCCTTAATGCTCTGATGCTGAAAATGGGTTTCGCCCAAAGATGGGTTGATATGATAATGTTTTGTATTTCCTCGGTGTCGTACCAAGTTATCATAAATGGTACCCCGAGAGGTCATATAAAACCTTCCCGGGGAATCAGGCAAGGGGATCCAATTTCTCCCTTTCTTTTTATACTTTGTACTGAAGCCCTTGTGGCTCAGTTAAATGAAGCAGAATGGCAAGGCAAAATCCAAGGCCTTCAAATCGCTCGGGCAAGTCCTTCGACATCCCATCTTCTCTTCGCTGACGATAGTCTCTTCTTTTGTAGAGCGACTCCTGATCAAGGTGAAGAGGTTCTAAATGTTATTCGTCGTTATGGCGAGGCTTCAGGACAACAACTTAATGAAGCAAAGTCTTCGGTGATGTTTGGGCACGAGGTGGCACCAGCAACCCGTACCACCATTAAGAATATCTTAAGTATTCAAACCGAAGGTGGTATGGGTACTTATTTAGGGTTACCCGAAAAGATTCACGGTTCAAAAACTCAAGTTTTTTCCTTCGTTCGCGATCGACTTCAGAAAAGAATTAGTACTTGGTCTGTCAAATTCCTTTCCAAAGGAGGGAAAGAGGTACTTATTAAGGCGGTTGCTCAAGCTCTTCCGACATATGTTATGTCATGTTTTCTACTCCCCAAGGCTATCCTTACTAAGTTAAGTAGTGCCATTGCTAACTTCTGGTGGAAAACCAGGACGGAGAGTAATGGTATTCACTGGATAGCCTGGGATAAATTATGTACCCAACTTTCTGAAGGAGGGCTTGGGTTTCGCACATTGGGTGAGTTTAATCAGGCGCTCCTTGCTAAACAATTTTGGAGACTCCTTCGCTTCCCAAATTCACTGTTGAGCAGAGTTTTGAGGGGTAGATATTATAGATTTAGCGACCCTTTACAAATAGTTAAGGCCAACCGTCCCTCCTATGGATGGAGGAGTATATTTTCTGCCAAGCCTCTGATTGTTTCAGGTCTCCGCAGAACTGTTGGTTCCGGAATGCTTACTCGGGTATGGAGTGACCCGTGGCTTCCCACTATCCCACCTCGACCTGCTAAAAGTGTTCTCGCCTTTCAGGATCCGCATTTGTACGTCAATGATTTACTGGATAGGGATACTCAGGAATGGAAACATGACCGTTTGAATGCTTTAGTGGACCCAACGGATATCCCTCTTATTCTAGGTATTCGACCTAGTCGGACTTACCTTAGTGATGGGTATAGTTGGGTTCATACAAAATCTGGAAATTATACTGTGAAGTCAGGGTATTGGGCCGCGAGAATTTTATCTCGTCCTCCTTGTGACCTCCCTTTTCAGGGACCGGATGTTTCGGCACTCCAGGCACAAGTATGGCAAACTAAAACCACAAGAAAGCTGAAGCATTTCATGTGGCAATGTCTCTCGGGTTGCGTAGCAACCTGTCAAAGACTTTTTTCTCGACATATTGGTAGAGAGAAAGATTGTCTCCGTTGTGGCCATGAAGAGGAAACGATTAATCATCTCCTCTTTGAGTGCCCTCCGGCTAGACAAGTCTGGGCTCTATCCTCTATACCTTCTTCAGGGACGGTGTTCCCTCGTCAATCTCTATTTTACAATTTTGACTTTCTCTTTTGGAGAGGTAAAGAATTGAAGATAGATGTAACCAATATCCATAACTTCCCTTGGATTTTGTGGTATATCTGGAAAGCTCGTAATAGATTTATGTTTGAGAATATTAGGGAGTCACCTGAGGAGACCCTTTTGCTAGCTACTCATGAAGCAGAAGTGTGGCGGCGAGCGAT